CAGTCAGCGCGACTCTCATCAGCCCAGTCGCCACGACACTCATCAATCTTTCTGTCGGCTGCAGCTCGGACCACTCATGCTTGGGTCCCTCGGCCCTTGGCCCGTATGGAGAGAGTCAGGCTGCTCGCCTACAAGAGCAATTGAGCCCATCGGCGCATCAAGGGAGCGCGCGTGCTAAACTCTAAACCCTGAAACCATAAACCATAAACCCTAAACCCTAAAACCCTAAAACCCTAAACCCTCTAAGCCCGAAAACCCTACAGTAAACCCTGAAACCATAAAGAACCACAAACACCTCACGCTTCAGATCGAGGCAACTCCCAGCAACAACCCCGCAAGGCCCTGAAGGGCTCTCTCCAAACCACAGCCCTACCCAGACCCGGGATGTATACCTTTAAGGGGCCCCTGTAAGGGATGTATAGGGGGTTTAGGGTTTAGGGTTTAGGGAATGTAGTCCCTTTTTGTTGGTTGCCGTAATCTCTTAATTATTTTGGGATCCCAGCCATGAAACAGACCATCCAATACAAGGTGCTACATTGCAGGGTCTAGGTATACCCAAAGCCCAAAACCCCCAAACCCCTAAGCGCAACTTTCCTTTCAAAATCCAGTAATGCAGCAACCTTGATATAGGATAGGGTTTCCGGGCGTGCTACAATCATACAAGCAGTATAAGACATGTGGTCACTGGCTATCACTAACTATTCCGCCACGCCACACCGTACAGGTGTGAAAACACCAACTTTCGAGTCTCTGACGGGGCCAAAGCCTTCTTCATCGTACTCCTCGATGCCGACTAGCGACTGAAGCAAAGAAACCCTAAGCCTGAGGTAAGGGTGTAGGGTCTTGGGATGGGGGGGGGTTGGGGCTTGTGGTCTAAGCTGGGGTTTGGGATTTATTCTACTGCCTTCACTGGCCTCACGGGTTTTGGAATTAGAAGTTTCCAACAGCTTGCGGGGCTTGGGGTGCCTGGGCCCCAGGTTGAAGGGACGCAGGCTCAGGCTCAGGCTCATTGGGCCTAAACCCCTAAGCCCTGAATGCCTAAAATCTGGACTCCTATATGTCACCCTAAACTCCTAAGCGCCAAGAACTAAAAAGGAAGTTAATTTAAGTTGCCATAATAGGGATCTACAGCAAATAATATGGTTTCCTTACTATAGTAACTTAAATTGCACCCCTTAAAGAGAACCCAGTATGGATCTCTTCACCTTGTTATTCAAGAGCATTTATATAGGTTCAGGGCCAATGTCAGATGTCATGAGGTTGGGAAGTGTGGAAATTGGAAAGGTTGAGCTGGTTCCATGTTACTGTAGGAACCTGAGGAAGAAACCTAGTTTTTTTATGAGGGTTCCTTATATGAACCCTACTATTTTGGGGTTATAGGCCCAGGGCTTCTTAATCAGGTTCCTACATTCCACCCACCTTACCATCGCAGAAAACAATTAGCGACATGTGTTCCTTGTCTTCGTATCGTAGACTTCTGTCCTAGATCAGCAAGCTCCATTCCCCGGACCCGAAACCTAAGGACCTACGCGCCGCGCGGGCTCGGGTTCAAAAAGCCCTTGAACCCCCCGCCCTAGACTCAAAGCCCGTTCGGCCTGCAAACTTAAACCCTAAACTCGACCTGAACTCAACCAAAAAAAACCTTTTTCGGGCTTCCGAGTTCGACCTCCTGGGATTCGTTGTATAAGTCCTGAAACAGGTACGTCCTTGGGGCGGTCCCTAAGCCCCAGACACACAAAACGCTAAAGCCTATAAAGCCCAAACCCTATAATACAGGGGCCTTAATAATTAGAATGGGGTTTTGCGGCCCATTCTACTGTAATCATAATAAGGAACCCCCACGAGAGTATTGGTAGTTGTTTAGGCCCCTATAGTACCCAGATTCGGGCCCAGGAAGCCCCATCCTCCGTCCGCCGGCATGGCGAGCGAGACATGGCGGGTCGCGCTGAGACCTCGAGCTGCTGAGTGTAGTAGTAGAGGGGAATTGGGGATTTAGGATTTGGTTTCAGGGATTCGGGGTTTAGGCTTCCGGATCTAGGAATAACAGGCTTAAGGTACTTGGGGTTTCGGGTTTGGGATTTAGAGATGCGTTGAGGGTTTCACAAGGTTTGGTTTGTCAGCTCTGTTTAGGGCGTAACTTGTGCCCCGTCTTACACCCAGATATGATTGGAGTGCAACAGTACATTTGTTCGTAGTTTTAGCAAACCCTGAGAGTATCGAGTATTACTTCTGATTGTCAAGCCCTACACTAACCGACAGTGCCTTGTTGTCCCTTCTGCTCGGGTTCAGGATTTCGTCGCTGTTGGCATGCATTTTTACGAGTACCAACTAGCTTTGGAGATTGTTGGGGTGTAAGGCTCATTTCCTGGGGCTTCCTGCGATGAGGCAATCGGGAGAAAGGGGAGAAGGCGGTTGTACAAAGGTTTAGGGTTTAAGATCTCAGAGGCAACAAGTCAACAAGTTGTGCACTTCGCATCTGAACCTGGTACCACAAGTTACATGGTCATCAGCTTTCGCCCACAAAAGATCCTTGACGTTTAGAGCCCAAAACCAAACCCCAATTCCTAACGTTTAGACTCTGGAGCCTAAGCCAGTCGGCTCGCTTAAAACCTTACGTGGTTCCTAGACCCCCTGCACTCCCGTGAACAACCGAGGCCTCAGCCTCTAAAAACTTCTTAACTGGGAGCTTCCGAAAATTAGGGGCACCTTATTTTGGCGTCCTTATAATACGGATCCTAGTATTTAGGGTACTATATTAGGGTCCCATATTTGCGGAAACTCCTAAATCGTTCACCCTGCAGGCTCTGGGAGGCTGCGCCGGCGGCGCATCGTCGGAGTCTGCCCATTGGCCAGCCGTCCTAGGCACACCGCCAAGCTGGAAAATATCACTGGTGAAGGGTTTCGCTGGAACATCACTGGTGAAGGGCCTCGTTAGGTTTTCAAGTTCGACTCTCACGGCTGCGATTCTGCTTAGGGTTTAGAGTTCCGTTTCGTAGGGCTGATCCTAAAACTTCCAAAATCCCTTAATTAAGGAATATCCCTTAAATCATATTAGGGATCCTATTCTAATTTAACGGATATGCCTTAATTAAGGGATTTTGGAAGGTCTGGGATGCGCACCAGGCATGTTTTTTCCAACTCCCATAGAGCTCCTATCGAGCTTTGGATCCTTTGGGTGGTTGTCAAAATTATGGTCCCTTTTTGGGTCCCTATTATAATACGGCACCTGATATTTAGGGCACCTAAAAAGGGACCATAACTTTGACAACCACCCATATATGTCTGAGAGTGCTGCAAACAAGTCGGAGATGCTTTGCTGCAAGTTGTTACTAACCGTCTCAAGTATCGGGACTTCCACAGGGCGCATTATGCAGGGTTGCGCTACCCTCTTTGGCCCAATTCTCGGCAAGCGCAGTGCTTCGTGAGCTTGTCGGTTTTCATCCAGCAGGGAACTTGTCAACAAACGGCTGGAATTTGTTGCTACAAGTTGCTCGCCATCTCGGGTAAAGCTTTCGGCGCAGACGCTCAGAGCTTGATATACAGTTTGAGTATTACGCGCTAGAGTGCTGGATCAAGAGTCTCTGTGAGGATTCCAACGAACAAACTTCCAGGCAGCACATGGTTCCAGACTGGGCTTCAGAAGTTAAGTTGCAATTGACAAGACAAACCATGGGACATGTCAAGTCTTTCGGCAATGTTCTGAACAGGCAAGGCCTGGGATGCTCACGGCTCAGGGGGCAGACCTCTCTCCAAACACACGTCGTATTTTAGTAGGCTATAGTGTATATGATCATTCGTAAAATATACAATATATATATATATATATATATATCATATATCGAGTATGTTTCAATATGTTACAGCCGATAATCAACCTCTTTTTCGATTGAACGCCGCATGGTTCGGCCACTCGGGCATTTGCCGCGCAAGCTCACAGCTTGCCATTCCTTGGATGCACGGGTGCCTCCGCTAAAGTGAGGATCACATCCCCAACATCTGCCAACACATTTGCAGTTCAAAGTGCTGGGGGCCTGCGGGTTGCCGCATAATCCAGGGCATCGCGCCGCGCTCGCTGAGAGAGAGATTGCAGTCCTTGATGTGCTCTTGGGGTGGAAGGTTACGAATTCGGAGCCAACACTTATTACACTGATAGCGATACACATGGGTCTCGTCTCTGGCAGGACGATACTGGAACGAAATCCACAGACCGCTGATCCCCGGCTACTTCGATCTCCGAGGTTTGTTTGGATGCTTCCAGACTTACTTTTCGGACAATCGAATCCCCTCGCCGGCCTCCCCCCGCCCTTAATCCGTCGTCTTTGAGCCCTGATGTAGAGACTACTCTTCACCTGCTCTCTTCTAGTGCCTTCCACAGGCCGAGGTGCCTTTTTGTTGTGGCCCCTTTTTGCTCGGCGAACTCGGCGAGCCAATAACAAAAACCATCTAGTGTACTACATCGGGTCTAAAAAGACCCGGCGGGGCCACAGCAAAAAAAAACACCGCTTCCCTTCCAACAGTGGCAGTAGTGATGGTTCCTCTAAACTAGACTTAGACTCTAAACCCTAAACCCTAAACCCTAAACCAGCTTCAGCTCGCGGCTCTTGCTTTGTTGCAGAACTAGAACCTCCACTCGGGACCCAAGCCTGCAAACCCAAACTATAGTCTTAAGCCCAAAACCTTAAACCTTAAACCCCGAAACCCTCCTTCCCTCTCCAATTCCTGAACACCAGGCCCCAACACAACTTTGAGTTTTATCAGGAGTCTAGCTGCGCATGGTGCAGGGACTTCCGTGTTTGTCCCACCCTGAAGCCCCAAATTCCCTTCACCCAGCAAACTCAGCGGGTTAGGGGTTACCCTACGGGTTTACTCTAAACCCTAAACCCAGAAAACCCTAGACCAAAGCCCCAGGGCAGGAAGCCAAATTCCTTGAACCCAGCAGAATTAGGGGTTTTGGGGCATCCCTATACCCCAAAAGCCCTAGGCCAAAGCCCAGGAAGCTGTCACTGCATGTCACCGCCGTTCTTCTGCTTCTTGCGCTGGAGAAGTTCACAGAGGCCTGCGGCGTGCCCTAAATCCCCAATCCTGAAGTCGCAAAAGGGGCCAATCAGGATTGTTATAAGGGGCACTATGAGGTGTATTACAGGGCCCTAAAGAATTAGAATAGGGTTTTTAAGTGAAACTTGTACTGTCATCATAAGAAGGAGCCCGAAAACAGTACCAGTAATTACTTAAGACCCTATGTTAGAGGGTGAACAAAGGGTTCACGGCTTGGCCTTCACCTCTGCCCCGACCCTCCTGCAAATCGAACTGCCATCGGCATTCGATGGAGAACGACCAACCCATGAATCCTAACTGCTGGCTTAGCCATGACGAAAACCATCATGTGTGACAGAGAGCTATGGATGTCCTACACTCGTCAGCGCAAGCAGTTGCAGGTGGTACTGAAGCGATTTCATCCACGAGGTGCTCCACGGACGCATGCTTAGGTAAACGGTTTCGAGGAGTTTGGGCTAAGGCAAAGGATTCAGGGTCTAAACGCGAGTCTTGATGTACGCGTTTCCAAAGATAGCTGTTGCGCAATGTTGGCAGGCCTCCCTGCTTCGAAAACTCCAGATGCACCCAAAACCCTAAACTTTGAAGCCTAGTGAAGGCTTTCGGAACCTTGATCGCAAAGGCTCTCACAACATACCCGCCTCTCTGACTCCACCCAAACCAAATTTCGAAACACTTGGCCCGGCACCTCACCCGTTAATCCACAACAACAGCCTTGAGCACATCTGATTGCCATCGACGTCCTAAAACTAGCACATGGGTGGTTGTCAAAATTAGGGTCCCTTTTTGGGTACCCTAAATATTAGGTGCCGTATTCTAATGGGGACCCAAAAAGGGACCCTAATTTTGACAACTACTCACATAATAACACTAATGCACACAAACATGTTAAACTACACCAAAGGCAGAAAGACTTGCAGATTACATCTGAATGCCAACACCCTCCCCGAAAGCCGCCGCCTATCGGAGGCTCGCCTCGCTTTTCGCGGGGAGGCGAGGGGGAAGTGTTGGATTCACAAAGGCTTCATGTACCCATATAGTAGGTACTTAGGCCTTAAAGGGGTCCCTATATAGGTACTTTAATAAGGCCTCAGTACCTACGATGTGGGTACATGGAGCTTTTGGGTTTAGGGTTGTCAGGTCGGCCTGATACCACTTCTCTGAGGGAATTGTGGTTTGGTACATAAAGGATCATGGGACTTAGGAACTGGGGTTTTTTAAATAAGGTAAGTATACTGATTACCACTTACAAGCCCACACTTTATAACCGGACTTACTAAGTCCCACGATCCTCCAAGTAGTCAGGCATATGGGTTCTTCAGAGAAACAACGACCCGACTGCAGATCCCTAAGGCAGGATCCTTAAGATGGAGTTCAACCACCCGGCATCTAAACCCTAAATCCGTAAATTCCAAGCACTGAATCGAAAGCCCTAAACCCCAATTCCAAGACCCTAAACCGTAACGCGAAACCCTAATCTTTAAACCCTAAACTCCCTAAGCCCTGAACCTCAACTCGAAGCCCCCAGGCCCTAACTTACCGCGGGGCTCTTGTTTGGCTCAGTCAGTTTAGGGTACGTAGCCGGACATCGGGAACTTTCAACAGTTAAGGCTTAGGGCAAAAAGCAAACCATCATCATCAGCAGCAGCATCACCATCATCATCATCATCATCATCATCATTAGCACATGGTATCCTTATGTTCACGGTCTGCATTTCGTCCCCTGCTGTTTTCTGGCAATCGCAGGCAACGGAGGGCCAAAGCAGCAGAAGACTACTACGGACTGCTGAGTCCTTCATGCGACAACTGCCTCGAGTCCGACCACTGACATGAGATCCTTCCTTTCAATGGACAATGGACCCTTGCAGCAGAAGTTGAGTGCAAGTGCATGGCTTGCGTCCGTGTACAGCATGCACGGAATGACCTAACGTGCTTATTATATAATGTACCAGAAGGTAAGAGGTTTAAGAGTCCATAAAGATACAGGGTCTAGTACCATCGTATGGTACTTACACCTTGTGCTGGGCTCCGGGCCTTGCTGCGCTTGCGATTCCCTGAGCGGTGCGAGGGTTTAGGGCTTGAGGTTTGGGGTCGAGGGGTTTATGGTTTAGGGTCAATAAGTTGTAAGGTTTTGGGCTTAGGGTTTAGAGTCTGGGGTTTGGGGGTTTAGGGGTTGAGGGTTTAGGGTATATGGCTTGGGCGCTCCCTAAACGCTAAACCCCTAAACCCTAGACCCTAAACCAGGTCCCAAAGGTCAGGTCGGACTACAGGAGGACCGTAGCCATTGGGGTTCGGCGTTATGAAAACCAAAACTCGCAAACGGTGAACCCTACCCATAGGCCCCATAGTAGTTCCTTTTGGGAGGTTCATATTTAGAGCTGTATAAGATACGTAATCCCAACAAAGGAACTACTACAGGGCCTATGGGTAAAGCCGCCCTGAGCCCGAAAGCGTAAAGCCTAAACTGGCTTCTTGCCACGGGATTGAGTTTATGTTACATTGTTGTGTATAAATCCCTATTGTGGTAACTTCAGCTAGATCCCTGAACAAGACCCTAAACCCTAAACCTTAAAACCTAAACCCGTATAGAACCCCTAGGGGAACCCTGTCTTATGGTAACTTCAACTATTTTTTTGACGGAATACACAGCGAAGCTGATACTGAAAGGTTGCTACTAACGATGAGCTTTACAGCTCCTGGCACACCGAACCCAACTCGCCTCCCGCGCATGCATTTTCAGTGTAAGCCCACAACGACACCGCCTTTAACAAGAACCCACTAAGCCAGCTTCGGTTCACGAGCAAGCTTCGCAGCCCTCTTGGCACCACACTGAAAAAAACGGGCTTCGGGTTTAGGGGTCTAGGGATTTAGGGGTTTAGGGATTTAGGGGTTTACGCTCTCACAACTCGGACACAGCCAGGCGAGGTTCTTAGGTGCGATTTAGGGGTTTAGGGTTTAAGGTTTAGGGTGGGTTTAGGGGTTTAGGGTTTTTTGAGCTCCTTCTTAATGCCTGCCAAAAAACCAGGAGCTCGAAAAGGGGTTCAGGGTTTCCCTCCCAGTAGACTCATTTCGAGTCCCATTGCACCGACTGTTCCAGCAATCCTTGAAAGAGCTGTTCTCAGTCATAATGGGCTTAAGGTTCAGGGTTTCGGCGCTCACGGGTTTGGGGGTTTAGGAGTTTAGGGCTTTACTTCTCAATTTATGACTTTAGGGTCTAGGGGATGGCTCTTTCCATGTACGGTGCGCACGTGTGTGTGTGTGTGCAGTGAGAACGAGCAGGAGGGCTAAAAAATGTAAACCTTTGTCAAGAACTCCTGCCGGTGGCCCTAAAGACCTACCCTTTTAAGGAACTACACGCAGAAACCATATCTTTTGGAGCTTCGAAGACAGAAGGCCCGAAACCCTAAACCCAAAAGCTCTAAACATCTTTAAACCCTTTTGAACGAGGTCTCTCTGAAGTGCCCCCGCCTTTAAACCCTACCTTGGCCCCAAACAACCTAGCTGTTCAAGGACTTATATAAACAAATCATATTAGGGAACCCTAAAAAAAGTAGGTTCCTCAGGGTCCAGGTAAACCCTAAACCCTACACCCGAAACCCTTAAACCCTAAACCCCAAACCCTAAACCCTACACCCATAAACCCTAAACCCTGAGCCCCTTAACCCTAAACCCTAAAACCCTACTCTAAACCCTACACCCATAAACCCTAAACCCTGAGCCCCTTAACCCTAAACCCTAAAACCCTACTCTAAACCCTACACCCATAAACCCTAAACCTTGAGCCCCTTAACCCTAAACCCTAAAACCCTACTCTAAACCCTACACCCATAAACCCTAAACCTTGAGCCCCTTAACCCTAAACCCTAAAACCCTACTCTAAACCCTACACCCTGAATCCTAAACTCAGGGAGACCAAGGAGGTCAGCCGAGGGGCGTTGCCGAAAGTTCAAGAGTCCAGAGGTCGAGCTCCCAGCGGCCTTAGATGAAGTATATTAGTTACACATACATATGTATATATATATATACATATATAAATATATATATATATATATATATATATATATATATCGTATGTTCTGACGTATTGTAGCAGATTTCAATACTAGTAATGTTGAACACAGCATATCATAATTTGTATGTCGTTTAACTGTATTTGAAGCTCCGGATTCCGGGCATGTTTTAGGCCTCAGGACTTCATGGTATTAGGTATCTTACAGCTTGCGGGCTTTAGGGTTTAGACTAGCTTGACGGTGTAAGGATGGGGGGAACGGGATAGTTTAGATTTGGGCAGGAGGGTTTGTGGGGTGGAGGGGTGTTCATAATGTCAGGTGTTAGGAGGGAAGCTCCGTGCTTGCCTAGACCCCCAACGACCTTCTATTATACCCCAAATAATTACCCACTATTAAGGATCATAAGGCCTCTATTCAAGGGCCCTTGGGGGGGGTGCTGGTGAGCCCTAAACCCTGAACCCCTATATCAACCCTAAACCTAAAGACCTCGGGGTGTCCTGGTGGACCACGAGGCTGCGGAGTCCAGGTTTATGCTAGTCGGGCTTCTAAGCTTCGGGGGATGACCGGGTTTAAGGGTTCCCTTCAGGCTCCTATAATCTGGTGCCTTCAAGAGTTCTATAGTAGGGTTCCTTGAAAGGCTCTAATTATAATCTGGGTTCCTTAATTTTTAGTATCAGGGCTCTTTTCGGCTTTAGGGTTTAAAGGGTTTAGGGTTCTTGTCATAATAAGCAAACCATATTATTTACTATAGACCCCTTATACTATGTTAACTGAAAAACAAATTCCTTAACAAGAACCCAGATAACGGGTTTGAGGTGGAGGTGCTCCATGGTTAGATGAGGTTTATGGATTTCTGTATGTGCACGGGCTAAGTGTTGAAGTGCTGGGTTTAAGCATGTACAAAGAGCAATAGACAACCACATATCCTTGCACACCGTAGACAAGTACGCAGAAAGAACTAACGCACAGGATCAAAGCTCACGTCAAGAGCGATGCGTGATAGACACAGGATACACACATGCACACCCACACACACAAACAAACACACACACACACAGACACACACACACACACACTCACCTACATGATAAACCTCAAGCGCATGGCCCCGGCAAAGTCTGACAAATGCCTAGCTCGAAACCGGAGGCCAGGACGCAGTACACTTCAGGGTTTAGGAATCATCTTAGGATTTGGGGTTTATGGATGCCAGGGTTTATGCCCAGAGAGGTTCCATAGTAATTCTTTTTTGTGGTTCATATGTAGAGTCCTATAAGGTACTCCCAAAAAGGCACGACTATGGATACAAGGGCTTCTGGATTAGTAGGAAGCCGTCGACCTGCCAAGCAGTCTTTGGAGCCCCTGGGAGCGGGAGGGTAACATCGGGGCCTGAATTGGAATAGAGCTTGGGGTATATTCTACTAGTTATAATCGCAAAGGTTATTAAGGCCTCTACACTATGCCGTAATAGGACCCCCTTTAAGGAGCTCTTTAAAGAGGAACTTTATGGGTAATTATTTAGGCCTCTACGCTACAGCATCCCTATAGTAACCCTAATAGGACCCCTTTTCAGGAGCCCTTTAAAGGAACTTTATGGGTAATTCTTAAGGCCTCTACGCTACAGCATCCCTATAGTAACCCTAATAGGACCCCTTTTCAGGAGCCCTTTAAAGAGGAGCTTTATGGGTAATTCTTAATGCCTCTACGCTATAGTAACCCTAATAGGACCCCCTTTAAGGAGCTCTTTAAAGGAACTTTATGGGTAATTCTTAATGCCTCTATGTTATTTGTCTTTTCCTCGTTCCGGGAGACCTTGAGGGCATCAGCATCCTCTGCTGGACGCTTCTGGCTCCTTATTATAACTGTAGTAGTTATTAAGGCCCCATTTTATAGTACCCTGAAAAGTAGAATAAGCCCCGAAACCCGATTCTGATTATTAAGGTACGAACTTTGTCACTGCTCCATGTCTCTTGGCTCGCCATTGTCTCAATCTTCAGTGTCAACCGCCGCCATGCCACTCGCCACCATCCACAATGAGAACATTGTTCGGGAACTGGCAGAAATTCTGCAAAATCTCCGGTGCACCGTGGACGGCGATGCCAGGAACCCCCATAAATTTCATATTAGGTCGAGAGCTGGGAGGCAACATCACACATCCAAACGCTATCCTAATTAATAATGCCCCATATTAGAGTACCCTTATAGATCCCTTATAGTAACCCTTATAGATCCGTTTAAAGGCATCATGCACGTCTACACTGTGATCTGAAGGCTCTCTGATCCTGCCGGCTGCGGTCATCCCTGAATACCACCATTTCCATGCGCAGGTACTTTCAAGATGCTGGCAGCTCTTCTAAGAGCGTTCTTTGGCTGTTATTCTCTTTCAAATACTTGTACGCAGAGTCATGGTGCATGTAAAATGCGTGGGCTTTGATAAATATCGACCGCAAGATAGCACACGGCTCTTCCTAGTGTTGTTGATAGGTCTCGGAATTGCACTTTTTAGTCTTGAACCCTAAATCCTAAGGCCCTAAACCTAAACCCTTATGGCCCCTACTTGATCATGACTCTCCGTACCAAGCTGCCATTGCCGAACTGCTGCTGGAATGGCTTCTGCAGGGAAGGCTTTTAGGAGCATATACAGGCTTTAGTATTCAGTAGTTAAGAAGAATACGGTATTGGGGTCTATTCTAGTCAGGAAGGAACGGTAGGGAACATCAGAGTTAAATCGTCAAGGCCCGTACTATGCCCAAGCTGCCACACATGATGGGCAGCTACTTCAATCATCAGGGCACTGAGAATGTTCAGCATAGTTGCACGTACCTTCGGCTTAGGATTTATAGGGTTTAGCCAAAATTTAGAGCTTTAGGGTTTACATAGGGTCGAGGAATGGCACTCTAGTCTAGTTACCCTAACTATCACCCTACGTGCTGGTTACGCGCTAAATGCCCTAACTCTTTACGTAAGCAATCGGGCCCAACCGAGGTCGATCAAAGTCCTAATTCCCCTGACCCTTTAAGTAAGCCACCGAGCCCAACCGAGGTCGATCAAAGCCCCAAATCCCAAACCCGCCCCGGACGCAACACAAGCGACCCTTCAGTTTCCCAGATTAATTAAGGAATATACCTTAAATTATAGTAGGATCCTTAATATGATTTAAGCTATATTCCTTAATTAAAGGATATTGGAGTCTCTGGGTCGAGAGAGGCTGCCTAAAAAGATTCAGGATTGAGCGTATTTACACCATCAAAGGGTTCAGGCCTTCTGTATCTCTTCGTGCGGTAGACCCAAAACCCCGAAACGGAAGCCAATCGAGCCGGAACTCTCCCCCCGAAATCTTTAAAATTCGTGTTTTTGTACAGCGTCATTACTATCATTAAACCCTAAACCCTAAAACCTAAACCCTAAACCAATATCATACCACTCTTATTAAGTATACTGCTCTTGTCGCCCTAAGCCCCACAGCATCCATGGCCTGGGGAAGCCTGGGGTAGCTGGATTGCTTGACCAGCTCGTCGAAATGCTCTCGGCCTCACAGGGATGCGGATGGGGACCCAGAGACTCCAATATTCCTTAAGGAATATGCCTTAAATCATATAAGGGATCCTACCATAATTTAAGGAATATTCCTTAATTAAGGGATATCGGAGTCTCTGGGGAGGGAGGGGAGGGGAGGGGAAGGGTAGTACTGCACAGTGCTGACTGCGACTGCGCAGCCAGTCTCAAACTATACTATACACTGCTACTATGTGGCTTTTCGGGCTTGGGCTCACGGTTAGGAGTTTGGGTTTCGGGTTTGGGGTTTACGGTTGAGGTTTGTGGTTTAGAGTCTACAGTCCTGGCCTTGCGTCTTCGAGTTTGGGGCCTTGCAAACCAGCTACAGTCCGTGACGACACCCAGAGATCCCAATATCACTGATTTAGGGAATACACATGAAATTACGGGGGCCTTAATGTTATGGTTTAAGGTATATTCCTCAATTAAGGGGTATTGGGACCTCTAGGCAATGCCAACTGTAGATTGCCTCGGTAGAGTCTGTATCAGGAGCTGAACAACTCAAGTCTGCAGTTGTGGAGAGAAAGCTGGGCCAAGCAGCTGGAGAAGTGGTCCAGCATCTGGTCGATGGAGGAGAAGTCCTCATGCGATTGAGCTCTACAGGGCCTCTCTAGCGAAAGAACGCATCAGATATTTACTTCCTACACCCTAAACCCCTCAGCTCTTTGCGAAAGACGACGGCAAGCCACCGGGAAAGGCAATCTCACCGAATCCTTAAGGACAGTGTCGTCCTGTTTGAAAGTGTAGCCCATCGCCTTTCAAAAACCGATCGGTTTAGGGTTTAGGTTTAAGATAGGGTTTACCCGGTTTGCCCAAAGCCTCCATAGTAGTTCCTTTTCGTGGTTCATATGTAGAATCCTATAAGGTAATCCCAACAGGGAACTACTATATGGAGCGTATGGGTAGGGACGTTAGGGATGTAGACGTGCACCTCACAACCTTAAGCCCTGTACCACCTGGGAAGTCGCAACAGGAGCTACGCCAAACTGGAGCTGGGCTATGCTTAAGTACCTCTGGCGTGGAACGGGCCTCTTGTTTACTTCCCAAATACCTATGGGGGAAAAGTTCAAACTTTCTGATGAGACTGCCATATGGGGGCGGGGCTTCGGAAAATAGGGGACCCGAATATAATACCCTAGATAGTTAAAATAAGGTACCCCTAATTTTCGGAAACTCTCATATAAGAGCCCCAAAAGTTCAAAAGTTGGGTTTAGGAGGGAACCCTAAACCCTAAACCCAAAACCCTAAACCCTCATTCCCAGCCTGCTGCACTTCACACTGTTCCACGAACCGAAACCCCGAATCCTTATACTGAGATCATAGACTCGGAACCTCGAATCACAAATCCTAATCCCGCAGCTTCGAAGCCGATAGATGAAAAAACCACACACCGACCCAATAAAGCAACAAACTGAAAGATCGAACGCTTAAAAATGCCACGCACCAAAAAACATTTTAAGCACGGACTTTGAGTGTATGCCACCAGCCATGCCCAGGGGACATGTGCGGATAGCCCCGAAACCCTAAACCCTAAACGGCACAGCACCTTCACAGCCTACGAAGATCAAATAGTAGAGAACCACCAGGACATCCTGGCTAACCCCAACAGAACAGAAACTTATGACTTGTGGTATGCATTTAAGTAAACTGAAAATGCAACCCAAAAAGCAAACAACATGGGAGTTTCTGAAAATAGGGGACCCTAATATAACATCCGAAATAGTAGGATCCTTATAAGGACCCCAAAATAAGGCTAATTTTCGGAAACTCCCAAATGGCACCAAGAACACAAACTCGAACAACGGGCTTGAGCCCCACGACACGACTTAACCGAGGGTTCTTGTGTTCTCACGGTAGGATCCAAGCTGTTCAGCAGCGATGCTCAGTCGCAGCTTCTTCTATGGGCGGACCTGCAAAACTCTTATTCTTGGCTAAGCCAAACCCAAAACCCCAAATAAGGAGCAACTTAGACCCAGAGACCCTGTCCTATTAGCCTAACGGGTCCTAGGTACTGTCATGGGGTATACTACCACAAATCAGAACAGTAATTCCCAATATATAGAGACCTTCTATTCTACTATACAGGTACTTAAGACCTGTTGTAGAAGGACTCGAATCAAAGTACACGCGAGTCCTCCACTGCACACATCACGCACTCGAGCTCATCTGATGGCAATTGCATTAGGGACCTTGCAAGATTAGGGCGTTCTGAGGATTCACGGTTCAGGGGTTTTGTACAACAAGGGACGTTCTACAGAGTTTACGCTCTCACAACGAGGGGTTTAGGGATTTTATGGGGTTCTATAGAAGCTCTTCTACAGGGTTTGAGCTCAAGCAGATTGGAACTTGTGGTTGCGATCCCGACGCGACAGTGCCAAACCAAGCCATGTCCACTCCACTTACAGTCAGTATTCAAAACAGCTACTTAGCACAGCAATAACAACAACCGCGCTGCTGGCATGATAAAGCATTGCTTTCTGCTCATGCTTCTGCTGCCGATGCTTCGGCTATCGCCCTTGCTTCCTGTGTTGCTGCTACTGTTACTTCGGGTGCGGCTGGTGGCGGCGGTGGTGCTGCTGCTGTTGCTGCTGCTGATATAGCTGGTACTGGATGAGTGCTATACTTGTAAGTCACCACTACTGCGTACGACGGTGCTGACACGAAGATGCTACTACGAAGCAGTAGTAGCAGTAGTAGCAGCAGTAGTAGTAGCAGTAGTACTGGTAGTACTTCTTCTACTACGAGTACTAGTACTAGTACTAGCACCAGGACTAGTGCTAGTACTAGTAGTCGAAGAAGTAGTTGTAGTAGTAGTCGTCGCCGGAGTAGTAGTAGTAGTAGTAGCAGCAGCAGCAGCAGTAAGTAGCAGTAGTCGCAGTAGTGGCAGTAGCAGTAGCAGTAGCAGTGGCGATCGCAGTAGCAGCAGAAGTAGTAATTAGAGTTGTGATAGGAGTAGTAGTAGTAGTAGTAGTAGTAGTAGCAGTAGTAGTAGTAGTAGCAGTAGTAGTAGTAGTAGTAGTAGTAGTAGTGGTAGTAGAGTAGTAGTAGTACTAGTACTAGTACTAGTACTAGTAGTAGTAGTAGTAGTAGTAGTAGTAGTAGTAGTAGTAGTAGTAGTAGTAGTAGTAGTAGTAGTAGTTATAGTAGTAGTAGTAGTAGTAGTAGTAGTAGTAGTAGTAGTAGTAGTAGTAGTAGTAGTAGCAGGAGTATTAGTAGTAGTAGTCGTAGCAGCAGTAAGTAGCAGTAGTCGCAGTAGTGGCAGTAGCAGTAGCAGTGGCAGTGGCGATCGCAGTAGCAGCAGAAGTAGTATTTAGAGTTGTAATAGTAGTAGTAGTAGTAGTAGTAGTAGTAGTAGTAGTAGTAGTAGTAGTAGTAGTAGTAGTAGTAGTAGTTTGTTATAGTAGTAGTAGTAGTAGTAGTAGTAGTAGTAGTAGTAGTAGTAGTAGTAGTAGCAGTAGTAGCAGTAGTGATAGTAGTAGAAGTAGTAGTAGTAGTAGTCGTCGTAGTAGTCGTAGTAGTAATAGTAGTAGTAGTAGTAGTAGTGGTAGCAGTAGTGGTGATAGTAGTAGTAGTGATAGTAGTAGTAGTAGTAGTAGTAGTAGTAGTAGTAGTAGTAGTAGCAGTAGTAGTAGTAGTCGTAGTAGTCGTAGTAGTAGTAGTAGTAGTAGTAGTAGTAGCTGTAGCAGTCGCAGTAGTAGTAGTCGTCGTAGTAGTAGTACGACGACTACTGGTAACAGTAGTAGTAATCGCAGTATCTGGCTTAGCCCCGTACTACACCCTCAAGTGTACACATCTCCCTTGGTCATGAAACTGTGTTTCAGCAACGGCTACCTACTACAACATTCAAGTTGGTGCACCGGAGATAAGGTTCTCGTTAGCGAGCTGAATTCGAATTGTAGTTACTATTCATTAAGGATCTATAGCAATAAAAGGCTTCCTCATTTTGGTCTGAAAATGAAACCTAGAAAGCAAACAACATGGGAGTTTCCGAAACTAGGGACCCTAATCTAGTACCCGAAATAGTAGGATCCTTATTGTAAGGACCCCAAAATAAGGTACCCCGACTTTTCGGAAACTCCCACATTGGAGAAAACCAGTCTGGTCCGAGTGTCAGGGAGCGCTTGGTTTCCTGCCAAGGGGGTCGGAGTTCCTTTTAAAGTGTGCCATAAGAAGTTGCAAGAGAGCAGAAGAAAGGAGTTAGTATAAGAGTTTCATAGGCCTTACTATAAGGGTTCTATACAGGCTCTACATGATAAAGGGGCTTTCATACTTGAATCAGGAAATGGGCGTTCTGCTTAAGCCATAAAGCCTGGGAGGGCCCTTCTTGGCGTGAGCTTCCCTTAGGCCTGGGCAGTTTCTGGACTTACGAGCATCTGGGTGTAGGATAGCGGTATGAGTCCAACTGCTCATGAGGCAGGGACCGCTGACATCGTGTCCACAATCGAGAGAACAGACAACACAGAGCACCGTTGAGCAAACAGACCAAGCCCCCGTGAGTGCACTGGCGCACTTGTACGTTTCCTAGTTGAAGAAGGTCACATTGAGGGTTTGGGTTAGGGCTAGGGCCTTCGTAATTTAGCAGTTCAGGCTCCAGCCGAGGGTTTGAGCGGAGGTCGAAGGTCGAAGAAAGGCGTTGTTGCACTGCTTTGCATGGTGTAGTCCTTTAATTTCCTTGGGGGCGGGGGGGGGGGGGGGTAATTAGGGTTTTGAGGGAACTTCGCCCGAAAACTCTGAAACCCCCAACCCTGCTTTGTGAGCACAAAATGTATGAACCACTCAAAGGCAGAAAACTGACACTCGCGCAACTTCTGCCGAGACTTTCAGATGTCGGCCGTTTCCCTGGGTGCACTAGAGCCTCGCAGCCTTAGCCCTTTTACCCTAAACCCTACCCTAAACCCTAAACCCTAAACCCCTAACCCCTAAACCCCTAAACCCCTAAACCCTACCCTAAACTTCCAGGGCTTCGGATGTAAGGGGGCAGGTGGAATGTTGCAAACCCCTCGTCGAACTCGAACCATCCCTTAGAAGCCCCCCCCACCACCCTGTAATAGGATTATATTAGGGTCCTATTCCTATTATACCACTATTACTAATTACAGGGTGGGGGGTCGTAATAGTGACTATAAGGATTATATTAGGGTCCTAGTATATTCCTATTATACCACGATTACGAATAGTGACTATAAGGATTCTATTAGGGGTACATTCCTATTATACCACTATTACTAATAGTGACTATAAGGATTACATTAGGGTTCTAGTATATTCCTATTATACCACTATTACTAATTACAGGGTGGGGGGTCGTAATAGTGACTATAAGGATTATATTAGGGTCCTAGTATATTACTATTATACCACGATTACTAATAGTGACTATAAGGACTACATTAGGGTTCTAGTATATTCATATTTTACCACGATTACTAATTACAGGGTGGGGGGGTCGAAATAGTGACTATAAGGATTATATTAGGGTCCTAGTATATTCCTATTATACCACGATTACTAATAGTGACTATAAGGATTATATTAGGGTCCTAGTATATTCCTATTATACCACGATTACTAATAATGACTATAAGGATTACATTAGGGTTCTAGTATATTCCTAGTATACCACTATTACTAATAACAGGGTGGGGGGTCGTAATAGTGACTATAAGGATTATATTAGGGTCCTAGTATAATCTTGTTATACCACGATTACTAATAGTGACTATAAGGATTATTTTAGGGGTATATTCCTATTATACCACGATTACTAATAGTGACTATAAGGACTACATTAGGGTTCTAGTATATTCCTATTATACCACGATTACGACCCGGAAGTCTCGAAAGATGCGGACCGATTTATTTAGGGTTCCGTGTTAATTCAGGGGCTCCGAGACACCACCCAAAGTACCTCTCGGATGCCCAGCAACCCAGGAATAAAAAGGGCTCCCTTTTTGGTATTGAGTAACTTTATAAGGAACCTAGGACTACAAAAAGGGAATAAGGGTACCGCTGGGCATCCTAGACTTAGTTTACTAACATCCCGGTAAAAAAAACAACCATATGAAACCTTCAAGATACCCAAACCCGTCGGAAGAACCCCATATAACTTACCTCAAAACACACCAGTAGGGACGGTTGTAAACCCAAAAAAGCTCCAACATCCGAACCAAAGAAACCCCAAACCTTGGTCAAAGCCCTTGAGCTGTTGAGGCCTAAACTTGCTTAAACTTCTATCTGGACCCCAGAAGTATGTAGAGCAATAGCCCTTTATAGGTTTTGGGCCACGATTTAGCCTACTTTTGGGGTTTAGGTATCAACTATAAACGGAAGAACCCGCAAACCGGAAAAAGTGTTCAACCAAACGTCCTCTCGGTTCCTGGCCACGCAGTTTTTCCACATCCAGTACATGAATTCGAGCTGTTCCTCCGGAGCGAACCCTCAAGGTTTCATGCATCCGTGTTTGGTAGGGGTGGGGATAATCTATACATACATATATATATATATATACACAATGTATATATGTATATATGTATATATATACACACATACGCACACAGACATATATAGCACAGGTTGTGATCCTACAGTACCTGTCTAGGGGCCCCTGTTGAGCCTAAAGTCCAACATATACCACACAGGTACATCGACGGCCAGGGAAGCTTACCTGCAAGCTATCGGGATGTTCTTTCCCTTTGGTAGGCTCTGCATTGGATTCCTCCTGTAGCTACTTTCCCTGAGCCCTGAAGCCTAGACTTAGACGGGCCCCTCAAACCCAAAACCCCAAACCCAAAACCCCTAAACCCTGCGCGCACCCTGAACCTAATTAAAGGATCAGTTTATCACAACGGTCCGCTTGGATGTCTCGACCTTGGGCTATACGCTCACTTGCAGGTTAGTGTCTCGTTCACCGTCTTTCCAGCGAACTACAGCGGAGAGATGTAGAGAGTATTGGTATACACTCGTCCTTTGAGAATAATTGTGCCGTCCTAAGCCAGCAGTTCAGCATATGTGCGTTGGGGCGGATTACAACCTGCTTGTTCAGACAGTTGTCGCAGGGTATGCTTGCGATGGCTTCCGTTGCTGAATATTTGTACCGGATGGGCTTTCAGGCGACAATCAACCCTAAACCCAAAACTTAAGCTATGAAAGTCCTGCACGATGCATACCGGAAGCTGGCGGTAGGGGACTCGGAGCAGTTGGGGGTTTATAGCTCTTGGATGGCAAGTCTCCTCTGGCAGCCCTCCTAGTAATCCCTTGTAGTACCCGTTTAGTACCCCCTGGCGTAGACTTTACAACAACCCCTATGGGAACCCTCATCGTCACCCTTAAAAGTAAAGTACTGTAGCATACTGCAGCTTCTGGGATGGCCCACCTCTGAAGGCATGGTCTTTGCCTCTGCTCGGGGATTGTGCAACGTGAGGGTTGAGGGTTTAGCACTGAGGGCAAAGGGGTTTAGAGGTTTGGTTAGCGTGTTGGATCTCCAATGCACACGGGCTTGGGAGGGAATTGCGGTCTAAGGCGCAGGGGAACAGCATAAATTAGATCGGACACTTCAATTGAATGTTAGGTGATATGGGTCGTTCTGCAAATTAGGGTCCCGTTTAGGATCCCGCTTATAAGGGTGCCGTACTGTTTCGGGGATCTAAGAAGGGACCTTAATTTAGAGAACTACCCATATCTTGATCCGTCAGGCTCAGAAGGTTCTGCAGTTGTGCTTCAGCAGGTCCCCAAGACACATGAAAGTGACAGAGATTGTAGCCAATGTGGAGCCAATATGGGAGTTTCCGAAAATAGGGGGACCCTCACATATTTTACCCTAAATAGTAGGATCCTGGTCCTTATTATAAGGACCACCAAAATAAGGTATCCTGATTTTCGGAAACTCCCATATCAGCGAGGATGGTGCACTAAGGCTCTGGAGCTGTTCTTAGTATTCTGCTGCCCCGTCGCCGCGGGAGCCGTGGCTGCATGTCGCGCTGCACCTGTGGCCATAGGGTCAGGCAAGGCTGCAGTATATCTATGGGCCCTGAACAAGGGAAAAAGTGTTTGGGTTGAAGCTTACAATTAGCGCGTGATGCGCTTCGGCTGCGCCATTGCTGTGCGAATCCCAACCCAGCTATCAGGCGTTTTGTCCTACATGCGCGTCATGAAAATCAAGCGACATCTATTGCGAAAACCTTGAGTGCTCCTGGTCGACAGATCTGTGGAGCGTCTGAGTGCCTGAGTGTCTGAGCATCTCCGCGTCTGAGCATCTGAGCGTCTGAGTGTCCGTGTGTCTGAGTGGCTGAATGGGGATGGGTTTAGGGTATTTGGGGACTACTAGAAAGAGTGTTTAGGCCGTGGTCTCTTTGGCCGATTGAAGCTTTATATACGGCATTCAGGGCTATGGACTACTATAGGGATCCATTCCCCCATTCCCTTCCATGTCCCTACTTAGAGGATCATGGGACTTAGTAAGTAGGTTATAATTGGGGTTATAAGTCCCCTAAGTGGGGTTATCCCAATTATAACCTACTTATAACCTTACTTACTAAGTCCCATGAGCCTTCAAGTAAACCCTAAACCCTGAAGGGGCTCCTGGACTGATCGGTCGGGGCCTGGGAGTGATAAATTCTCAAATCAGAACTCCTATGGGAGTTTCCGAAATTAGGGGCACCTTATTTGGGTCCTTATAATAAGGATCCTACTATTTAGGGAACTATATTACGGTCCCCTATTTTAGGAAACTCTACACCCTAAACCCTTTATAGAACCCTTGTAGATCCCTTTCAGGATTCCTAAAATGGATCCCTTTAAAGGTACCCCTATTTTTCGGAAACTTGTCGGAAACTCCCCTATGAATTCTTGGACTTCTGGGTTGGACCCGAGCCTGGGACTGAGAGCCCCTACTCGGAGGTTCATAGGTAGTTATAAGGGTCCCTTTAAAGGGATCTTAAGGGATTCTATCAGGGTATAGGGTTTAGGGTTCATGGGTAGTTATAAGTGGGGTTGTAAGTCCCCTAATATGGGTTATAAGTATAGTTACCCTACTTATAATCCTACTTATAGCTACCCATCAAACTCCAAGTAGTGGTTCATAATCTCCCAAAGGGTCCAAGGTACCTCTCTGGGTGGTTGTCAAAAATTATGATCTCTTGTTGGGGTACCCTAAATATTGGGTGCCGTATTATATTCAGGACCCAAAAAAGGACCTTAATTTTGACAACCACCCATATAGTAGACTGTGGGGTTTCTATACAAGGAGTTACTGTTATGATTTAGGGAAGTATGCCCTATAACAGTACCTAGGACCTTTTGGGTCTGAGTGTCTGAGCATGTGGGGACTATAATGGGATACTATTCCGACCCCTATAGAATTCCTTCCGTCGGCGGCCTGGGTCGAAGCCGTTAGCACGCTCCTGGCAGGGACTTTTTGTCTGCTATAGCCTCTTCCGGCAGTCCGAAAAGAAATTACGAGTTACATCCATGCACGTGCGCACCCACGCATGCATGCAAGACCTACCTACCTAGCTACTTACCTCCCTACCTACGGAAACACATACATACAAATATACAGACATAACGACAGGTATAAAGACATACATAAAGACAGACAGACAGACGGACAGACAGAAAGACAGACAGACGGACGGGCAGACAGACAGACAAACAGACGCTGAGTGTGTATGTGATGTATAACTGATGTCTAATGCTAAGACGCGTGCTGCTGCATTTTCATGCACGTCCCAGCTGTCTGTGGTGTGGTGGAAGGATGTGATCTAGCAGTCGGGATGGCACGCGCGAAGAGCATGTCGCTGTAGGTTGGCAGAGGCAGTGGGCCGACATAGATACACACAATTTCAGTAACTGCCCACTGCTACAAATCCTAGCAGATGTATGTACAAGTATATACACATCTATACATAAGTTGTCTAATTACATACATATATATATATATACACACAGGTACATATCTATATACATATGTATAATTTGTATGTATGTGTGTGCATGTATATGTGTTGGGTGCATGCCAAGAAACTGCGAAGATTCGGAAATGTTACGTGCAATATCCATATCTTTCAAACGTAGCTGTCAGCTGCGAAGGATGGTCTGCGTGTGCACATGTGGACTGAGCCTGCTCGTCTCGCAGACTGATCTGTGCCAATCCAAGGCTTCATTCCCAAGCGAAATAAAGCTTCAGATTGGCTGTATCCTTTGCTCGATATACCACTCATGTCAGGATGAACGGTATCTCTCTAGCAGCACGTGTACAAGCATAGCTGCCACGGCTCCATGTTTCTAATCCTTTCCGATAAACTCCTATATAAACCCGAAAGCCTAAACCCGGGCTCCACAGGAAGCGTCTGCAACCTTGCACCCCCTCACTCCAGCCTCCATGGCTGGAGGTTTTCTTGGGGCTTGGTTTAGAGTTCAGGGCTTTCAAACGATCCCACATCCAGACTTGACGTTAACTTGAGGGCCGTGCAGCGTTAATAGCTTAGGTTTTGGCTGTAATCTGTAAAACGGGTTCCGGTTTCCTCTGCAGTAACTTCTCAGGCCGGTATGCAGACTACATAGAAACATGGACCCAAGGTGATGCAACTTGAATCGTAACCGTTCGAATTCCGACCTGCGAGCACATTGTACGGATGTTAAATTCTTAGTAAGGACCCGGTTGTCCTTGGGATTATGAATCCAAGGCCTTCTTAATCAGCCTTTCACAGTATGGACCAGGAGTATAAACCTTGGTACCGGGTGGGGAAAGCTGGCTAAATTTAGGGATTTGTGGGGTTGTTCGGGTTCAGGGTTTGGTAAGCTTTTCCTTAACCCCGAAGAACCTACATTTTTAGGGACTTGTATAAAGAAATCCTAATAAGGAACCCTAAAAATGTAGGTTCTTCAGGGTTAAGGTAGGCTTTGCCTGCGCCGGAGTTCCAAAGCCAGGCGCCGCCTGCTGACCTGGCAGCGTGCTCAGACCATCGATCACTGTTTACCCAGAGGCCCCAAAGTAGTTCCTTTTTGGGATTACCTTATAGGCTCTACATATGAACTATAGTTCAAGGGTTTAAGGGTTTCGGTGCTCACACTCGGACAATCCAGGCGAAGCACCTGGTTCGGAGTCTGTTCAGTGCAACTTCACTAGAAGAATAGTCAAAGTACTTCAAGGGTTTAGGAGTTTAGGTTGCAGGCTTCAGGTAAATACTGGTTTATGGGAATGGTATAGTCACACATGTAAAGGCCATGATAGCTATAGTAATAGTATTCAAAAATATGCAGCTCTGCAGATGAGGTGTCGTATTTGCTGGCAAATTTGTCCTTTTTATGGGATCGTCGTGGGATTTGAACAGGATGAATAACCCTAAGGGTCCATGTACCCAAATAGTATATAATTTGGCCGGACAGTGCCTATGTAGGGACTACCTTAAGGCCAATGTATATACTTTTAGGTACATGAACCGTCAGAGTGGGCCAACATGTTCCGGAACTGCTTCGGAGGGTTAGCTGATTGCGGGGCTCGGAGTCGCAGGAAGGAAACGTGCTCCAGCGTTCTTTGTGAGGAGCCAGGGGACAAATACATAGATTCTAAGAATGAAGTGTTAGAAGGGCCATAGATTCTCTCGAATTTTCCGGAGCATTGCACCTTGTTTTGTACGGTTGCGCATATTACCACCTACCTACCTTCATTCCCTTAGTTCGAGGCCTCGCAGACCCGTAGGCGCATGTCGGGCTTAGATCAGACCGAACCCTAAACCCTACTGTATGCCCGAAGTCCTGAACTAGGCAGTCTCAGATATGCAGGACGTTGGGTTGAGGGGGAGTGACACGCGGTATTGGGCTATATTGGGGTTTTCTTGGAAGCATGCTCTCTCTAGTTTCACTCGCCGACTCAAGACAACGTGCCACGCCTGGATTGTTCGAGTGTGAGTGCCGCAACCCTGCAGTTAACCTAGGCTCGATCCCCCCCCCGCCCACCAGAAGGCCGGACCCCTCACACTATGATGAACGTCTGCTTCCCTTCGTTACAGCCCGCCTCAAACCCGAGCCCTAACATCCCAACCTCTGAATCCAAAGCCCTATCTTAAAGCTCCAGAGTTCATATATAGAATCCTATAAGGTAATCCCAACAAGGAACTACTATGGAGCCTTAAGGTAAACCCCAACCCGCGGGCACCCTTTTAGGGACTCCATACACTCACCAAACATCCAAAACACGAGAGCCTACCTTAACCCTGAATAACCTACCTTTTTAAGGCTCCTTATTATGATTTTTTTATATAAAATAGAAGTCCTTAAAAATGTAGGTTCTTCGAGGTTAAGGTACACCCTAGACCCTACGCAGTGGAACAAGGGACAAGTTACAACTCGGGTAACTGCACCCCCTAACTTATAATATCTGCACTTTTACTTCTATCCGGCATTCAGGTAAGTATAACCATAGTGGCAACGTCCCTTGATCCGCTAAGTCCGCATAGGCTGCACCCTCCTCAGCTTCAGGATCGCACCTGCTGCAGTTTCAGCAGGCTGCCAGGACCCTGGTGCCAACACTTCAGGAGAAGACTCCTTCCAGGGATCAGGTTAGATGCCAGGGTTTTCTTGTTAGGTTTAGGATTTGGGAAAGCAGGGGTTGGGGTTAAGGGTTTGAGGATCTGCATCCGAAGTAAAAGCCCTTAATTTTGAGGTTCAAGTTTTCGAGTTGTTCGAATGCTCTCGGTTCGAGGCATCGTTTTTGAGGTGCAGGCAGCCGAATATAGGGGACTTGATAACTAGACTAAGGTTTTTCGGGGCCCAGCATACTATAATCATGATATCCCTTCACTGCACGCTTCTTCAGATGATAAGGAACCCGTACACTAGTGTTGGTAATTATTTAAGCCCCTATATTTATTCTCTAGGATTTCTCAGCTTTACTCTTACCGGACAGTATGGAGACATCCTTGCTGGAATCCTCTCGCGTGATACAGGGACCATCCTAATCCGAATAGGACGTTCAGCGTGACTATGTGCCTATACTGAGGAACCCCAAAGAACGGTAGGAGCAACTGTTCGTGCTTCTATATTTTCAAGATCATAAGCTGACTGAGGTGCTATGTCTTGGTCTCAAAGACAGGTATACAAGAACAGGAATAACACGGCAAACGCGAATGCCATCATACCAGCAACCGGCTTGCTACCGGAATAACCCTCGTGGGGTCTACAGCGCGTGCTACACACTGACGGCGCTTCCTCAGCCATTTACAAATGCGCCCCGAACTTTCCTCCAAACTCTGAAGCTTGGGTATGTTTTGTCCTTGAAAAGGTGACAATTTTTTGGGCTTGAGGAGTGTCTCTTCATTACGTCAGCTTCAGGAATTTGCAGCGCATTTGCTGATTAATGGGTCTAGAGTCTAGAAGTTGCTGGCCCATATTTTTCTAAGGGCCTGAATAACTAGAGTACGGATTTGGGGTATGTTACCGCGAAACACCGTAAGGAACGCTAGCGACTAATGTCGGTTACGGTTCTGACTGCTACATTGCGCAAGTCCTTCAGTCGGAAACTTTTGAAGCGGGTGTCTTAGTGGATGCGTTCTAGTCTTTTCTGGGGCACCTCCATGAACGACAAGCATGTTCCATTTCTTTCCAGCCTCGGTATCAAGTCAGGATGTTTTTTCCCTCCCACTTAGCAAGGACGATTGCGGCAGGTACAACAACCACATGTGGTTTAGTGCATCGAGCACATCCCTACCCGCCTGACGTGGTGTAGTGTCCTGCGCCGTTGGAGCCCCTGTTGCCGGTGGCCAGGGTGCCGGGGTCGAACCCGCCTTTGAGAATGCGGCAGGTCCAACACCCATGTGGGGCTCGTATCAAGTCAGGCATGGGTCTCAGGGTTGTGGGATCTCAGGCCACTGTTGTAAACAAGGGGGTCTCAGGTACTACTCTTCCTATACAGTTAAGTAATTGTTGTTATTTTGTTGCTTTAACGATTACAACCCTAAACCCTTTGCAACTGGCTTGCAACGTCACGCCAGGACAGCTGACTCGCTCCGGGCTGCACTCGAAATCCCAAACCTAGTAATATTGCTCTTACTATGACTATGTAGAGTTCTTCTGCCGACAACCTGAATCACAAGGACTGGGGCACAGGAAAAAGCCAGGGTCATGGATCTTCCCCAGGGCCTACCTAGAGGCTCCATACGGTTGATGATATAAATCCTGGGGGTTCCTTTAAAGGGATCTATAGGGCGTACCTTTAAGTTGCTCCTTTAAGGGATCTATAGGGGGTTTAGGGTTTAGGGATCTAAATCCTGCATTACCCCATAATAAGGAATATATCATAATTCCCATAGTTTAGGGTCCTTAAGGTAATGCAGGATTTATATCATCAACAGTAGTAGCCCCTTCGAAGGAATTCTAAATAGTAAGGCCCCTACATTATAGTACTCTTATGGATGCCTTAGTAGTTCCTTTTCGGGGGTGGGGTTCATATTTTGAGTTCTATAAGGTAATCCCAAGAAGGAACTATGGGTAACGACAAAACAGGAAAGACTTAGGAAAGACTATGACAACGACGCACGTCCACATTCGATTGCCGAAGTACACAGAATTTGTACCAGCCGCTCCGTTTCCAAACGACTGAAGCAAGCAAAGAGAACCCTGAACAAGACTCAAAATCTCTCGATGGCTGAGCAAGCTTCTCAGCCTCACAACCCTAAAGTCCCCACCATTTCGGCATTCTTGCACCTGGTAGCCAGGCTGGAACGGAGGCGCCTGGGCAGCAGTCAGGCGACAGGAGTTAAGGGGTATCGGGTACAAGCGGTCGGTCTAAACACAGGTGGCCGGGGTCCAAGCAAAGCACCAGTATTCACAGTAACTCAATCTCAATACAGTTCAGATTTTTGCAGGGCCAGCAGGTTCCAGCCGAACTAGCCTAAATGCCAGGAATTCTATCAACGGTTCTGCCGCACATTCAGCGCCGTCAGTCCTGGACGTGAGACCCATTGAAACCCTCTGCACGCCCTCTTCGAACGACGTCCAGCAAAACCCGATTGTTGCTTGGAGTGCCCTCAACCTCGTAACGATGCTAAGTCCACCGACCATGCTCAGAGAACTGGGGCATTTAGGTACATAGGTTCTCTAGGTACGCGGTGGGATCACCCATAAAGCATGGCCCCTTCGTCCGGGCTACTCCGCAACCCCGAAGTCCCATTTGCCTTTCCGCCTTTGCCCGGACTCATGCGGGTTTTTCTCAGTTGTGAACGGCTCTTTAACCCAACCCTAAACCCTAAACCCCAGGGTTGCAGCCCTTTTAAGGATGATGAAAAAACAAACCCGAAGCCCCAAAGCTGGTCTTGAAGAGACCCGACCCCCTAAACAACTCTAAACTCTAAACCCTAAACCCTAAACCGACCCGACCCCCTAAACATCCCTAAACTCTAGATTTCAGGCTAACGCCCCGAACTGGCCCTAACCTAAAATCCTGAACCCTGAAGGCTTACGAAGATCGTAGCCTTAGGAGCAACTTCTACTTCTGAGCCTTTCAGTCTATGAAACGGCTTCAGGGATTAGGGGTTTAGGTTGAGGAGTTGAGGGTTTGCAGTTGAGGGTAGGGTTTGCTTCTGTTTTCAGCAGAGATGCCTCCAGGTTCCAGGGGTGCACCGGATAGCCCGGGTATGCCTTAGCTCTGGAAGCTAGCTGTTGGATTTTGCTGGGGTCCGGGTAGTTTAGGATCTGTGCTTCGCGAGTCGTGAGTTTTTTGAGGCACTCAAACCCCCAACCCAAACCTCAAGCCCTAAGCCCTAAACACAAAACCCTGACACCTTAAAACCCATTGCACAGTTCGGATCCAGAGGCACCTTAAAACCCTAAATCTTCTTGGGGTTGATAGGGCCCAAACCCTCAAGCCCTAAGCCCTAAAAGCAAACTCCTGACGCCTTAAAATCCTAAATCTTCTTGCGGTTGATAGGTTTGAGGGATTGAAATGAAAGTGAGGACGCTGGATGACGGTCTTACGCGGTCTTTGGAGCCTTTGAGTTACAGTTTGCAGAGGTCGCCAATTTCAAAAGGGCGGTGCGGGGTGGTGTAGCGTTCAGCGATCATAGGGCTTGGTTGACGGTTGGGTTTAGGGTTTAGGGTTTTGGGTTTAGGGTTTAGGGTGCAACGATTAAACCTCGAGTTAGACACACCTCTTGAAAACTCGCAGTCAGATACAAGCAAGCTACGGCAAGCTCTTTGATCTAGACTGGAACGCCCCCAAAGTTTCAAACACAACCCGGAATTCTAGACCTCTAACCTCCAAACCTGGCAGCAAACAAGAAGCATGCCTGCGGTCTTGGTCCTGAAGTTGCAAGTGGCTTTTGCGTGACACAGCAATGCGGATCTTCTTCAGTATCAGACTTTGGCACTCTGCCTTCAAGCGTTCGTTTTGTTTGGGGATGGGGATCGCCGAGGACCAAGACTGAAAAACAATCCGGGAGATAGCTTACGAGATTCGGGCTGGGTGGGCGGCATGCAGACTAAGGTGAGCCGGGTGTGTAGGGCTTAAGACTCCGCGCTGCAAGACAGGCTACCTATACACATCTGTACCTTTAGGAATCGCCGGACAATGATGAGTAGTTAGAAGTAGGGTTATAAGTAGGGTAACTATACTTATAACCCATATTAGGGGACTTATAACCCTACTTATAACTACGCATGAACCTCCAAGTAGCCTTCGCATGTAAGCTCCGGTCAAACGATGCATCCAACCAGGGCACTCCCATGATCTCCCCCTGCTGGGTCGGAACCTCCCAGGGCTGTTGCGATGCCTGTGCTGCTCACAGGACAACTAACGAGGCCGCAATACAATCAGGATCGCTGTTGGATTCTGTCTTGCGAGACTGCTCCTCATACTCCAGTATAATGTGCCGGTCGGTTTAGGAATATGGGCTCCTTTAATGCGTCGGCGCGGGGGCTAATTCCGACCGGTCCCACAAATTTGGGCTTGGTCTAATTAATGCGTTTTTTTTTGGCTGGGGTGATTTTTTGGTGGCGGGGCTGTGCTATTTGCTGATGGTCAATCTTAAGGCAGCCACGACCTAAACCCCCACCCAAACCCCCACCCAACCCTAAAACCCTGGCCCTGAAGACCTAAAATCTCTTGCAGAATTGTTTCGCTTATTGGGGCGTCAGGAATGGGACTCTGTACTACTACTGTACTACTATTGTACTATTGTACTGCTACTGTATGCCTTGCTTATTGGGGGGGGCTGCTAGGGTGAACCGCCGAATCGGGGATTCGACCCTAGCTCAAAAGAGGCCTCTCCAGTACTAAAGTTTGTATAAAAAATTCAATTTTGGGTCCAATCTGGACCGACCCCCCTTGGGAAGGGTTTAGGGCTTAGGGTTTAGGGTTTGTTAGGGTTTAGGAGTTTAGGGTTCGTTAGGGTTTAGGGTTTGTTAGGGTTTAGGGTTCAGGGTTTAGGGTTCAGGCGCTGGCTTTATGCTTTGCTTATTGGGGGAATGTGCTCACTGGCTTTATGCTTTGCTTATTGGTATTATTTCTGTACTATTACTGTATTACTACTGTACTCCTGTACTACTGTTGTACTACCACTGTACTACTAGTGTACTACTGTACTACTATTGTACTACCACTGTACTGTTACTGTACTACTATTGTACTACTGTACTACTATCATATTACTACTGTACTACTATTGTACTACCATTGTACTACTGTTGTATTACTATTGTACTACTGCACTACTAGTGTACTACTACTGTACTACTATTGTACTACGGTACTATAATCGTACTACTACTGTACTACTACTGTACTACTATTGTGCTTCTATTGTACTACTGTACTATTATTGTACTACTACTGTACTACTATTGTACTACCACTGTACTACTGTTGTGTTACTATTGTACTACTGCACTATTATTGTACTACTACTGTACTACTATTGTATTACTGTACTATTATCGTACTACTACTGTACTACTACTGTACTACTATTGTGCTACTATTGTATTACTCTACTATTATTGTACAACTACTGTACTACTATTGTACTACCTCTGTACTACTGTTGTATTACTATTGTACCACTGCACTATTATTGTACTACTATTGTACTACCACTGTTTTATTTCTACTGTACTACTATTGTACTACTGTACTATTATTGTACCGCACAAAGCTTCAGACGTGGTCGATTGTGGGTGGGAGTGTGTGAGTGTAGGTTACGGAGGCAAAAGTGTTCAAAATGAAGGGTCTTCGTAGTAGTCTTGGAGTGATCGGGGCTTGGTTTCCAGCATTTCGTGATCCCCAGACCCCCCTGACCCCCGACCGCGCAGAACCGCAGACCCTGCACCCAAGCCAACCCCCCAAACCCCGGCACCTCCCAATTCCCTGCCACTCAGTGTCCGGGGTTACCGGTTCCAAATTAAAGAGACCAAAACTTTTTGGTCGGGGGGGGGGAGGGGGGGGGGGTACCCCACTATTAAACCGACCGCCACATTACTCTTTTTGCAGCAGGCCTCGTTGTCCAGCAGCCCTGTTACAGCAACAGCCCCCGTAAAACCTAAACTCCGAACCATAAACCGTAAACCTTAAACCCTGAACCTTGCGTGCTAAACCCTAAACTCGGTATAGCGGACCCCAGACCTACTCCAGACCTACCCCTGAACCCGTATTAAGCCACTCTAAATTCCCAAATTTTAAGCCTACAACCTTCAACAAAATCACAAGCATGGCACGCCTCTTAGCATTCTGGATCCTGGGATGTGGGGATTGTGGGATTTTAAGGCTTCGGGCCCCAATCCCCCGACGAATACAGGATCCTATAAATTAAGGCCGCAAACCGTGCTTCGGTTATAGGCTGCATCCATCATCAAGCCGTTATCAGGCCTGTATGGAGAACTTGTAGAACCCGTCTGGAAGCCCGAGAGATTAGCTGACGGAAAACTCGAAATCTTGAAACCTATCCTCAAAGAAACCTTGTTCCAAAACAAACGGCATACAGACTACATATAATATAACTCCCCGAAGAAAACTTACTGCTTGAAGGAACATTACTGTATAGAGGCCTTGCAAAAGCCCCTCAAAGAAACTAAACTCTGTAATTGTCCTACAAAGCCCTATAGGACTGCTACAATGACTACAATACAACCTTAAGCCAAACGGACCAAGCCACTGAGTCGTGGCCGAACCCGAAGTTAGGCATCGGTGCTCCCTGGGATGGACGATGCACTGCCAAGGCGGGTTCGGGAGGTCACAGCCGCAGCGGCCATGACACTCACCGCCCTGAGGGTTCGGTTTAGGATTTGATGTTTGGAGTTTAGGATGGTTCAGTGTCTGATGTTTGAGGTCTAGAGTTTGTAGCTCAATCATATTCAGAACTGGAATAGAGATACTGCTCATATATCACTCACCCAGGTTGCTGCAGGGAGGGGTCGGGGACTTCAAGGTTAAAGGAAGGGCCATGCGTTTCCATTAGGGAACCCTAAACCCTAAACCCTAAACCGCGAGGCCTGCGTGTTACACGCCGCTGCAGGCATCGGAGCTTGGGTTGGCCCAGGTGCAAAGGCCTTAGACGGAGCGCATTCAGTCTGAGCTTAGATTTGGCGTCGAAGGGTTGCATCTTAATCATCGTGGTTCGCGAACGACTTAGCAAGCCCTTTGTACTAAACCCCAGCACTATACAGCCTTGTGTGTGCTGGGCCCATGCTGACTGGAGGCTCAACTGAGGCCCCAAACCTTAACCCGTTCAACCTCAACTCTACCTAGAGGCTCCATAGTAGTCCCTTTTTGGGGGTTCATATTTTGAACTCTATAGGGTAATCCCAAAAAGGGAACTACGATGGAGCGTATGGGTAAACCCTAAACCCGAACCCTGATCCCCGAAGTCTCCCCTCAACCCTACTTGGAGGTTCATGGGTAGTTATAAGTAGCGCAACCGTACTTATAACCCAAATTAGGGGACTTATAACCCCACTTATAACTACCCATGAACCCTAAACCCTATACCCTGATAGAATCCCTAAAGATCCCTTTAAAGGGACCCTTAAAGGGACCCTTATAACTACACTGCAAAACCCCGCCAAAAACTCCGAAGATGATGTCCTGGCCCGGGCCGGGCCCTTCAAATCCCAAGCTGGAAACCCTGAGCTTCTGCTGAAAGGATCGGGGCAATTAGAAAGGGCGCTTAAGATTCTGAGTATTTAGGATCACGGCTTTCACAGAGGAAGGCTATAATCAGAGTGTTTACACTGAACTAGATACGAAACCGCGAAACAAGTGTGTGTAGAAAAGCTTACTGAGTCCCGCATCCCTTCAGCGTAGGACCCCTCAATGGGTCCGTGAAGAAGGACAACATCAACCAACGTTTTGAGAACTCGGACATGCCAGGCGAGTTTTGGGTCTTGGGTGGTTTAGGGTGTAGGGCTTCGGGATTCTGAGCTCAGAGGCTTTGGGAAATCAACAAACAACACCGCACAATGCACCAACACAGCAAAAGCCCCCAATGAAACCCTGTACACCTTCTGAGCCCTGTCAAGCACATCCCATCAAATTCGATAACATCTAAACGAACCTAAACCCTCTCTTCTTCAACAACCGGGCTACAAAAAGTCAAAACCTTCGAAGATAGAGCTAATATATAAGGCCCAAAAGTTTAAGGTTTCCCGGCTCACTATCTAAGAACCAGACGTCGCCCCCCAAGGCCCTTGAGCTCCAACGAGCTAAAGGGTACGGAGGCCCTTTTCCAAAGCTCCTCAACACCCTTCCCAGATCTGCCAAAATCCTTTAATCAAGGAATATATGCTAAAGCATACTAAGGATCCTAAAAATCCTTTAATCAAGGAATCTACGCTAAATCATGCGAAGGATCCTAGCATAATTTAAGGCTAATATTCCTTGGTTGAAGGATTTTGGAAGGTCTGGTTTCCCAAACGACAAAGGCCCTCTGGAGGCTACGAGACACCGCTGGAGTTCCGGCAGTCGGATACTCGGGCGGCACCTCCACTGCTCCGAAAAGGGAGGCCCAAAGGGTCCTACGTACCGATATAGTAGAAGTCCATATTGGGAATTACTAGTATGACTTCGGGAAGTATCCCCCAGAACAGTACATGGACCCTTAGGGAGGGTCTCAGGGTTTCCTATCAAAGCCTACAAGGTTCTGCAGGTTTTAGAGTTTAGGGTTTAAAAAGTTTCTGGGCTAGTCTATGAGGTAAGGATTTGAAGGTCTTTATGCGGACAATGGGCTTCCGGTTTAGGGCTTCGGGACTGTGAGATCAGGGTGGTGCGAATATTCGGTGCGGGGGTGGGGGTCTCGGGGCAAACGGATTCGACTCGCACACTCGCACAATGCAGGCGCGGCTTCATGAGGTTCGGCGGCGTTGCTTTGACATCTACAAACGAGACTATGTAGCCAGTACGGCAACCATCAAACCCAAGCATGAACCAGGAATTAACAACGCTCAGATAAATATAAGGTATACAAGCATAAATAACTGGTGAAGTCATTCCAGCAGTCTCAACTGCAGCGGGCATGAGAAGCAACGATCGTGAGAACGGTTTAGACCCTGGATCCAGATAACACAGCTCAAGTTGAAGCACGATTAGATACCACCACTCAACCCAAAAAGGCAACAAACTACACCGACGCAGAAGAAAGCCTCAGTTAAAGCCTATGCCTATGCACCTTCCAATTGGATTAAGCCCCATGAGCCAGAAAAAAGATTCCAAACCGTTCAAAATCTCTTTCCGACTACACCAATAAGCCACATAATTGAAAGGTTAAACTTTCCGGTTCCTAGTAAACTGCAAGAAACCAAACAGTTTCAAGGTTGGGTATTGGGGAGCTGGGCTTTCAACCCTAAAGTACTAACATAGATACCAAAACCGTCTGGAAAGGGGAGGAGCCGAGACACCGCTGGGTTTCCGGCAGTCGAATACTCTGGTGGCACCTCCGCTACCCAAAATAGGGAGGGTTTCAGGGTTTCGAAGAAATCCACAAGGGGGTTGCCTTCTTCTGTGAGGATTTACGGCTGACAGGGCTTGTGGGGGTTTTGGGGTTTGAGGCTTGAGCTCTTCCGTTCCACACAGTTTCTCTTACCGGCGTCACATGGGTTCTCAAGGGTTTAGGGGTTGTAGGGGTCATTCAAAAGCAGCCTCTCTTGCATTGTGGGTTGTGATTATGGGCTCTTAGAAGAAACTTCTACAGGAACGTTGAGAGTTTCTAGCGGTTAAGGGTTCAGACTTTGGAGTCTTCGTGTATACTCGGGTTTCTCACAATTGGGAGTCCCTGTCCTAAAACCGGCAAGAAGAGGTGTTTAAAACTGGCAAGGAGGCAAATATGGCTGCAATGGGGCTTGCGGCGAAAAGTGGTTGATGATTTCTTTGGGTGGGACGGTCGGATATAAGGGATGCATAGGTGTCCCATGAAGCTAAGCAATGAAGCTCTTGCTGAGGGTTTTGGAGTTTGGCTTTAGGGCTTCGGGCTTCAGGCATGAGGGTTCTAAGCCAAGCTTTACCGCGCGGTAAGCAACCTCCATCAAGCATCGAAAGTTGTCTCCAGCAAGGTCCGGGGACCAGGACTTTAGGGCCAATGAAACTGTTCTTCGCATGTTGCGCTTGCGCGAGGCTTGCAGCTACAGGGGCAGAATAGAGGATGTGTTTGAAGGGCGGCATAGGGCTCGGCAACAAGTCCTTTACGGTTGGCCAGGTGGTGTTAATCAGGTATCTGGGAGCTTCCAAAAATTAGGGGTACCTTATTTTGGGGTCCTTATAATAAGGATCCTACTATTTAGGGTACTCTTTTAGGGTCCCCTAAGTTCGGAAACCCCCCATCTAAATTTAGACCCTTTTACAGCCGCTCGGGCTTAGGGTTTCGGGATTTTGTAGTGGGAGCGAAGCGATTCGGTGCGTGGATCTCTCGCAGAACGGCAGACTTTCCACCCAAGCCCCCAAACCCCGGCATCCCCCCCCTTTCCCTTCTAAGTTAATCAAGGCCACCCAAACCCGAAGCCACCGGAACCCCGGTCCAGGGGGTCACGGACACCAGGTTTTGGTCGGGGGGGGAGGCCCCCCTACTATTTAGGCCGCCGCATTACAGTGACCAATCAAGGAACCCCTCTTACGATTCTTGATCGGACTCTTACCTTAGATCTTAAAGACCCTGCAAGTACACGACGATACTAAAAACAAACCCAAACCGCTTTGTAGGAGCCGCGCCGCCGCTGGATTTCCCGCAGTCGGAAATGCAGGGAGCGCCTCCGCTGCCCAACAAAAACGAAGGTTTCAGTTTTTCAATAAAGCTATAACCGGGGGTTATATAGGGGTTCTGTAGGGTTTTCGAGGGCGTTCGTGGATTTTCGGGCTTAAGGCTTGAGGGCTTCTTGAAGCGATACCATAAGGTTTTGTTTTCTGTCTAGAAAAGGGCTTACAAGTGCGAGCTCTGCGAGGAGGATATTTATGGTATAGTCACACGTTTCTCAGAACCGAGATGCCTTTGATCATAATGGGTTCCAGGAGGTGGTAACTGCAGAAACCACCCCATAACACCGCAAACAAACAATGAAACTTGAACTGTCAGATAGAAACTATAGGCTCTATATAGACCCTCGAAGACCTGTCAACCTGTCTGTCAACCATACAAGCCTACCAACCTCCCGAGAGCCTCCAAAACCCCTTAATTAAGGAATATACCTTAAATCATAGTAGGATCCCTATTATAATTTAAGGTATATTCCTTAATTAAGGGGTTTGGGAGGCTCGGGGTCCTTCAAACCCTTTAGCATCCTGAAGCTGAAAGACCCCACCCCCTCCCACGGCAAGCCCGAAACCTAGAGACACACTCAAATGGGTGGTTGTCAAAATTAGGGTCCCTTTTTGGGTACCCTAAATGTAAGGTGCCGTATTACAATAAGGACCCAATAAGGGACCCTGATATTGACGAACACTCAAATCAAACCCAAAACCGTTTGGTTGGAGCCACGCCACCTCTGGGTTTCCCGCAGTCGGAAATGCCGGGAGAGCCTCCGCTGACCATTTATTAAAATCACGATGTTATGAATTCGGCGCTCCTTTTCATTTTGGGGTTTAAATCGGTTTGAAGGTGTCGGGCAATCAATTAATCCCCCGCCTCCCCCCGATAGAAACCCGGAAAGTGTTTGCATTACTTGGGGGCATTTTTATCCTTACTGTCACTGTTGAGGGGCCTTGCTCTTGTTCCTGCTCTGGCTCTAGCTCCTGCTGCGTCTCTCTCTCTCGCTCCAACGCTTGCTTTGATCTCGCTATTGCTTCTGCTTTTCCTCTCTCTTTTGCTCCTACTCTTGCCTTTGCTGTTGCCCTTACTCCTGCTTTTGCTTCTGCTCTTACTCCTGCTCTTGCTTTTGCTATTGCTCCTGCTCTTGCACTTACTCCTGCTCTTGCTCCGCCCTTATGCAAATTGGGTTTAAAGGGCAGGGATGATTTTGGGAGGATTGGCACCAAAGTGTTTTTATTATTAGAGGGGTGTTTAATACATAGAGAAGTTATTAGCAGCTTTTCAGAAAGGGCCACCCATGTGGATGCCTTTGTAAAAAAACACGGTTTCGCTGCTGTCGGGTGCCATTTTTGAGTTTGGTCCAAAACCTTCCAAAATTGCTTAATTAAGGCATATACCTTAAAACATATTCGAGATCCTATTATAAGTTAAGGTTTGTTCCTCAATTAAGGGATTTGGGAAGGTCTGGGGTGCTGTCTCTCCTGGGGCTTCTTGTCCGACGCGCGATACCAGTTTTCAAACCGCTTGGTTTCATTTTGGCCTGTTTGGCGCTTCAGCCCTCATCCTAAAACCCCAACCCCTCATCCCGAAACTCGAAACCCTAAACCCCCATCACTAAACTCTCAACTTCTGATTATAAGGAAGACTCTTGGGGTGTTGCCTGGAGCTCTTGAGCCAAACTTGCTCTAGAAATGCTTGCTTCGCGATGCTACCGTTTCTTGAAACTGGGGCTCCCTTCTTCAGAGCGGGTTTTTTCAAGTCCGTTAGGTGTTGTTAACAGGTGCACGGCTTCTAATCTGCTTCCACTAAGCACTTCTGTAGCACGTCGTGTCTCTTAGTTCCATCACAAGGGGATCTAAGGCTCAGCATCTAGGTGTTGTCTCAAGAATCACAACTCCCAACATCTTGGACATCCGCCTGCCACCGTCCTTCCCAGAGACTCCAAAACAACTCAACTCAGGAACATAGCTTAAAGGTTAGTTTTCATCGTGACTTTAGGCATCTGTACATGTCTCTTCCGTGCAGTATTTGGAGTCTTTGGGTCCCTCCCCTAAACCCTAAACCCTACCCTAAACCCTAAACCCTAAACCCTAAGGCATGCCTGCTGCAAGTGCTGACCCTCCAGAGCAGGGAATGCTCTCTCCGTCGTCGGTGGCGGGGTGCCTCGGCTCCGTACACCCTGCTTCGAAAATCGAGGGTAAGGGACCACAGCATGCCCCCAACTGTGGGTTCCTCAATACGAAAATCCCCGCTAAGCCCTGAACCGAAATGCCTGACCCAAGCGACCACGGCAGGCAGCGATTTCGCCGCTGATGTGGTTGAACCGAAGAATTCCGCCTGCTAATGGCACTACTAAGCATAACACATGTATGTTAAGTTGCTTCGGGCGGGATTCAGGATGCGTGGATAGCTGTGGCTGAGGGGTGGGGGCTCGGGGTTTCGATTGCTGGTCACTGGGTAATTACAGCTTTTGTGAGAACATGGAGCCGGAGATTCTTGGACAAAGTTCCTGCGTCGGACAACAGACTATGAACACCCACTACCCCAACTGCCGGTGTGGCTGTTGCTGCTGCTGCCACTGCTGCTGTTACGCCTGATGTACTGCTACTACTACGACGACGAGTACTACTACCACTACTACTACGATGACGACTGCTGCTACTGCTACGACGACGACGATGCAGCTACTGCCAGTACCACTTGTTGCATGTTACTCTTGCCGTGCGTCGCTCGCCTGGAACAGTCCAGGTCTGGTAGCACTCCTTTGAGATCTCAATGATCCTCTTGCCCGGCACCAGTTCTCAGAGTCCAGGGTAAGAGGCAGAACTGAGAATGTACTCTATGGGGGTTCTGTAAGGGGCTTTCTAAAGCTCTACAGCTTCAGGGGTTCAGGGAGCATGGGTTCAGGGTTTGTAGATTTCGGGGTTTACGGCTGTAGGGTTCGGGTCTTCAGGGTGTACAAGTTAGGGTTTTGAGCGGTTGGGGCTGTGTGGCCGCAGCTGCCATGGCCATGCAGCCAAAGATCGTCAGCATGGGCATGTTCGAGAAAGAAACGAGAACCAGCCGGAAAATACCCGAATGGAGCATCAACCAGGAGCCATAAGCCCTAGCCCCTAAACACAGTTTAGGGTCTAGGGTCTAGCGTTTGTTTCTGATGGAATACAGGTTCCACTCGTGTAACAACATTTCCGGAAGGGAAGTAGAGGTTAACTTTTAGGATTATACAGGGACGGTACTACCAAGCTCCACAAATTCGTGGATTGCATGCCCAGGCTCTGGCGTTGCACAGCGCCTGGTAGTGCCTCAAGCCATGGGTGAGGTGCTGAGAGGAAGAACGATTGGATTAGAATGTAGGGTGCGGAGCCTCACCCACAGACCGTTTAACCGAAGGAACTTCGTAAGTTTGTAGTTTAATTTCTGATTTGGGGCAGTTAGGAGTGAGCAGAGGTATCAGCCTGTCACATTTAGTGCTGTGGTTGAGCTCGTCTGAAGAACGACTAGTTAGCCCCACGGTCCGACGAATTGCATTCTACTGGGGCTGAATAACCCGAGAATTTCAAGCTGTCTTTCAGATGGTCAATTCGCCGCTTGGGACATCATACCTGCCAGCGCACCGGCGAACCATCGGCACACCCAACGCATGAAACATGCTAAGCACGGAAATGCTGCCAACAGTGTACGTATTTTTGTTCCCAGTGTTCACCCTACTCTTTTCTTGATGTTCAACCCTGATTTACGGAGGCCCAGAATCAAAGGGTGCTAGGGGTACGGGTACCGCTGGGGAACCGAGATACTCAGGCCACCAAATGCGCGGAGCTGGGAAATCCTAAGGGGCCAGCCCGAGGAGGTCAGCTTTGTAGGGGGCAGCGTCCATAACATTCCGGGCGAGGCATGTGGCGCCTGCCCATCAGGCTTACCTAAACCCCCAAGAATAGGTTAAATAACGGCCCAAAACCTATAAAGAGCTATTATTCTACATACTTTGGGGGTCCAGGTAGGGTCTAGGGTATACTGAAAACTTTGAGGCTACAAAGCCTCATCGTCCATGTACACCTACACGTGCAGAAAATCTCTGGCCCTTCAGCGGGTTCCTGGAAAGTTACTTTCACCCCAAAGCATATACCACCCAGGTACATGGACCCTACTTGTACCCCAAACCCCAAAACCTCAAGAACCCATGAAGGAACCCGCTAAGGCCATACATACCTTAGAACCCTGAATGCAAAGACCTCGGGGAGAAGCCTGCGAATCGATGGAAGCAAAAGGTGCTCGTGCATGTAGGGTTTTCGGGTTTTGGATATGTGAGGATTGGGATTCAATGTCCCCACCACAGGACCAGGATCCAGGCTGAAGGCAGTGGGCCACGTAATCCCCAAACTACATCCTAAGCACTTCAAGCTGCTTTTGGGCCGGCAAGTGCCCGGGAAAGTCGCCAGCTTGAGGGCAAAACGGGCAAATCGGCGCGATCTGGACAGCTTGGAATTCGGGTTCACCGGCACACACTCGTAGTCGAATTTGCCTATTTAAGCATATATGTATATATGTTCCATAGCATGTATGGCTCATGGTAGCTGCTGACATGTTACCACGGCCGCGGGGTCACCGTGCTTTCACCTTACCTTTCATACTCACACGAAGAGGCAAAGGTTTTCAGGTCTCGCCGACCTCACCACCACTACTACAAGATTAAGAATGCTAGAAGTGGAGATGACCGGTTTTTTTGCACGACCCTATCCGTCTCGCCTGATTCAGAAAGTGGATGACAAGGTTCAGGGAAAAGGCTTCTCTGACTCAAGCTTATTTAACGGCTTAAGCCGAACTTAATCCTGGATCCTCACTGCTCATCCCTACGTAACTCCTCAAATGAAACCTACAAGCTCAAGCCCAGAAATTTCTAGGTTTTGGAGCCTCTTAGAAGATCTTTCGGTGGTGGTCGAGTAGATCGTTTTGGTTGGGGAATAAATCTCAAGGTTTAGGGTTAAGACGGTCGGGCTTAGGAATGAAAGCCGGTTCCTGAAAAACGCGATCGCTGAAACCTTACTTAAAGTAGGTAATTACTTATAACCTCACTTACTAAGTCCCATGATCCTCCAAGTAACCCCAAGTCCGAAAGCCGAACGGCTAGGTTTTCAGGAGTTCAGTACTTTGCGGTTCAGCTTCGAAAGCAGATTGGTCCCGCGCCCATTGCCATGTATTGTGCGGGGCTGACGGTCTGTGCTGCTTTGCGACCATCGCTTCGTAGATCGAAGCATAAATAAGACCTTCCAACATTCCCTTAATTAAGGAATATACCAGGAATATACCTTAAATGACAACGAATATCTCACACAAGTAACCATAAATCCCTGGTGCACGCAGACTGGTTTCCACCTGCTTCCGCAACGGTGGCGCAAGTCTGCGTATCGATCGATCTTCTTCGAAGTCGATTCGTATAGTTCATCGTTCCTTACAGCAGGAATGTGATCCGTCATTTCTGGGGAGGACCGACTGTTTCCCAGTCGGACTCTCGCAGACTGGAAGCAGAGGAAAATCGATGAAATAAACAGGGTGAGGAGGGAGGGTGAAATAAAGCTCAAGCTATCGAAGCTTATGCCAAAATGGCAACGGTACATGAACAAGTTGGCAAGAATCGATCGAGTAGATCCACGAGTCGACTCGGTGTGAATGTGAGATTGAAGAGTTGTCATTTCGCACAAACAAGTGTGTGCTACACTACAATAGGACCCCTAATATACAATTCAAGGTAATTCCTGAATTAAGGGATTGTGGAAGGTCTGGGAGTGCAGGGATGTGAAGCAGAAGCAGAAGCAGAGCATAATCAAGATGTCATCCAGTGTTTCAGTTGCAACGACTGTTTACTTGAGGACTGACCGCACTATGTAAACCGAAGCTTCAGTTAAAGACTCGCGTGTTCTGACATCCTGTCACCTCAAGCCGAGATCCTTTTTCGCTACTGGACTCAAGCTTAGCCAGTCTACGGCCCACAAGGCCGAGATCCCAAACCACCGCACTGAATATGTTGTCGTCTATGGTTGTATATTGCTGTTGGGTTTAGCAGCAAGTTACACACCAGCGCTTGGGATTAACAAACATTGCTGGAGCCTCATACTGAGTCAGGATCTCTCGTATAGCATTGGCCCGGTCCTGAGATGATGTCGGCAAAGAGATGGAGACCGCACGAACTGAACACGAAACCCGAAAAGCTTCCAAAACCCTGAGCCCAGACCTTCCAAAATCCCTTAATTAAGGAATATACCTTAACATAAAATAGGATCCCTAACACGATTTTAGTGATATCCCTTCATTAAGGGGTTTTGGAAGGTCCAGGAATCTTAAACCCTGAGCCCGAAGCCGCTAAAGCACTAAACCCAAACTCCCCAAAAGCCCAGAAACCCTGAAGTTCGAGGAATGCTTATATGGGAGTTTCCGAAAATTGGGGACCCTAAGATAGTACCCTAAATAGTAGGATCCTAACTATAAGGGCCCCCATATAAGGTACCCCTGATTTTCGGAAACTCCCATATGGTTTCAGGGTAGGATACCTTATAATTTACCATAAAGGGCTTAGGATAATCATATTCCAACTTTCTGGCTTTTACTTTAAAGCCCTAGGAACGCTCGGCCTTGCAACAGTGCTTTGACCAAGCAGCGCACACCATGTAGACTCGGCCAAGATCCGCAGCGGCAATTAAGGGCTTCGAACATGTTCGACCAACACCCTGCTATGACGAACGGGAGACACAGCCAAGTTGACCATGTAAACAACCGGAAATGACAAGGATTTTCTTCGAGGTTCATTAAAGCAGGCTTCACCAGTCAACATGAACCGAAGTTGGAGGCCCGGATGCAGGCACAAACACCTCAACCGTCCAACGTGCTAACAAACCGCAAGGAAACCCAACATCCTACAAACCCTAGAACCCCCGCGACCCCTCAGCCCTACCTTTGGCCTTTGTTGGAACGTGCAGATGGAGCCCTACAGTAAATCCTACAGAACTTTGCCTAGATCCAACCTGAACCCCAAAAGTTGCTTTAAAACCTACAACGGCCCTGTTTTGACTACTACAAGGGGTCGGAATGAGTCGTAATGGTGCTGCCTGGTCATTCAGATCATTATTCAACTCTAGATAAGTGTGTATATTTAAATATATGTAGCAAAATATAACCCAGGAAACAGTATTCCAATTACTGAAGCCCCCCATCTTGCAAGCTTGGGGAAACCTCGCTTTCAAGTCTCTGCCATAGCTGCTTTCCACATGTTCTTGGACGTCAGCCAAGGACAGGAGTTGTAGTCTCCATCTGTGAGGGTTTTTAGGGTTTAGGGACAGGAGTTGTAACCACCTTTTGTTCAAGTTAGCTCAGAGTCTTGCAACAGCGCCAGGCAACTAAAGTTTGGTCAGGGGCCGGGATTTAAGCAGTACTGAGAGTACTGTCTGGGTTGTATTCAAGGTGTCAAGGTTCCTTTATAAACCCTGCAAGCTATTTTATGCTTCCGAAGAATTGTGATCACCATCTGCGCAGCGTTCAAGTTGAGGGGTGGATTGCTAGCTAGGGCGCGGCCGCCTTGCAAGGCCAGAAGAAGGCCACAGTTGGAAGCAAATTGAGGGTTGAGGGTTCGGGCTGATAGTTTACCTAGACCCTAAAGAACCTACCTTTTTAGGGTTCCCTATGATTTACTTATATAAGTTCTTAAAGGGTAGGTTCTTGAGGGTCTCGGTACGGTTTGCAATTGAGGGTTTAGACTTACGCCTCAGGGTTTAGTTAGGATCTGCGGGATTTATGAGGTCAGGTGAACGCTTGCCAAATGAATGTGGGTTATGGTCAGTTCTTGTTCTCCAGGTTTGCCAGGGTTTCTGCGCCAGGTTTCCTGGACCTCGCGATGGTTATACCCTAGGGCTCCAGTTACCTCAATAGTAGGTTACTGGGGTATATAATATATGGTTAGTAACCTGCTACTTAGGTAACTGGAGCTCTAGGGATACTCAGTTTAGATCTCGGATTTCCTGGCAGCCGCCCGCAGGGCGTCATTGATCAGGTGTTCCCGAAATGTAGGGTTTGGCATTCGTCGGAAGCCATATCTTTTGAAGGGTCGTTGCAAGGTCTGCTACGGTTCGATGGGAGGTTGCAGAATTTGCGAACCTAGTCTTCTACGCAGGACATGCAGCGCAAGCGCATGCCCACACGTTTCCTGCGCCTACTGATGCCCTGAACACGCAAAGCCACGACTGGCAATAAACTGGCTTAGACTGGCCAGGAAATACAACCCCAACACCGCGCGCAACACTGCCTTTCTGGTACGGCATGCCCACCGATGGGTAGAACTTGAACCAGCGGTTCTCCTGTGGACATTTGTCCTCGGCTCGACAAGTCTCGCGTTGCAGGCTGCGTGTCGCAATTTTTGTTACAGCAGGAGCAGCAGTAACAGTCCTCCTCCTGAAAGGTTCTTACTAACACGACCCGTTCTTCCGCCACGACCATACACATACCACTACCCCGACCACTACCTGCTGGACTGACTACCACTACTTCTTCTGCTCCTGCTGCAGCTGCGCTCCTCCTCCTACTACTTCTGTTTACGACCACGACGACTACGACCACGACCAGCAATAGCACAGACCACGATCACCACGGCCACCACCACCACCACCACCACCACCACCACCACCACCACCACCACCACCACCACCACCACCACCACCACCACCACCACCACCACCACCACCACCACCACCACCACCACCACCACCACCACCACCACCACCACCACCACCACCACCACCACCACCACCACCACCACCACCACCACCACCACCACCACCACCACCACCACCACCACCACCACCACCACCACCACCACCACCACCACCACCACCACCACCACCACCACCACCACCACCACCACCACCACCACCACCACCACACCACCACCACCACACACCACCACCACACACCACCACCACCACCCCACCACCACCACCACCACCACCACCACCACCACCACCACCACCACCACCACCACCACCACCACCACCACCACCACCACCACCACCACCACCACCCAGCACGACGACGACCACCAGCACCACCACCACCACGGCATAGACATCGCACATAATGGTGGTTGTTTCAATCGCCATAATTGCCCCTAGTAGAACCCCATGACCGCAAAACAGTCCAAACTCTGAAGCCCTAGCAACTTCAGCTGATCCTTTCGAAGTCTTGTTTCGGGGTTAGTGTTGATCATAGCACACCCGCCAGTGTATCCTGAGTTTTGCTCGCTGTCTTGAAAGCAAGGAGTTTGGGTTCGCTCTTAGCCAAAAAGCTGCTAGACCCTGTCGTGGTGGACCCCGAATACAAGCTGAATCTTCAAAGACCTTTCCAACCAAATACGTGAAATCCCCAATACCCTTCGAAAAGAGAGGCTGCGGTCACCACAGCCCTACAAACACTGATGTTCAAGGGGCTTGGGGATGCCCTAATATAGGGGCCTTAATTATTAGAATAGGGTTTTGAGGCCGTTATACTGTAATTACATTAAGGAACCCGCCGAATAGTATAGGCAATTAGTTATTAAGGCTCCCCTATAGTAGGTGGGTTTAGAGCCGCCGAGCATCGATCAGTTTCACAGAGTCGGCGGCAGGTGTGCCTCAGAAAGTTGTCCCAAAGCCCTGACATGGGAATCTATACTGAGATTTTTTTTAAGGACCCCCCCCAAAATAGCATTGGCATTTATTTAGGCTCCTATATTACGTAGCCGGGCTTTTTGGCGCCATGCAGTCTGAACGTCTTTCCAATAACCCTGCAGCAGAGTTTTGGATCAAGGATCTTACAAAATACTCACCGGGTTTGGGACTAATCAATTCTCCTTTTTGGGGGGACCAGGTCCGAAGTCAGTTCGTACAATCCTGCACTGGGCTTTGAAGTAAACAAGACGACAAAAACGTGGCATGCTACTCCAGAACCCAGACAAAGCTCAAGTTTCCAAGTGACCTCCCGGCCACGTAGACGCTGCAGGTTGTGCAAAGCCGGTGCCAGCCGGCGCGAAGCCGTTTCCAGTGCCTCGAACAGACAGGCACTCTGCCTACAGACTCTGCCTCTGATGCATGAGACTGAGGAACATGCCTCAAAGCATCGTCAAGCCTTTGGGACACCAAGGGGCATGGGCGTCGGAACCAGAAACACCTCCAGAACCCTAGCACAACAAAGAAAAGCCCTACTCCCCATACGCCAGAGACTTTGCCCACCTATGAAACCTAACATGACACTTCTACAACCCTGACAGTGCACTTTTGTACAAGAAGCAACACAGGTAGAAGCGGGATGGAATCCGGCTTAATACCTCTACAAAGTCCTTGCAGAACTATTGCGGAGGGGTGCTCAACCACAAATCCTAAGCCTTAGACCCTCTGGGCCAAACTGCGACTTGACTTACTTGGGCGTTAAGGACCTGGGCTTGGAGATTCAGAGTTTGGGCTTTAGGGTTGTAGGGTTTGGGCTTTATCGTTTTATGGTTTGTGGCTTCGAATGATTAGGTGTGTATTAAGTTTAGGCATCAGCTACGTCTGTGCTTCCAATCCGAAATCGATGCTGTAGGGATTGGCCTCTGAGGCCTTGGATAGATCAGTAGAAGCTCTTCGGCATACGTAACTTGCTGAGTGCATTAGCCGTACATTCTTACATGCTCGCGAACCGATGGACATTAGGAACTTCGTTCGAACACTTTGCAATATTGCACAGGCTTGTGTTGCTTTTGGGGTTCAGCACGGACTGTTTGCCAGTGTGTACCTAAGAGAAAAGCGGAACGATGGCCAAACCCTATAAACCCTAAACCGTTCCAGCAAGGAGTCTCGATGTCATGTGCCTTCCGCGGGCCGTAGTAGGTTCCCCAGTATCTCGCACAAATAAGGATGGGTTCTTGATACTGTGCCTGTTTTATATCGACACCCCAACATGCCAGGCCACTACTGAAGAAGCCCTAATGGAAAAAGCCCCTATACGACCTTAACCAACTCCTCGAAGGTACTGGGGAAGTACATCTGAAACCCTCAAGTACTCAAAACTCACAGCCTCAAGCCCCAAAGAACTTGGCTGCCTGGTCCTGACATTGGCGCTTGCCCATTGGCCATCGAGCCTGGGCAAGATAGCCCAAACCCGAAACTCTGAGCCTTACACTCTAAACATCCGACATTCCTAAACCCATAAGGCCTATAAACCCTTATCTCTACTAACTAGGGTTCGGGTTTGCTGCTTTCCGAACTCTCTTCAAAATCCTAAAGAGGGTGGGCAGCAGAATAGCTCTCAGCTGAGCGTGAGGCTCAAAGACTGTAAAAGAGAATACCATGCATTTGGTCTGAGTCTACTGAGCTGGGGGGTTGACGGCTTGCGGTTTGAAGGCTTTCGGGCTTCGGCGCTCACACTCGGACAATCCAGGCGAGGCATGTGCTTCGAGGTCTGAAGAGTGACACATCACAACAGGTCGCAACAGCACCTTCGGGTTCAGGGCTTGAGGGCTCGAGGGGTAAATCCTACACCCCTGATCCGGCTGCCTGGTCCGGGAGCTTGCCCATTGTACATGGAGCCTCGGGAAGGCCGGAGAAATCAGAGGTCCTCGTTCCCAGAAAGTCCACTATCCCTTAATTAGCGAAGATCCCTTAGATTATAGTACATTATAGTAGAACCCCTAATATGATTTGAGGTATATTCCTGAATCTCTGGGTTGAACCATCGAATACAAGACCGGGATGACGGTCTAGAATCGAGGCGTTAGGGTTATCCGGAATATTCCCTCCTGTCCGGCTCTCAAGCAAAACACAGCACCACGCAGCCTCGATGACTGTTTCTTTCAACAGCTCGGATCTCTTTACATTGCTTCAGGGAGCACTCTAGTTGATATCTAGGGCAGCAATTCTATCCGTGCAGGCTACGCTATAACCTAACGGTAACTTGTCAAACCGCATACAAAGATTTGAATTACCTCTAAAGCCCTAACACAACGGCATAAAACTCCACAAGGCCCTTGTCAAACACCCCCATAGAGCTTAGTGTGCATCACGGCATGGGCGTTTCGATGAGCGCGTGCCCAAGTGTCGCTCCATATTGGTTTAGTAGGTGATCATATACAGGGTTTGGGGACATTTAGGAGATGATCAAGGTTTAAGACTCGCGTTATGGATACTGTGACATTGAACCTACAGCTTGTGTAGGGTTTAAGAGAACGCTGAAGCCTACAACCATAACCCAAATCCCTGCAGTATAGACACAATAAACCAATACCGAACCTCCAACCCTAAACCCTAAGCCGTCCGGGTTCCCACCCTGCTCGGGGCTGGCCTACCGTTGACGGCGCCGCAGTGGGTGCGTAGCCGTAGTACTGGTTGAGATTCGAGTTGTCGAGCCTTAGACAAGCTTTCGGCTTTCGGGTGCTCCAGGGTGTCTGGGGATTCATTGAGAGTACTAGTGCTGATGGACAAAATCCTGCATTACCCAGTATATTTTATGAATATACCATAGTTCCCGTAGCTCCAGAGTCCTTAGGGTCATGCAGGATTTCGTCCATCAGCAGTAGTGTTGAATGCGAGCTAGAGCCGTCATTGCCTTTCGTGGGTGCTGGTTTCTTGGAGTCTTGAGGACTCTGAACCCCGTGCCCGACAAAAATGTTGACTCGAATCTACACGCCCAAAGCCCTGAGCTGCGCCGTACAGCCGGCGTTTTGTGAACGAGGTCTCTCGGAAGTGCCTCCCGATGAGCCGGGTCTAGTAACATGTCAACCCCTCCTGCTCTTAAACCCTATAAGCCTTGAAGCCAAAGCGCTGAAGCTCGTTGCTTGGAAAATTTCTTCGGTTGGTCTCTCCCGGAAATCCCTCGTTCAAAGTGTTCAGATCTCGACTTGCTCTGTTTCATACAGGGACCTTGAGAGTTAGAGCAGGGTTTCGGGTATGTGTATATATATATATATATATATATATATAACATATTGTGTCACTATCTATTCAGGGATAGTATGGGGGACTTGTTCTGACCTTGAGAGTAAGAGCATGTATAATATCATTGTACCACAATAGATGCAGGATGGTATGGGTATTTCCTCAGGCTTCTACAGTACAGATCTCACTGGGAGCACGAAGGACCCCAAAACGGACCCCCTGGCTGCTTCGTAGCCCCTCCCAACTGAATTCATCTTTAAGTTGTCCAACAAACACAGGCATGTCTGAAGCTGTTAGGAGTGCTGTTGAGCTAGGTCAGTGACTGTACGCTTGTTTCGTCTCGTTTCGTTTTGCTTTGAAGTGTTTTGCTTGGAGACAAACAGCTATAATAATTCTGCGGGAGGTTTTCCATGTCTAACGCCCCAATAAGCGAAACACTTCTGCAAGAGGTTTATTGACTGCAAAATGGACAACAACGGACATTAACAAAATGGGGTTACTATTTTCTTAAAGAGCTAAGCTGACCTGGCCTTTACTGCAGAATGGACAAAGGACATTAACAGAATGGGGCTATCATTTTCTCAGAAGCTAGGCTGCCCACCCATGGTGTTTCGCTTAGTGGTAGTGCAGAACATGTGTCTGTTGTGTAGTTTCTGAATGATTTTGGTGTATATTCATAAAACGATTACGTTGTGAAAACTCGACAGCGACTGACTTGAAGCTTGGGTTAGTTATGCTAACGATGTTAATGTTGTGCTAACGCTCGGTGATAGTAGTCTTAAGCTGTGAAAGAAATGAAACTTTGTATTTTCCTGATGTTATGGGATTCTGAGGGTAGGTGTTATTCCTAAACCGTAAACACAACCCTACATAAAAACTGCTCGATCCGGAGCTGCTGAACCCTAAACCCTAAACCTAAGCAAAAGGAATATCTTCGCCCGGCAGCACAGGTGCACGAGCCTGCGCATTGAGTTGGGGTGGCCCGCTACCTGTCAGGACAGATGCGGTGCAGTGCTTGATACTGCGAATAAAGGTCCCGTACTGGTCAGATGTTGTCAGAAAGACAGAACCAAATCCCTAAAACAGGAACAGAAGGGCCTATAAGAGCTCTAAAATTCTGCGACTGCTGATGCGCGTCATCCCCTCAGTGGGTCGCCGATGTATGGGCACAGTCTAAGCAACTCACTATGTCCTAGTTGCTGAGTTCATAAGCCTCCCAAAAGTGTACACTTTCGGTTTTATAGTGGGTAGTATTAACCCAAAAAGTGTAAAGCGCATCCACTCAGCCACTAAGAATGCAGCTAACTGCGCTCCTGGAGGAGCATCTGACCCCTCTTCGCGGGCTTTATGGCGGAACTGGGTGCGAGTGGATTCATAGCCGCCTTGCCGCTTCGTTGCTGAAAGTAGGAATATACCTTAAATCATATAAGGGATCCTACCATAATTTAAGGAATATTCCTTAGTTAAGGTAAATCGGAGTCTGTGGGTAACAAGTACCTATAATACTATTTGGGGGGTTCCTTGTTATGTATACGTAGTTGTAGTATGACTGTTCTAATTATTAAGGCCCCTATATTATTCTAGCTTGGTCCTCTAATGTGAGGGCGCCCTGAGGTTCCGTGCAGTCCTTACTCGTGTATACGGGCTCCTGCAAATTACTTTGGGCCGGATTGCGCGAAGAACTTGAGCGAACAGCACCATATTCACCGTATCCTTCTGCAGTCCCGCTGTGCTGGCCTCTGAACATCCAGATACGCCCATCTGCGTGGTTGAATGCAAGAGCTCCTGCTTGCAACACAGCTTCTGCGGAAGGCGTCCTTTCTGTCTGTTCACTATGCTCTCTGTGCCTCTGTTATGTTCGATCAGGCGTACTACGAAGGGCTTCCAGCCGAAGACTTGCGTAAATTGTGGTTCACACTTTCGACCTAGGTTCAGAAGCCGTGCGAAACGCTTGCTCCAAGTACGTCATGCCTTCGCAGGGATTTGAGGCATGCGGGAACCGGTCATTGAACGCTGCTTGCCCTGTTTAGATTGCTCGGTCCGTGATGGTTAAGACAACTATGACTTCCAATACATCGGGTCTGTAGCCTGAAAAACGGACGCCCTTGGTCTAACACATAAGCCTTGAAACCCTAAAACGCCTTCAGACTTGGAACTCTGAGCCCCGACAGACCCTCAGCGCTAAACCTTAAAGCCTAATTGAACCCAGCAAATCAAAACCATAAACTTCGCTACCTGAACCACCGAAAACCTCACTTGTTAAGGACATACATGCCAGGAAGTGTCATAATCAATCCATTAAGGATCCTAATAATAGCAATAATAATCCAAAAACAACAGCAGCTATACCAATGATAATGACAACAGCAATAGACATGATACCAAAATTAATGATCATCGTAGTCATGATCATGATATATAATATAGAAGTCATATTCGTAATCATACGAAAATAAGAGTAGTACTTATTTTTATGAACAAGAGGGTTAACAATAAGAAGAACGAATTAAACAACAGCATAACAATAAGTATTTTAATACTGACAGTAACAATGATACTGATAGGAAAATAGCAATAATACTGCTACGACTGCTAATAATCGCAGTAATATCATACAGTCTAAACATAGTATGCATGTATATGTATATACATATATATATATGTAGATTACAATGTCATATACGGGCTTTAATGCAGGACACCTGAGGAACAGCAGCAACTACTAGTCATATCACCTGTGCAACCAGCCAGGCAGCCCCTGCAAGTTCCTCCGTCAATCCCCAAACCCTGGAATCCGCCGTTCCTCCTGGCAGGATCCAGGTCCTGGGTTTACGGTTTAGGGGTTTAGGGTTTAGGGAAACTGGTTTCTTTGTGTTTCTATATAAAGGCCTCTATAAATTCTATAAAGACATTACAAAGATCCACCGACGCTTGTCCTAACACCCTGAACCCCTAAACCCTTTTTACACCTGGACCACGCATATGCCAGGAACCGAGGCGCCGACTATGCTGTGGACTCGTGCCACGGCTACCCCAGATTGCAAAAACTGATCAACTGGTCATTCCAAGTTTCAACTTGCAAAACCCTAAACCCTCTCTCTCTCTCTCTCTCTCGCTCTCCAGGGCATCAAACCCTGAATCCCCTAAATCAGACACCCTTAACTACAGGATATCGGGGTCCCCGGGCCCCGGGCAGGGCGATTCTGGTCTTGGTGCTCGTGTAGGGATTAACATAAAACACCCCGGCAATCAGTTCACATATGAATAGATACATGAATCGAAAATGTATGTGTGTGTATATATATATATGTTCAGCATATTAGGTATAATGTGAACGGTCGGTTGTTACATATATATATATGTTTATTATACATATATCGGAGCTTGTATTTGTATATACATGTACGTATAATGAAATATGTCTATAAGCGTCATGCCACAAGTGCATCGAATGAAGCAGGTCCAGCCGTCACTGTGTCCCCAAAACTGTCCAAGGCCCCGAACGTAACCCTCAAAAGCCTGCACCTACGGACGAGGTTTAACAGGGAGGAGTCTTAAGCGAGAAACCTTACGAACGAGCAGTAAGCGATAACTCATAACAGGAGCCCTAAGGGAAAACTCATAAGAAGAAACCCTAGGCGATAGTTCATACGAAGGAGCTCTAATGGAACAGCCATAAGGTAGGAGGTAGGGCTTTGTAGGCTCTAGGAAGCCCTTGAAGTCGGTGGAGTGGCTCCCAGGCCGTTTCCAGCACTTCGTCGATGTTTCTGTTGCGGCCTTAGTTCAAAGATCCGGAAATGTAGTAAGTGGGAGGTCATAGGTAATAACACATGCGGTTACTCTAATTATAATTAGTTTCTTATCCTATAGATGGGGGGTACCCTAAACAGTAGGGTACTTATTCCAAGGATCCCAAAAATACAGCACCCCTAATTTCCGCAAAATAAAGTCCCCCCCCCCATAATTTGAGGAAACTCCCATATGGTCCTGGTTGCTCAGCCGCCTCAAAGTCTTCAAGTCGTATGCTGCGAGCTGTTAATCATTAAGAGGCTGGGACTTCGGGGCCGTGTTCGTGGTCGCGAGTCATGGTTTTCTGTTCGGGTCTAAGGTTCAGTGTTTAGGGCTTCTTCTGGCTTTTGAAACTTTGAGGGGTTGATGCAGCTCTGCCGGCGCCAATTCCTCCCAAAGTCTTTGCACCAATGCTTTCAGTTCCAGAATTGAGCCACCACACCACCCCTGTGGCCCAAGTGGAGCAGTCAATTAGGCTGTCGGCTCCTCGGTTACCTTGGACAAACCTGTGTTCGGCACTTTGTCGTGGGTGTGGCCGGAAGATCCTGCAGCTCATAATGTTTGATTCCCGCGATCACAGGAACCAAATGAATTTGGCGGAGGGCCGGCGGCGTATTGCAAAACCCTGGCTCGTCAGTCGTGCCAACAAGTTTCGAGGCTGTGGCTTCACCTATGACCTATGACGAGATGTTGAACCGAGCACACAGAGTCAACACTCAAGACCGGCTGGCTTCGACTCAACTTTTGATTGTAGCACCCGTTGCCGGCCACCAATTTCCTATTCCAGTACAGGCCCTTCCGCGAACAAGGGGACGATCAACCGATAACTGATACCATTGATCTACTTGGAGGTTCATGGGTACTTACAAGTAGGGGTATAATATAAGTCCCCCACAATGTGGGTTACAAGTATACTTACCCTACTTATAACCCTACTTCTAATTAGCCATGAACCTCCAGGTAGGGTCTGCTTCTGCCAAGCATCCGCACTCATCCGTGCAAATCTTCTGCCCAAAGATCTGCCAAGCTCTCTTCTAAGGGTTTAGGGTTTAGGGTTTTTGCTTATCCCAAATCAAACCTCCACCCCCAAATCCTTAGAGCTTCGATCACACGCCCAAAGCCTCCAAAACCCAAAACCCCAAAACCCCTTTTCAGCATGGGCTTGGATTGTGCGCCAGCGAACACTCCTCAACCCAAAACCCCTAAACCCTAAACCCCACATAAACCACCAAACCCTCGACTCCTAAAACTCGGAAAGCCCTCAGATCAAGGCGAAACGCCGTCCTACCGGGTCGTAATCTAGAGCCCACAGCCGGGACAAGCCAATCATCGGAACACTAGAACTTAAGTGGGGTTGTGTCTATAGGGGCCTTAATAATTAGAATATGGCTTTGGGGCCCCTTATACTACAGTTATAATAAGGAGCCCCAAAATAGTATGGCTAATTGTTTAGGCCACTATAGTAAAAAAACGGTTTGAATCCCTTATCCCCAAACTAGGTCATCGTTTTGTACTCCTTATCGTTTTACAAGGTATCAAGGGTTTTCGCTTATGGCAAGCACTGGGAACCGGCTGCGCTCTTGGTGGCTTCGGGCATCTTACAACCCATCTACACTGCATTTCCCAAGATGTCCACAGGCCTCAAGGGCAGGTGAACATCACCTCCATTCGCTGGCTCACACGGGTACCGGATGGTTCTTGTCAAGGACTTTAACTTAGGGGGAGCCACAATCCTGAAGTACAAAGCACAAAACTCTATACTCTATAAGAACCCCTGAAGAATCCCTAGGAACCCTTGAACCAATCCGAATTCCCAAACCCTTTTTGAGCAGGGGCTGTGGTGCACATTGCCCTGGTGTTGCAACCCCAAAACCTCTAGCCCCTAAACCCTGAGCCCTACCTAATGGTATCCATTGTAGTTCTGTTTTTTGAATAACCAGCTATACATTTAGGATCCTATATAATATAAGGTAACCCCGAAAAGGAACTACAATGGAGACTATAGGCATCTAGGATGGCAGGCTAGTGGAGCCATCAGTTTAGGGTCTCGGGTTTCAAAGTTTAGGGTTCAAGGTCTATTGTTTGCGAATCCCAGGCTCTGGATTAAAATCTTGTTTGTATTGGGTATTGGAGCTTAGGGTCTTACGGTCTCTGCTTTGGGCTCCAAGTATCTTCACAACCTAGACACACAGGCCGTCGAATGCGCTCCGTCGGATGTACCCATGCCGGGGACGCTAAACCCGAAACCTTAAACCCTAAACCCTACAGGTTTACCCATACGCCCCATCGTAGTTCCTTTTTGGCGTTCATATTTAGAATTCGGGAAGATATTACCAAAAAAGGAACGACTATGGGGCCTATGGGTAAGGTCGACTAGGGCTGAGCGTGGGGCTCGAGGTTTCTAGTGTATAGGCCTCAAGAAACTCGGGCGCCTAATGCGGAGCCCCGGCTTCTAGCTCTCTTCGTGAGGGCCCAAAGGGTAGGATCGCACTATCATCGTTATCCCGCCAGGCGGCTTGTCAATCCAGGGTCTGAATTTACAATGAAGAGACACCAGGAAAAAGCAAGTAAGCAAAAACCCCCAAACCCCGAGACACCAACGGCTGCCTTGAAGTGCCGTTGTGAGGCTATGTGGGCGGACCAATTGCCAGGATGGCCGACGCCGTGATCTTCGGGCTTCGTGTTTAGCGAATGTTTCCGAAACCAAGCTTCCAGCGTTTTAGGGGCTTGTGTGAAGAGGGTCTCCGAATATTTTCTGCCGCAAGATTGTAAGATATAAGGCATTTCTCATAAGTAGGTTTGCAGGATCCAGAAGGAGTTTGCTAAACCCTGCTTACTTTTCTGTGCTGTATGTAATTGAAGGGTCTTCCTGAACTACAGTCAAGGGGCTGTGGGGTTTAGAAGGCTTTTGATCTCAGGGTCGTAGAGACAAAGGATACATGTCCGATGGTGAATTCAAGTTCGAACCGGTATGAGGCTCATGCCTAGCCCGAACCGTTGCGGCCAAGCACGGACTGCTTGCAGCAGGTAGACCAGTTCGGGGACCACTCCGTCGCCTGCCCCCGGCACGGGGTTGAACCAAGATCACTGACACACTCATCGGGGGTTTGCACACCCCAGTCAGACTGGCCGGATTGTCATCAGTGGCGTGCGCTGACACATTCACCGGCGGTTTTCAAGCCCCAGTCAGACTGGCCAGACTGTCATCAGTGGCATCCGCTGACACGTTCACCGGGGTCACTCCACAGTCAGACTGGCCAGATTGTCATCAGTGGCGAACGCTGACACATTCACCGGGGGTTGTCACGCCCCAGTCGAAGTGGACAGCTCGTGGCACGTAAGCGATATGACTCTCTGCCCGATCCGAACCTGTTGCACATCAAGCAAGAAAACTTGGGCACGGAAGCCCGGATTCCGCGGGCTTGAAGTATGAGTGTGGGTCATATTATATGGCAAGTTGACCGTAGAGGGTTTAGGATTTAAAGGTGTTGGTGGTCTGGATTTACAGCATGCACATGAAAGTCCAGAAGTCCAAAGTCCAATGGCATCGAGCATAATAGAGATGTGGCTAAGAGTTGATGAGCTCATAAGAATAAGCTGCACAAGCCCATACCATACATTATAGACGCTGAGGTTTAGAATCTTCGAGTTCTGTGCAATGACGCACTTGCCGTTGAAAACCTGCTGGCTCGAAGATGTCAAATCTGCAGCAAACCCAACCGACATCCAGGGATCCTCAAGTCAAAGGCCCGGTAGGGTTAAGGGGTTTAGGGTCTAGGGCTAAGGGATTTTCGGGCTAAAGAGTTTAGGGCAACGGCTTGATCATCTTCCAGAAGCTCTCTACATTTCAACAGCCTTATGCTTCAAGCCTTAAGCAAACGACTACCCAGGCCCTACACGTACTCTTAACGAAAGTCTCAAGCCCTCAGTGAGGCTTCAGGCAGCAATGCGGGTTAGTAGGGAATGGAGGAATGGGGTACAATTATAGCTACTGTTACTACCATTCTTCCATTCCCTACTAACCAAAGGTAAGTCAGGGGATTCCGAACCCAGCTATCTTTGCACCCCTAAGTCTTAGGAATCTTCTGCGATCGTCGGACTTCAGAGGGATATTGGAGCCGGTGGCTTTTCCACGTAAAGATACATACAAACAAATCTAGTAGTAAATGTGTATATACAGACAATATATGAAAATTGGCATATAGCCCTGCCGTCTGTATACCCGTACTATACCCGTACATAAACTTTACCGTAAACATCGATAAACCCTAAATTCCTACTTGGCATTATCTAACTAAAGGTACCGGGCAGCCTTTACACATCATGCAGCCGTCGACGCAGATGGACCGCCTGTGAGGATTTGTTTGATGAGTTGAAAATTGCTCCATTGGCCTTTTTCCGGGGTGCGTACACTCAAGCAAAAACGGCCTGCGCCATGAGCCCCAATCTTTAACTAACAAATTCGGACCCATAGTCAGATTACAAGTAGAGTGACTTGAAATGGCATAATCGTGATGCGCCTGGCAAGAAAAACTTTAAAACAACACGCTTTACGGCCTGCCTGGCCCCCTGGAGACCGAGGCACCGTGCTAACACCTATAGTCCGAGACAATATGGGAGTTTCCAAAAACAGGGGACCCTCAAGTACCTCTAATAATAGGATCCTTATTATAAGGACCCCAAATAAGGTACCCGTACTTTTCGGAAACTCTAAACCCTTACAGAGCCCTTTAAAGGAACCCTTATAGTCCCCTTTAAAGGAACCCTAAGGTAGCCCCCAATTTTCGGAAACTCCAGGGAGGCCTTGCTCCCTGACAGAGTCCTAGCGGACTAACGTAGGAACCTGATTCAGAAACCTTGGGGCCTTTACTAGGGTTCCTTTAGAGGGGTCTATAAGGGCTACTATAAGGGATAGGGTACTACAATAATGTAGGAATCTGATTCAGAAACCTTGGGCTTTTATTAGGGTTCCTTATTATATGAACCCTACTATTTTGGGGTCATAGGCCTAGGGTTTCTTACCCAGGTTCCTACAAGAGCGGCCTGGTTACAAAAGGCAACCTCAGAGCCCTACCATGCCCAGGGATCAATGTAAGTAGGGGGGGGGGCATGATACTGCTGATGAGATACATCCCGCATTACCTTAAGGACCCTCAACTAGGGGAATTATGGCATATTCCTTGCTATGGGTAATGCAGGATCTATGTCATCAACCGTAGTTTGAGTAGGCTTTTGCGGATATTCTACGTCCCAGGACCCCCCATGTTGAACTTGTGGGCAGACTATATTAAACCTCAGAAAGTCCGCACCGAAACCCCCTCAAACTCCAAAAGCATCAAACCGAAAGCAGCATATTAACGATATCAGCGAACCTTATCGCAACAAACCCCAAACTCAAACCCCCTCAACTTCGGCAGGGCTGCTGCTGTAGGAAGTTGTCGACGAGTTGAGCACGGCTGCCCATCCTCTCTTTCCAGGAGTCCTCCAAATGCCAATCTTGCGAATAATAGCTATATTGATACACCACTAATGTTGATAATGGCCGTAATAATTACAATAAGAACCTTAATAACTACAGTAACAATAAAATGGGGACTTAATGCTTAGAATTGGGCCTCAAAGTTTAGGGCATGTGGTCCATGCCTCCTTCCTACTTATTGGGGCCTAGAATTGGGCGTCAGAGCTTAGGGAATCCCCTAAAATGGGAGCTTTTTAAGCTTATTTAAGCATTTATTTCTGCCTCGGGCCTCCAGGTGTTCGGTTTGGTGGCTTAGGGTTGCGCAGGGGTTTCAACGTTCTGGGGTGTATTGGATACTCCCTATAGATGAACCTAAATCTCCACAAATTGCTGCCAAAGGTTTATTGCTTCCGGGCTTGTCTGCTTTCTTTTTCGTGCAAGGCTTGGGCTGTTTCACAGCGAGTGACATGTGATGGCAAAGGCTCATGTTCGCCGAAACCGAGGGTTTGACACCCGGAAGGCAGCACACTAGGCAAGAGGAACCCATATTGCTCGAAAGCGTTCAGTGTTTAGGCTTCAGGGTGCTTATCTTAAGGCTCCAGAGTAGTTCCTTTTTGGGGTTCATATTTAGAATCCTATCAGGTAATCCCAACAAGGAACTACTATGGAGCCTATAGGCTTAGATGAAAGAAAGGACACAACCGGCCATTGTGCAACCTGCCTTGTTCTGCATGTGCGGAAACACGCTCCAGTCGCCATGAGGTGCTGTCCGCTGCGATGCGGCATTATGCATTTCGACCCACTGGTTCTCCTCCAAGGACAGTGGCTTGGGCTTAGGGTTTAGGGTTTAGGGTTCTCCTCCGGGGTGTATTTTTAATTCCCACTTGGCGCAGCTTGGGGTGTATTGCTTTTCTGGTTTAGGAGTTGGGGGCTGTTTGGGCATCTGGGGGGTTCCTCCATGCCTGCTTACGAAACCGTCTGCGTCTCTGCTACATCTGACCAAGTGCTCCTGGGACAGAGTTCTCGGGTCCGGAAGATCTTGGGCAGGCGTCATGGGATGCAGGGTGGGCAGCAGAAGACGGCCACTGCCAGGCCGGGCTCAAAGACGATCTTCAGCACTTCGCACTCCGCCGCCAGCCTGCTTAGCTTCGCGCCACGGCGAAGCATAGGGCCGTTTTGCCCATTATGACAAGCTGCTAAGAAGAACTGTGTCGCTGTAAGCACTATAAGAAATTATACTATATCTATTCTAGCATACTACATTATGTGATGGTAAAGTCTGCTATATTGCATTATAATGTATTGTATCTCAAACACTCCTAAACTCCTAAAGCCTGAACCAACACTACTTAAACCCGTGGTCTCGACAGTCTCGTTGGTTCGATGTCTTCTCCCGTGAGTCTCTAGCTTGCTGATGCTTCCATGTGTCGTTACTTGAGCCGCAAAGCAGTGGCAGGGTTGAGTCGGGTGTGGGGCAATGTAAACCCGTGATCATTCAGGTCATTAAAGCCTAAACCTAAACCCTATAAACCCTAAACCCTAAACCGCTAAACCCAACCTAAACCCTATAACCCTAAACCCTAAGCCCCAAACCGAACTTGATCGGGCCGCAAACTGCCCGGGTAAGTCGAGGTAGCCAAACAGAGCCGTAAAGTTTCAACCCCGCCAAAACCATGACCCCATACAAAGCTTAGAGTTTGGTGGCCTGCAAGGACCCTAACTTCTGAGCATCATCGTCTAAGATCTCAAACCCGCCCACCAAAGGGCCTGACTCGAAACCGTTTACCGACAGTTAGATGCACAGGTCTCCGAATGACTCGGCACACCCTGTGTGCGCTTTGAGGGTTACATGCTCTGCGATTTTTGCACAGCTCGCGTACCCAAGAGATACCCTAAATCTTTTAAAGTAAAAGCCAGAAAGTTGGAATATGATTATCCTAAGCCCTTTATGCTAAATTATAGGGTATCCTACCCTGAAACCATATTCCAACTTTCTGGAGTTCCCTTTAACCCTTCACAGTCGGTGAGCCTCAAATAAACAATCCACACCTGCGCACTAAGTCGCTTGAGGGAGGAGCAGGGTTTAGGCTTTAGGGTTTAGGGTTTAGGGTTGGCATGTGAGTCTTCGGTGAAATATCCAACCAGAGATGTATAAGAACTGTATATAAAATAGTACAAGGGCCTTATAGTACTTGTCATAGTCTTGGGGTGTGCGAGAACACTTTTCAGGCTACTAGATGGGTAGTCCATTCAGGGGCCTATATTTTTACAACGCTGCCCTATTTTGGTGCCGGGTGGCTTTGGGGTTTAAGGTTTAGGGAAAGCCCGAGAAATCGGCATGGGAAAAGGGAAGCCCGGCACTGTGAACCCAAAGCCTTGCAGGTTGGGGCTTTGGGGGTTTACCGGCTTGAGATCATAATCTCCCTATAGTCTCCATTGTAGTTCCATTTTTTGGTTTAACCGAATATATATATATATATATATATATATATATATGGGATCCTATAAGGTAACCCCAAAAAGGAACTCCAATGGAGACTATAGGTCGTCCCTCGAGCACGAGATTGGAGAAGTTGAAGGAGGCACAAAGCAAAGCAGAACACAGCAAGACTACTATAGAAAACTACTTCTATGCTCCTAGCTGAGTGATGGGCGCGAGATGGTTGGGATGTCTGTCTTGAGAGGACTTGTAGGAATTACGATCAGTGTTCTCGAAACCCCAATCTTAAGGAGGCACATGCTGTCGTAACCCATCGGAACACACCAAAGCCCCTGCATCCAACGATGCAAAAATGAGCGGCTCATCAGCTCCCCCCCTGATATAGGGACCTTCATAATTACCAATACTATTTTGGGGGGGTTCCTTATTATAATTACAATATAAAATATGCCCCAAAAACCTGTTCTAATTATTGAGGCCCCTGATTTACTGAGCATCTGGCTCACGCACAAGGTAGGACACCAGCTGCTCCCGCAGGCTCTGCACCCTGATTGTTCATTGGATGTTGGGGTTGAGGGTTTATGGTTTAAAGTTTTAAGGGGGAGGGTTTTGGGTTTAGGGCTGTAGGGTTTAGGAAGCTCAAGACGGAGAAATGATGGCCCCGTCCTTGTATGATCTTGTATGGGGGTACAGGGGTAGAGCCTTGCTTTTATTCGACCCCTGCAGTCTTGCAGCACGAGCTGAACTCTGAGGCTGAGGGCTGAGTATGAGTCGGACAAGCACAAACACCACAAGCTGGCCGTTGGCAGTCGCTCACCCTAAGGGTCCATGTACCCAAATAGTATATACTTTGGGCCCAGTGTACTTATATAGGGAGTACTTCAAGGCCAAAGTATATACCGATTGGGTACATGGACCCTGATAGGGTCAGTTTAGACGAAATGCGGTCCACTCGCCCGCACTGCATGTACGAAAGCCTCGAAATCAGGTGTCCAAGCTGGAGTGACGCGTTTTATGGACCACTCACTGCTGCATTCATGAGGAGAACCTTGTCATAACGGCCCAAACATGCCATCGAACTGGCTCTTTGTTGGACACATTGTTAGTTTGTTAGAACCCACACGTACTTTATACCGTGATTTGAGGTACAAGCTCGGAAGCAGGATTTGTAGTCGGCTGGCAGGCTGAGTATAAGACTCCATGCCGCACCCCAAGACTCACCCCAAACCCACCAACGAAAGCAACATCCACAGGCTAAACATAGATCAGAAGCCTTTGTATTCCGAAGGACATATCACATGGGTAGCTGTCAAAATTGAGGTCTCTTTTTGGGTGCCCGAAATAATAGGTGCCGTATTGTAGTAAGGACACAAAAAGGGACCATAATTTTGACAACTACCCATATGACTCTTCAGAGCCTTAGGGCCGCATCCCTAAACCGCTCGCACCAAGGTCTGGAAGAATATGCTTCAGCTTAGGTACGGCTCCCACTCAGTAATGGTTGAATAATATTCGTAATATAGATATATTAGGACCTTAATAGCAGCCCTATTATGGACTCTTACTGTATGGGGGCAGTACCCAAGCTTTAGCCATCTTTACGTGCATGGACACTCCGAGCAGGACACAGAACTTGCTGGGAAATACACGCAACAACGAAGGAGAAACACAGCCGTGGAATGTTGGATACGCTGCAGGGCGGCACTGCAGCTCATCCCGAAACCCCTGACCAACCACATCCTGAACCCTTTTTCCCTTGTACCCTAAACCACTAAGTTCCTAATCCCTCAAGCTTAAACCAAAATAACCCCCAGGCTTAAGACCGAAAGCCCTAAGACCTGGAAGTTAGAACTCTGCAACAAGCCGCCTCGGCGACTCCTCATCCTCGTAGTCCAAGACCTCCTTCAGCCCTGGCCTGCAGGCAATCGGCTTGAAAGGATGTGGGTAGCTACAGGTGGTACTAGGTACTGATATACATACATATATGTGTATATGTAGATCTATATCAAACCATATATGAATTAAACATGGTTTTCGCGAAAGAAGTTAAACAGCGAAAATGCAGCGGACAGCTTTCGGCCTCAAGCCATATACATATACATATATATATGTATATTATAAGAGTTTCGGCTATCATTAGTAAGCTGTGGATGCAAAAGATCAGAATATCGTTTTCGTCTTCAGGGCTTCGTGCTCCAGGTGGGGAGACCTCGGTGTTGTCATAGCCAATGAGCAGACCCAAGCCACTGAGCTCTTGATTGACTCTTCCAACATGGATAGCAACATCGAGATATGAACAACTCGTCGTTCCTCCTGAAACCTGAGCTGCCGACCATTCCATCTTGTCCGCCGCGATGCACGTAATTTGCCTGGTGACATGGGTGAGACATACATTTGTCGGTCCATGGATTGAAACTTCTCATGGAACCTCCAGCTAGTCAGAGTCTGTAAATTGAAGTGTGGATAAGCTTATGCAACCTTGTGCAATTAGTACAGAGTCTTCTCACCCAAGGTCGAAACTAGATGGCTAGAAAGCCATCACACCACGATCAATCCGTAAGCCTAAACCCCATCAAGCTACATCCCAAGTTCGGCTCGGGCTCAACGCCTGCAGCTGCAGCACGGGCCTCTACAAACCAGTTGCTAGGATAAGCTTAAACAGATCTGTTGAACAAGGACCAGAGATGAAAGAACAAACATACACGCGAATCCCCCCCATACACGTGCATGTATGTATGTGTATGTATATATATATATATATACATACATACACAGACACGTGTCCTGGCTTTCCGCTTCAGGGTGCACCGACATTTCCTGTTCAAGGTCTCGCCCTTTTTCTGTCCAGGCTTGTGGCTGTTTAGGGCGTAGGATTGAAGGATTTTGTGTTTTTTCGAACTTGGGGTTAGTGGTTTAAGGTTTATGCCGAAATTAATCAAATCAGCCGGGTGTACTCCGATGGCGCCCCGTCGGGCAAGTGCCGGTAGCGGTAGTAGCCTCAGCGTAACCACTGTTGAGCTTACTGTCTGCAACTTAGACAGCCATAGTACATAACTAGGAACCAACTAGTGATACTACTAACAACTCGCAAAGGGGCCTTCGTACTTAGAACAGGGTTTCGGGGTAATTACCAGATTTTACGGTACTTTCTACTGACTACGAGTATCCGGAATCTCCGCAGGCTCCTGGGGTGGTTTTAACACTTTGACACGAGAAGTATACAGCTTCGACTCTCGCATAAAGCAGGCAAAGCAAGCCAAACAGGGCTAAGGGCTCACAGGCTCACAGAGTCTATGAATTCTGTATCCGTGCATCTGGCATGATTGCAGGATGCCCTCATCCTGACATATTCAACATCGTTTATTCATCTTCCCAAGCTCTAGGACGACAAAACCCTCTGAAGCATTGTCTAGAACCGCATCAACGAAGAGATGGGACTTGAGAAATAGAATGGGATTCTGGAGTATATTCACTACGCGCATATTAGGGACTAGAAGGGGGCATTATTGCCCACGTAATCGATCCTCATATCATGCATCAGGGTTGTTACAACTTGTAGGATTGAATGTTTTGAGTGGGGTCCTGAGCCTGTCTAGTGCTTTTCTGAAGGCTTGCTATGCCTTGGCTCTTGGTCGTGTATAAGGGGCACTAGTAGCCAGTAGCGCTTGCTCTTAAACATTTCCTACTGTGTCCCATGCTGACACAAAATATTCAGGGTACCCAAAAAGGGGCCCTAATTTTAACAGCTACCCATTTATGTTTAAGCAGTTTTGTACCCCAATAGCAGTGTCATCCAAGCCCCTGGCCAACCTCTCCACCTCCTAGGTCCAGGTAATGCCTCACGCAGTCGCGAGGGTTCCGTTTAAGGGGATCTTAAAGGTTCCTACTAGGGTTCCTAAAGGGGGTATCGGGTTTAGAGCTTAAAGCTTAGGGGGTTAAGGTTTTGGGGTTCCGTTATGTAAGGGCTACTGTAGGGTTGAAGGATGAGGGCTTAGTGCTTAGGGGTTTAAGGCTTAGGCGTTTGGGGTTTAGGGGCTAAGTGCGAGTTCAAAGGTTCAGGGGTCTAGAGAATTCGGAGTCTAGGCGAGCGGGTGGGTCAAAAGCATGAGTTTAGGGTTTCGGGCTTGTACGCAAAATTGGCTTTACCCAACTTCAAGGGTTTAGGATATGGCGCCTCGAGCATTATAGGTTTGTCTGAACACCACACACCAAAGCCTAGACCCATCGGGGACCCTGCACAGCTTCAAGGAAGAGATAACATTATATAAAACCTACATCAGCATGCGAACAGCTTCTGCCAGCCCGTAGTTCCCCAAACACCCATCCCGATATCCCTCAAGCCCCACATCCTACACTCGAAAATCATGCACCCCCCAAATCTTAGGTGCTACATCCCTACACCCTACACGCACCTTACACCAAACATCCTGAAATCTAACAGCCCCAAGCCTTGATCCAGCTAGGGCCCTAAGGCCCCAAAGTAGTTCCTTTTGGGGGTTCGTATGTAGAATCCTATAAGGTAACCCCAAAAAGGAACTACTTTGGGGCCTATGGGTATAGCCGCAAGCTAAATCCTGCACCCTACAAACTTGCAGCTCTAAACCTTATGCGAGTCCTTTTGTTCGAACCCATGCGGAGGCCGATGCGTGCGACAGGAGAGATCAATACTTATAACCCATATTAGGGGACTTATAACCCTACTTATAACTACCCATGAACCTCCAAGAATAGAACCTACCTTCTTCCCTTTTCTAGGGTTTAGGGTTTAGGGCTGTCCGAACAGCTCCCAGGAACAAGGATGCACTGAGACACACATCCAACTCGAGGTCTGCGAGTCCTATTCCTAAAATCCTTTTTTGCAACTGGGCTTGGGGACCACCAGCCAGATCCTTAAATCCTGCACCCCAAAGTCAAGACACTGAATCTCGAAACCTCGAACCGTCTGACGCTCAAGGCCCAGACGTCTCCGGCCCCTCCAGGACGGCTGGCTGCTGCAGCCTCCTCGCAAAAACTCCAACATCTTGTCATTAGGGTTGGTTTAGGGCGTAGTTACCAGTTAGTACGTATCATCTATTCCTTAAGCCACTTCTGCCCCTCCCCGAATACTGCAAGCCCCAAGCCCTAAGACTAGCCCTGAAGCCAACGATAAGCCCCTACATCCCAAAAACCCCAAGCTCTAAACCTAAACCGCAAACCCCTAAACCCGAAATGAGCCCCAGGCCGCAAACCCTAAACTCGGAACCCCCACACCCCACTGTAATCCCTCAACGCAAAAAACCCTCAAAGGCCTAAACCCCCCCACCCCCGCCCTCAAGACCCCTATAGCATAACCCTTATAGTAACCCTTAAAGGAACCCCGAAAGGAACCCTTAAAGGAAACCCTAAACCCTACCCTTAAAGGAACCCCACTCCCTACTAAGAACCCCCCAGGACCTGGAGAAGGCACTGGTTCCCATCGTTGAGCGCGAGAAGCGGGAGATGCCTCAGAGGAGGGTTTTTTCAAGGGGGCTCCAGGATTGTGGGGTTGAGGGGTTTCGGACTTTAGGGGTTTAGGGCTTTAGGGGTTTTAGGATTTTGGGATTTTGGGGTTTAGGGGTTTAAGGTTTTGCGTTTACGCTCTCGCAACTCGGACAAGCCAGACGAGGTCTCTGCGTTCGGGTCGGCAACTATGCACTTTTGGAAGTTGGGGCTTACCAGGACCCAAGTACCCTTTAAAGACCGCTCATATACTTCTCATGAAGAGGTAATTGCGGTCTACAATGAAGGGTAGTTGGGGGATCCGGGTAGGTTCTCGGATTTAGGGATGTTTCGGGTGTCGGACTCCCGGAAAACGGCTCCGAAGACTTGCAAGGAACCCTGGGGCTCGGGTTTAGGGTTTCGGCATGCTCTCCCTTGGGGGTTTGGGCCAAGAGCATTGGGTTAGGGGCATCAGGGTTGAAGGAAGAAGGGGCTTCCCATGGCTTCAAAGCAGTGAATGGTTTCGGGCTTAGGGCATAAGCAGTATTGTACATACGCACACGCTGATCTCAAGATGTACTTGTCACAGAGTTTGAGAGTTTCAACGACACATATCGTACCAGACTTTACTATCCCCTACACCGTATACCCATCCAACCCAGGAGAAGCCTGAAACAGAACCCTAGCTGGGAACTTTTATGAACTGTCGTATTTTTGAGAGGGTTCTTTAAAATTTTTCACGATCTAGCATATCCCCAAACGTTTTTCAAACTTTTCGGACCTGTATCAGTTGGTAAAGAGCTGCAGAGCAGTCAGTCAGTGTGTGTGTGTGTGTGTGTGATTGAATATGCTGGCCTGTCGACATGCCGTAGGTTATGAAACCACTGTTCTCGCATACTAAGTCTGAGCAGAGTCTCGTGGAAGCTTACACCGTTCGAAACATCAGTCTGTTTTTCTGTCTGCGACCATCGGGGGAGAAGCAAACGACTAAAGGAAACAACCGAGGAAGACAGGAGTCACGTTAGGGTTATGAAAGTCATGGGTTCCTCTTTCGGGGCCTTTGCAGCCAAGCTTTTCGCAGGCAGAGTCTGTCGTTGATGGCTCTTACCCTAAACCCGGGCCAAATACTCAAAAGCCTGGTAGAGGTGAATGCCTAAGTCCATGAAAGACTAAATCGAGGACAGATAATTGGCAACGCATTCTCAACAGCCACCAGAAAAAATAGCATAACTATTTTCTAAGGCCATCCAGATTACAGAAATGCATCTGCTCCAGCGATTACAGCCTGCTAGGTTCGAATCTCTTTAGCCCCGGACATCGCCGGATAGGGAGCAGGCTCGCACCTAGGGCTTAAGGCTTAAAAGTGCTTTTTCGCGTACGGTTCAGGGTTGGTGGTTCAGGGTTTCAGCTCCCTTTCCGTAGGGTTTGGCTGGGTGCAGAAGCACCTGAGTCTTGGGCGTGTCAGCTGCTGAGTTTCAGGTTCCAGGCGGGTGAGTAATGTTTATTAAACAGAACCTCAGAGTGTGGGATTAATTTGGGGTATGGGGCTTGGGGATCTGCACCTGGTCTGTTTTGTGAGGGGTAACTCTCTTCAACAACCGGGCCCCAGAAAGCTCAAACTTTCTAAAATAGAGCATAAGGCCAAACAGTTTAAAGTTCCCCCCTTCACTATCTAAGGTAGGGTTGTTCTTTAACGGCATGACTCCACGCTTTTTTCCCTACTATGCTTTAGGACTTTAGGTTCTAGCGTTTGAGGCTTTGGGGTTCCTAGACTTCTCTCTTGCTTCTAACAGGGATCCTCAACAAAGCTTCCCTGACTTGAGAGATGGATGCGCAAGCGCAGAGAAAGGCCAGGCTGGCTGGAAGGTAGAAGCTATTTGATACCATCAAACACCGTGCGATTCAGCGTGTAGGCATACGCGGCATCCAAACCCAGTCGTCCAGCTCAGTAACAACATTCTTTTGATTGAAGGGCTGCAAGTGTTGTAGCCATCAGCGTCTTTAGCAAGGTGCCAAAATGTTTTCGCTAAGGGCGTTTAAGACAAACACGAAGATATGAGGGTTTGGGGAAATCTTGTTTGCCGCTGAGGGTTGGCGAGCTTCAAACGGATCCCTTGCAAAAGCGGTCTCTGAGAGCCCAGCGATCTTTCTGCTGGCTTTGCTCCACTGCTTCCTGCTCTCAATCAGGGTTTAGGGCTGAGAGTTTCAATATCCACCAAAAGCCTTAAACCCTTAACCCAAAAACCCCAAATTCTAAACCCCTACACCCTCAAACCCTCAACCCCTAATTAAGCCCTCAGAGGCCCAGGAGCCGGATCTCCTCGTTGGGATCACAGTTTCTGCGTGGTGCAACTTTCAAGGTCGAGGACTCGACTGGAAGGACTCTAGAGAAAGCCGAGCAAGACCACGCAACTACCGTGCACTATTAAGGATCATGAGGGCTCTATTCAAGCGTAATTACTTTGGGGGCCTCTGGTAAATTTAAAATTTACAACCTTTACGCAGTCGCAGCTTGGGCTTTCCGAAGAGAGAGGTCTGGCGGGGGAAAGTGCCTCACGAATTGTTTTGGGGCAGAATAGGGTTCCTTTTAAAGGAGGTCTATAAGGGCTACTGTAAGGGATCTATAAGGGTACTTACTATACTATAGGAGCCTGAAGAATCAGAATAGGGTTTTGGGGCCCAATATGCTAAAGTTATGATAAGGAACCCACCAAACTAATGTTGGCATTTTTAGGTCCCTATGTTGAACCTTCTGAAGCCCTCAATCTGGAGCCCGCCCTGTCATCATGCTTCATTACTACGTGGGATCTAAACCTATAATTATAAACCCTTAACATGCCAGAAACAACTCCATCAACTCAGTGATGGACTGAAGGAGTGGGCAAAGGCCTTCCACTGCTGCATCGTAAGCTCGCAAAGACCACCAGGCCTCTGGAATAAACCCTGCTGAAGCCGCAAACTCAAACCGAGAGGTTTAGGGTTTTATGGGTTACCCATAGGCCCCAAAGTAGTTCCTTTTGGGGATTACCTTATAGGATTCTGAATATGAACCCCCAACAGAAACTACTTTGGGGCCTTAGGGTAGGCCCTTGTCTGTCAAATGCGAACATACAATCCTTATGCCCATAGGGTATGGTACAGGGCATTCCAGCACCATATATAATCATCCTCAACCCACCTTCCAACTTTCCGGGCTTCACGATAAGACTTGCAGACTTGGGTTGGTTTAGGGTTTAGAGTTTTGGGGGTTTAGGGTCTATAGGGCTTTGGGTTGATAGGTTTTAGGGTTTAGGGTCTATAGGGTTTAAGGCTTCTAGGGTTTAGGGTGTAGGGTCTAGGGTCTAGGGTCTATAAGGTTTAGGGTTATTTGATGTTAAAAGGCCCTTACCTGCACCCGCAAGAGTAGTCTAAATAAGGGCCCCCAAAACCTATAAAGGGCTGTTACTCTACATTGTTTGGGGCTTCAGGTAGCCGCAAACCGACGCATTTGTGCATAGGGCTCAAAGTGACTAAGATGGCGCGGTATGGTTCGGTAAGGCTATGAGCCTATGAGACTTTGACACGACTCAAATATGACTCTACTCGATTTCACTATGTCTCGGGTTGATTATGTTCATTCAAAACTTAAACAGAAACACTTAAGACTTGAATTAAACTAGCAAGACTATGGCTCTGTATGCGTACGACTAGGACTTGGACTCACTAAGACTCAAACTCAGACTTACACTAAGAGGCTAATCAAGCGAGTAACAGTTCTATCAGGCTAGACTCTGGCTAAGGGCTACGGCCAAGGCTTCATTCTACGGCTCTACGCTAGCCGCTTAAGCCGCTTAACATAACTTAGGGTCTAGGATATAGGATTTAGGTTTTAGGGTTTAGAAAGTAGAAACATAGTAAATGAGTGACAAGTCTCTGGCAGGACCTCCAAGAAAAAGACCCGCGGCCCGATCAAGGTCACTAAGGCTCGACGGCTACGGCCCTGCGACAGCGGCGGCTAAGGCTAAGGCTGCGGTAGCGGTTTGGGGTTTAGGGTTAAGGGCTTAAGGGGGGCTCACACTCAGACTCAGACTGATTCAGACTAAGACTCGCAAAGACTCGACTCGACTTGTGATTCAAGTCAAGTGGATGCCTGGAGGTTCCGACTCTACTAGTCTACTCCTGTGCAAGTGAAGGTGACCAAGACTAGACTCAGACGAAGAGTCAGAGACTAAGAGTAAGACTAAGCCCTCGTGCACTAAAGACAGTCGCTGGCGCTTCTCGCAAAAGGCTTGGCCACAGGCCATACCGCCAAACTCCGCAAAAAGACGTCCGTGGTGCTTTTCTGCAGAGCCGGGCCGTGTCAGCAGCGGGTGCACGATTTTCAAAAGATGCTTCTTCTTGAAGCGCTCCTTCTCGCAGCCGTGCAGGAACAGCTCCTGGTAGCCGAGAGCTTCTGTGAGGATCCTGTGGACCAGCTCCCATCCCCGAAGCCACGCGCACTTGGAGGATCATGGGACTTAGTAAGTAAGGTTACAAGTACCTTAATTGGGGTTATAAGTAATTATAAGTATAGTTACCTTATTTATAACCCCAATTACTAAGTCCCATGATCCTTTAAGCATTGTGGCAATCGGCAGCCGGCTGCCGGCGTCGCGAGACTTTTAGTCTCATTGCCACGGCAGCTGCGTCGCTCTTCCAGGTTCAGCTTGGGCCAAGCCTCCCGCAAGAAACCAGGCAAAAGCATCTCAGGCTTCCAGAAATTTCATAGATACTATAGGGGCCTGAATATTAGAATCGGGTTTTGGGCTATAAGATACTCTAATCCTAATAAGAACCGCACCAAAACAGTAGTACAACAGAAACTATTGTAAGGCGCCTATATTAGGCCCTTAAAGGACGCAAACCTCCAAACACAATCCCACACCACGACCCTATCAGGGTGCAAAGATGCCAATATCCCTGATAGTAGATATGTTTCTCTCTCTCTCTCTCTCTCTCTCTCTCTCTATATATATATATACACATATGGATTAGGATTTAGGGTCTAGGGTTCATAGGTGTATATCTATATATATATATATATATAGCTATATAAATATATGTATTCCGAATTATGAAATCGTTCCTTGCATTCCGCAACCTGACATGAACCAACAAACTACAAAGGATGGCTTGAGGCTTAGGGTGTTCGGGGTCTGGGGCTCTAAAGTTGAATAGTTTTACCCTCTCGCATGGCTGAGGAAAAGTTGAAAAATTCAGTGGTTGGGGTATTACCCATAGACCCCAAAGTAGTTCCTTTTTGGGATTACCTTACAGGATTCTACATATGAACCCCAAAAAGGAACTACTTTGGGGCCTGAGGGTAAGTTTCCACTAACACGTGCACAGGGCAGGTTGAAGTTTAGGGGTTTGTTGTTTACCAGGATCCTGACCGTACCCTAAATCATGAAGTTAAATCAAGGCTTCACGGTCTCTAACTTCAACGGTCGGTACTTCGGTTTTGCACTGTCGTGCTTCAGATGCTTTGGTTTTCTTGGGTGCTTGCGTCTAAGCGGGCAACCGATTGGTGAATTCGTTGCTAAAGCCGGTACGAGTACTAAGCAGGAGCTTGCTTTTGCGTACGGCAACACGGCTGCACACCCCTACTGTTGCTTGGCTTTGGGGGTACGGACTAGCACCCAGGGACCTAGGGTATAGATGAGGGAGTCGGGAAGTTATCTGGCCGGGTTTTACCCATCTTCGGATTTCGGGCGGGCCCAAGAAAAACTCAAGCCCGAAGACCCTGACCCCTAAGCAACACTAATGCCAAAGGCCCTCAACAGGCCCTAAACCTTGAGTTCTAAGCACTAGCCCTAAACCTAAGCTCTAAACCCTAAACTTAGGGCGTTTGCCTCCCAAAAGGACCTAAGTTACTAAGCCTTCGACAATGGCAGAAACTTGTCTCTGCGACGCAGGAAGAAGCATGGAACTCCTGGATGTCTTTCACTTTCCGGGTGCTGGAATTCTACGAGGTTTGGGTTTAGGCTTGTGGGATCTTGAAGTTTTATGGCTTTATGTTCTAGGTCTTAGGGTGAGGTAGCTGACGAGGTCGCGCCGCAGGGAACTTGGTTAGGAGAAGAAAGCAGGACTAGATTCAAGTCCTGGGGGTCACTCGTGATCACAACCGAAACCCTGCCCAGACCCATATAGTGATTTCTAGTTTTCCTGACACACAGCATGGACTGAAGACCTACTCATGGTGACTCAAAAGATTCAAAGAGTACTTACTCTACCACTAGGAATAACTGGTTCACGGCGTGGCTCTGCAGCAGTCCAGGCATAACTGGAGATAAGCTTTAGAAAGCTTAATATTGGCACCTTAAGAACTTAAATAATTAGAATAGGGTTTGGTTTGACCATTATACTACAAGTAGAATAAGGGCCCCCTCCAAAAAAAACATAATATAATTAGCAAGACTCCGACATTGGAGTCCACCATTCAGGAGATCGGGGGTCCTGCCCCAAGCCTTTCAACCTCAAAGCAGTGCTCCGAAACAGGAAACCTGATACCCATGGCCACATGAGCCCTCTTAGACTGGTGTTATAGACAAGGGCAGTGACGAACCCTGCATGTTCAAACCCAACATTCATGTAGGGCTTAGGGTTTATAGGGTTTAGGGTTTCTTGGGTGTAGGCTTTAGGCTTTATAGGGCTTAGGGGGTTTATAGGGTTTAGGCTTTATTGGGTTTAGGGGGCATATAGGGCTTATAAGGTTTGCCACAGATTGCCCCGACTCCTTCGTGAGGATCTCGCCGGCCTGCGCCTGCCTGTGAAAGGTTCGACAGTTTCATGTCGCACCCTACGGTTGATGATATAAATCCTACATTACCCATAATAAGGAATATGCCATAATTCCCATAGTTTAAGGCCCTTAAAGTAATGCAGGGTTTATACCATCAACCGTAGGTCAGAAGGCCCCCCCCACCCTGTAATAGTGACTATAAGGATCATATTAGGGTTCTGTTGTATCCCTATTCTACCACTATTGCAGGGTGGGGGGGATCTTCTAAGCCCTAGGGCTCTAGATACCGGAATAGGAGGCTATACTAACCATCTGCCATATTCTAAATACCGCCGTAACCCATGACCGAAATGGTAGGCTATACTAACCATATGCCATATATTGCCCCAGGGCTCAAGTTTACCGAAACAGTAGGCTATACAAACCATATGCCATAGATTGCCCTAGGGCTCCAGAATACCTCAATAATAGGCTGTACGAACCATCTGCCACATTTTAAAATACCGCAGTAACCCATAACCTTAAGGGTAGGCTATACTAACCATATATTCAGTACCACGGCAACCTACTAATTATTTAGGTAACTGGAGCCCTTGGGGTGTATGAGAGGCTTCGGGCTGCTCGTTGGGTGTTGAACTGCTAACAAACTGGTGGAGGATCTAGAAAGTACAACCGCTTGTTGGAACTTCATACTGTTGATGATATAAATCCTGCACTACCTTAAGGACCCTCAACTATGGGAATTATGGTAGATTCCTTATTATGGGTAATGCAGGATTTATATCATCAACCGTACTACTAAGTTACTAAAGGGGTAGATTTTAGAACCTGGTTACTTTAGAGGTTCAGATAGTAGGGCTCAAGGCCAGTTTCCAAATTCTCTGGTCCTTGGAGGATTCAAGTCGGAGGTTGAAGTAATCTAGGGGCCTTAATAATTCGAATAGGGTTGTGGGGCCCATTATGCTAGAATTGTAAAAGGAACCCCCAAAAAAGTATTGGACACTATGAACGCCCGCAGCTGAAGCTTTCGAAACAGCTGATGCGAGCAGGCCTGCGCAGAAGAAGCAGGGTTGTGCGTTCAGACTTGATTGAACTCCAAGGAAATTCTGGACCCCGAAACCTTAAACCCTCAGGCTTTCAAGCCCCCAAACCCCCAACCTTACCTCATGAAGACATCTGAGCTTCAGAACCAGCCTTCTGCACGGAATCTCGTCGGCGCGCAATGACCTTTGACAGGTTTTGAGGTTTCTGCCTCCACCATTCTTGACCAGGCATGACATGACATCTTGCTTCGGCCGGGGTCATCCGGGGTTGAAAGGAACCTTGCCCTAAAATAGTGAAAGGCAATGCTTTGGGTACTCTGGATGTTGTATTCTACGGGTAGGCTCTGCATGCTTCTGGCTGCCAGTGTAGCTTTCCAGGTTTTTCCCGGCTCAAGGCTTCGCTAGTTTGCTGAGTTCGGGACTAGATACCCTAGAAACTAGAAACCCTACGCCACAATCCCACCCAAAGACTCCAATATCCTTTAATTAAGGAAGATTCCTTAAATTAGTGTTGGATCCCTTATATGATTTAAGGTATATTCCTTGATTAAGGGATATTGGAGTCCCCTAAACCCTATAGATCCCTTAAGGGAACCCTATAGATCCCTTTAAGGAACCCTAAGGTATATTCCTTAAATTAAGGGATCCTTGGGAGTCTCTGGAAACAATCTGTAACCCTTCGCACGGGGTCCCTGCACGGCTCGTCTCCTGCTTGCTTCCAGGTCTCTGAAGTTTGCCTTTTCGGCCTCAGTCGGGCATACACGGTTTAGGGTTTAGGGGTTTAGGGTTTAGGGTTTAATTTAGGGTTTAGGGGTTTAGGGTTTAATTTAGGGTTTAGGGCTAGGGATACGGTTTCGGTACACTTCTCGATTTGTGCAACCTGCTTTCGACTCTCACACTCGCACGAGGCAGGCAAGGAAGGCTCCACACATTTTGTTCAGGGCTTACGGTGCTCGTGCTTTAGAGGGTGTGGGGGGGGGCTACTGAATGCGTTTACAGTTCACGGTTTTGGGCTTGAAAGTGCTTTGCGAGACACGTGCAGCCACCTCAGCATTTGAGTGTGGGCTCGTGGAGCTTATAAGCTGAAGTGAATGTTCAACCGAGTTGAAAGAGACTGGCCATGGCCAAACAAAAACGCGAGTCAAAACCAAATCAGTTGAGTGAACTAAAAGTGACTAAGTGAACGCATATCAAAACATGAATGACATGCTACAAACCCGCCACTTTGGCACACCTCGGTGCTACTGCACTACTACTACTGTAGTACTCCTGTATGCTTATTATAACCCTATAGTACTTGTGCAAGTACTGGTACTGTGCTTCTGCTGTGCTAATTACCACTGTCACAACTTGTAGAGAGCTCACATCCCTCGGCAGCCCAACCCCAACACCTGGGAGCACACCATTCAAGCCGCCGGGTGAGCCCATCACTGTCAGCACGACAATTCTTTGATGTCATGGAGGCTCCAAATCGAAGGCGACAGTCTCTGCACCCTTTGATATTTTTTAGGGCAGTGTTACTGATGCGGAAGGGGCCTCCTGGCCCAGGTGCGTCTATAGCCTCATGGCTGATGATGGGAACTTTGATCTTTGGCTTGCCCATAGGAAGCGCGATGGAGCACACGACAGCCCCATCGCAATTCAGCACGGCAGGATGCCGTGTGCTGCACGATCCGCAGGTAGTATCTTCGCCCCACGGGAAGAGTTTGGAGAGTCCCTTCAGCGTGACTTCTGCTGTGCTTACAGTCTTAAAAGCTTTCACACGAAAAATATCATGAGAGATGGTCCACAAAACTCAGACTCCAGCTCGCACTCGGCCCTGTAGCCCAAACCCCAGCTTGCCCCCCGAAGACTCCCCAAAACTGCTAAGCCCAGCCACAGCAGCACTGGAAGGCACGCAGCCGCCGCGGAAGGAGCCGGCAAAAGGGAGGACCTGGTTTTGGGTCTCCATTCTAGTTCAGTGCGTTGGGTTTAGGGTTGAGGATATATGCTTTGAGCAGCTTATTCGGGTGATATTGCGATACCTTACTGTTTCAGACGTTGAGTTCCGTCCATAGCCGAAACCCGAAGAACCAAGAACAAGTGTAGACGCCCCAGCCCCCACATCAAAACCGCGACTGGCGTTTGAGGGGTACCAGGCATAGGTTACCAGCCCAAACCCTATACATGTTAGACCATATATATATATATATATATATATATATATACATATATACATATGTATACATACACACACTTAATTCGTAGGGCTTCTGGTTCTCGGACTTCGGGATGGGAACTAGCAGGCACGGGCGTAGATTCTTCACGTAATACGAAACCCTTAATCATTCGCAGACTGTCCAAAAGAAGACTGCAGACAGGCAAAGCTCGTGTAGCAAGAGAACCCAGAAGCCCGTGTTTCAGTAAGGATACCTACCTGAGCCGGGGCACTGCGCGAATTTGCTGATACCCAAGAGTTTTCTGGCTTGGTTCAGCTTAAGGTTCGATGTGTAGAGTGTGGGGTCGTAGGGTCTACTTGCTGCAGATCCTGAACGGAACCGTAGCACTGAACTTCCAGATCCACCCTGTACTATAAACGGAGCATTAATCCGCGTAAGATTCCCAATGATAGCGAACTATATACAGTATAGTTTTAATTTACCACCCACAAACACACTACTCTAATTGTTCAGGCCCCTAGAGTACATGCTCATACTCTGCTGGCTGGGCCCGGTACATCTTGCCCAGGAGAGCCCTCCTTCCCACGTGGAAGGAACAAAATCGTGGTTGAATCGGTTTACCCAGAGGCTCCATAGTAGTTCCTTTTTGGGATTACCTTATAGGATTCTATATATGAACCCCAAAAAGGAACTACTTTGGAGCCTGTGGGTAGTTACGGGACTACAGTGCTTCAACTTATGGGTTATATAGGGTTACGATTATTTATATCCTAAATCAAGTTGAAGCTCCAATGCTTCAACTTAGAGATTAGAGGTTAGGGTTACGATCTTACACCCTGAAACCGACATCCCAAACACCACCTTAGGGTTACGATTGTAAGGGTTCCTTTGCTCTCAGCGTTCGACAACAGTCACTACGGTGGTTCAGGGTCGGGCCTCGGGCCCTTGTTGAAGACTCCTGCATGTGGGTGGTTGTCAATATTAGGGCCCCTTTTTGGTCCCTATTATAGTACGGCACCTAATATTTAAGGTACCCAAAAAGGGACTATAATTTTGACAACCACCCATGTATGAGACTTTGCCTTTCCGCTTCACGAAACCTTACCCCCTCAGTTTTATGTATGGCTACATAATAACACACGCCAACACCATATTCAAAATGTGGAATCTGAACGGACAGGTAGATTAGGCTATACTACAGAAAATAATCAAAATTAAAAGCCTTCACGAAAAGGGTCTTCGGTTACGTAGATTGATCAGACTGCTACAGGAACCCCTGGCAAACCGAGTCGACATTTGACAACAGAGGCAGTTCTTGGATTTCGATGTCTCATTTGGCGTAACGACTGAGGCCGTTGTAGTGAGACGGCGGCAGCATGAGGCGCATACCTCAACATCTCCTACCTGACGGTACATGGGAGTTTCCGAAAATAGGGGACCCTAATATAGTACCCCAAATAGTAGGATCCTTATTATGAGGACCCCAAAATAGGGTACCCCCAATTTTCGGAAACTCCCACATGCCACCAGGATGCACGGGCTCATTAGCATCGGCTCGGGGACCCGGGGTCGTGCAGCAACACCTCTAAAGGGAACTCCAGAAAGCTGGAATATGGTTTCAGGGTAGGATACCCTATAATTCACCATAAAAATGGTTTAGGATAATCATATTCCAACTTTCTGGCTTTTACTGTAACACCAGATGAGCACATGACACCCCACCCCACTCCCCAAGCCCCCTTAAAACCACTACCCCAGACCACCCACGCCAACAACAAATCCAAATACCTAGCTGCAACGACAACAAAAGGAAAGAATCTCTAAAACCCTACAACCCTAAACCCCAGAATTGTAAACCCTAAACCCCAAAACCTAACCTCCAAAACCCAAACCTCTGACAGGGGCTCCTTTGCAAAGTCCTTGCCTTGAATCAGGCCGGAGGTCTCTACAAAGAGCCTCAGCCACCAAAACCCGAAACCAGGTACTCAGTTGCCGGGCGCCGAAGGCCCAAATCTGGAGGTTTTCAGGGCCTTTATAAGCTCGGGGCTTTGTGAACATCAGGTTTAAAAGGGACTCTGGTTCAAGGTGTGTGGTGAGTGTACAGGAGCTTGGTTTAGGTTGATGGGTCCTTGTCGGCGCTTGACGCCAGTCTTGTGCTCGGCAGTCGGCAAACCCCAAAACCTGAATCTGCATACAGGCACCCGAAAACTTACAACCCTGCGAAAACGGAAATCATCACTGCACAATTCCCACAATAAAGGCTCAATGGGTCAGTCGACCATGTATGTATGTAGGTATGTATGCTTTAGTTGCCGGAAGGCCCATTTACCTGCAAAGAAGCCGGCTGCCATAGACCTACAACCTGCTTCCTAAACCCAAAACCCCTACAGCTCCAAGCTCTGACAGGCGCAAAGCCCGAAAGCTTGGGCAAACCCTGAACCCCTGAATCCTAAAACCCTGAGCCCTAAACTCTAAAGTCCTAAAACCCTGAACCCTAGAATCCTAACACCCTACACCCGAAAACCCAAAAGCCCTAAACCCTAAACCCCTAAACCCTAAACCCCTAAGCCCCTAAACCCTGAATCCTTAGACGTGGCTGGCCAAGGAGCGCGGAAGCCCCAAATCTCAGTCCGGTGGATATGCCTTGCCCTCCGAAGCCGAGGGTTCAGGATGGTTTAGGGTTTATAGTTTTGGGTTTAGGGTTTAGGGTTTAGGGTGTAGGGTTTAGGGTTTAGAATGGCTTAGGGTTCAAGGTTTTTTCCCTTAGGGTTCAGGGTTTAGGGTTTTTTACCTTAGGGTTCAGGGTTTAGGGTTCAGGGTTTAGGGGTGGTTTAGGGTTCAGGGTTTAGGGGTTTTCAAGGGTCTATATTGGTTTTTTTTGACACTCACACTCGGACAAGCCTGGGGAGGTCTGCAGAAGTAGGTTCGGAGTGCTTCGTTATAGTGGTTTAGGGTTCAGGGTTTAGGGGTTTAAGGGAGCTTAGGGTGTTTTTTCCCCGCCTACCTTGCAAGGCTTCGGGTGTTGGGGTTCAGGGTTTACAGGGCTTAGCTTGTTGCTCCGGGCTCCATTTGATTCATTCGATTTTGAGTGTAGTCGGTTTGGTTTCAGCATGTCAAAACCCAAACCCAAGCCCAAGACGATTGCAGCAGTTTAATATAGGGGGCTCAATAATTAGAATAGGGTTTTGGGGGCCCATTAAACTATAATCATAATAAGGAACCCCCACATTAGTATAGGTAATTACTAAGGCCCCTATATTACGGGACCTGAGATACTAAGCTACTACAGTAATCATTTGGAGCCCTGGGATTTTCAGTTTCGGCCTCCAACTAGTCACAATCACTAAGCATTTCTGGTTCATAAGGACCCCTAGGGGGGAAGGGGGAGGGGAGTAGGGGGTTTAATGCCTATAATCAGGACTTTAATAGACCTATTTAAGGAAGTATAGTCCCCTACCCCCTCCCCCCTCACCCCCAAAGGGTCACTATGACTGGTTAACCTGTGGGTTTCATATCGGAATTTAAGATACAAGTTGGTACAGTTATATGAGGACCATCGCGAAAGGATCATTGTAAGTTGTTCGGATGCATAGAGTGGGTTTCGGGGTTCGGACGTCCGGGATGGGCCGATCATCATCTCACTCCATGCTTCAGTGCGCACTACATTCAGACATGAGGGTTTGGTGAGATATCATCATGCGAGGAGCAGCGTGTAATGAGGATTGGAGGAAGTATCGCACGACCCTGTACCTGAAAATCCAAACCGCCCGAGCATGACTGAGGACAAAAATATTGTCGCGGTTGCTGCGGCTGTGGTTGTGGTGGGTTAGTGGAAGTAGCAGTAGCAGTAGCTGCAGGATAGTAGTGGTCGTCGTCGTGGAAGAAGTAGGAGAAGAAGCAGTCGCTGAAAAAAACAGAATAACCATCGCCGTCGTAGCAGCAGGAGGAGGACGAGGACTTGGAGTGGGAGTAGCAGCAGGCAGCAGGCAGCAGCAACAGCAAGATTAGACGTGGCAGCTGCAGCAAGTTAGAGGCCCCAAAGTAGTTCCTTTTTGGAGTTCACATATAGAATCCTATAAGGTAATCCCGAAAAGGAACTACTTTTGGGCCTCTGGGTAATGGCCTCAAGACCAAACACCGACATCCGAAGCCCTCAAAAGTGCGCAAGAGCAACATCAAAAGGTAGCGGGTACGCTGCGCTAAGCTTGTCGTTATGAGCGATAATCCCAAAACCTTAAACATCATCGCCCCGCCCAGCACCCTAAACCCCAAGGCTTAAACCCCAAAACCCTGAAACCCCCACCACCCAATGATAATCTGGTAATACTATAATTATAATTATACTATATTTTCTAACTTATAAATACATCATAATATCTGATCATAAATTATAATATCTGATCTAAAAAACATATATATATATATATATATATATATGATGCAGGGCTGCCACACCCCCCTCCCCCCTCACCCCATGGTATCCTCCCCCCTTCCCCCCCGCCCCCCCTGTGGTGTGGGGCCTGTGGTGGTACTCTTTTTGCCGCGACGTTCCTATGTGTTACTCCTTGTCTTCCCTCTTGCTGTGGCACCGGTGATGTTGTGCTGCTCTAGACCGGGACATGAGTCGACAATCAGACCATGCTCAACATCATCCTCGTCGCCGTCATCTTCATCATTAATACCTTCAAAAGAATATCTGCCACCATCACCATCGCCGTACAACCCTCATAATTCAGCATTGCAATTCATGTCATTCATGTCAGATGCTGGAAACTACAGAGCCGATTGCCGCTTTCCGCACCAGGGCATGGTGCGACACTCCCGATCCGCGCACAAGGTCAAGGGGCGGGCAAAGTGCAGGCGGGCCGGGCCGGGGTGCAGGGTGGGTGGGCGTGCAGCAGTGGGGGGGGTGGGGGGGGGATACCATGGGGGGGGGGGGGTGGCGGCCCGGGACCCGAGAGCATATTTTTATATTTGTCCTAAAACCCTTTTAGGTACCACAACAATCTGAGGAGACGACCAAATCAGCAAGCCCACATCACAGGAAACGAGTACGCCCACCAGCCTTCGCTCGCACTGCACGGAGCAAGGGCCGGGGTTTAGGGTTTGGGGTTTCGGGTTTAGGGTTACCCTAAGACTCCAATATCCCGGAATTCAGGAATATTCCTCAAATTATGGTAGGATCCCTTAAATGATTTAAGGTATATTCCCTAACTAAGGAAGATTGGAGTCTCTGGGTTTAGGGTAACCCTTTTGGGGTTTAGGCCTCTGGGACGAAAGGGCGGAGGTGATGAAGGTGCCCGGCTAGCTGTAAAATAGCAGTCGTTCCCCCTACAGTCAGTCCCAATACTCTGATGTTATACTATGCCCCGAAACCTTGTTCTAGCCATGAAAGCCACCGTAGGGATACGGTAGTTGTGACTACGATGTGGGGTTCCTCAGTTGTGTAAACGCCTTGACCATGACGACTCTTGCTGCGCATGTTTCTACAATGCAATGATGTCGCAGAACTTGTAACTGTGGGTTGATGCAACTACTACCATAGGGATCCTTAGGGATGTAGGGGGAGGGGGGGGAGGGGGCCTTAAGGCCCATAATAAGGACTAAAAAGGCCTATTTAAGGAAATATAGTCCCCTACACCCCTCCCCCCTACACCCCTAAGGATCCCTATGATACTAAGTACTACGATCTGAAGGATCTGCATTAAGAAAGCAAGCACCATGCGGCTGCGTGCAGCGGACGAGAGCGATGCTGAACAAGATCGGCGATGTACAAGATCTTAAACCAAAACATGGAGGCACCTGTCTAAGAGCAAGAGCTGCAATATACTTGCTTTCCTCATCCCTAAACCCTAAACCCTAAACTGTAGGTTAAGTTTACGGCACGTAGATCTCGCAGACCGAAGACCCTGAAGCTGGAGCCTGCCAACGAAGCCATGTCAAAAAATCCCAACACCCTCAAGTACCATGTAATAGAGCCCTTATGGTCCTTAATAATGGGTACTATGTAAGGTATATTACAGGGTAGATTTAATGGAGCCCTCATGGTCAGTAATAGTGGGTTTTTAAGGCTTTAAGGTATAATATTACAGGGTAGTTGGGTGGTCTAGGAGATCGCAAACCCCCGAAGTGCCGGCTCCCCCCCTGCAAAGGGTGCTAACGGCAGGGTCAGCTGTGCCCCGGACACGTAGAAGAATACGCAGTCGATCACCTGCAAAGCGTGTCCGGCAGCTATCTCAAGATATTTAGTGCAAGCCGTGTCTTGTCATGCACCGGGGTTTAGATCTTCTCACGTACTGGGGTTTAGGTGTCATCATTGCCACCCCGAACATCGCCATCAGGAACATTTTGCAAGTTGCCAGTAGAACTTTCAAGGCACGGTTTGCAGGCTTCGTGGCTAAGGATTAGGCTGGTGAACAACGCCACTGACCCCAAACCCTGACCTAACTTATAAAACGTATTTGCGAAGGCACCCTCTTACTCCCAGCTGGCTGACTGTGATGTTTGGTCTCTCTTCTTCAACAACCGGGCTCCAAAAAGTTGAAACTTTCTAGGATAGAGCATATATTTAAGGCCCTAAACCCTAAACCCTAAAGTTCCCCCGTTCGCTATCTAGGTGGGGCCTTTAGAGCCTTTGAAAAATGTTAGTAAATAAGATCCTCTTAAGACCAATAAGGGAAAATATAAAATATCCCAAAGCCCTACCTAGGAATAAGGCCCCTATATTATAGTACCCTTATAGATCCCTTATAGTAACCCTTATAGACCCCATTCCCCCCAAAGCCCTACCTAGCTATCTAAGTGCTGGGGTTCTACAGCAGCCAGCAAGCTCTGGATCGGGGTATCGACATGCCTCGACTGAATCTTGGGTTTCTTGCTGTACATGTGTATACCTATATATATATATATACATATATATATATATATATATATATTATATACATATATATATATAGGTATACATGTACATGTATCTGTATATGTAGACATCTACGGAATTTGTGTGTGTGTGTGTGTGTGTGTGTGTGTGTGTGTGTGTGTGTGTGTGTGTGTGTGTGTGTGTGTGTGTGTGTTCGTGCTTATGTCTATATGTGCATATATGTGTATATAGGGGCATACTTGGAAACTTTAATTCGAGCCTCAAACTCCAGCATCGAACCGCCTATGCACTTATGCATCCCATGCTGAGGCATGAGCTCTTCTTCACTAGAAGGCGATTTCACGATTCTGAAGCAGCAAGCGCGCGATCTCATAACCCTGAACCCTAAGCCCGAGTCTGCATTGTAGCTCCTTTTTGGTTTGGCCGAAACATTATATTATAGGATCGTAACCATAAAATTGAGGTTAACCCAAACCGGAACTAATTACAACGGAGACGATAGGGGGTGGGCCAGTGAATGATCTCTTTGGCGGATGCTTTCATCGGAGCTGTCTGCCCATTCTGGGTCTATGTCCTTGTCGGGCTTGGCCTCCCGCAGTAAACTCATGATCTTGACATGACCCGCGTCGGAAGCGGCCTTGAAAGCTGTGTCTGCCACATCACTGGCACCGGCCTCCAGTAAGAAGTGGACAATGTCGACATATCCTTGGCGGGATGCCCGCATCAAAGCTGTGCCGCCAACGTTGTCCGCCAAGTCCGTCTTGGCGCCGGCATCCAACAGCATGCGGACAACAAGAACGTGGCCCGCACCGGATGCAAACATCAAAGCTGTGTTGCCATAAAAATCTGCTGCATCCTTGTTGGCGCCGGCTCCGACCAGCAAACGGACGATCTCAACATGACCCTGGTCGGATGCAGCCATCAAGGCTGTGTACCCGTAGTTGTGTGCCACATCTTTGTTGGTGCCAGCCTCCAGCAGCAAGCGGACGATCTCAACATGACCACCCTCGGATGCAATCATCAACGCCGTTTGGCCGCCCTCGTCTGCCAGGTCCTTGGCGGCACCCGCCTCCAGCAACAAGTGAATCATCTCAACATGACCTTCGTTGGATGCCCAAATCAATGCTGTTTGCCCGTAGTTGTTTGCCACATCCTTGTTGGCCCCTGCTTCCAGCAAAGTGCGGGCGACCTCGACATGACCCTGACCGGATGCTACCATTAAAGCTGTCTGCCCGTCACTATCTGCCAAATCAGTGGTGGCACTGGCCTCCAGCAGCAGGCGGACGATCTCGAAATGGCCTTCCCCGGATGCAGCCGTTAAAGCTGTGCGGCCGTCCGGGTCAAGCAAGTCGGGATCTTGGGGTAGCTGCAGAATTGACTCAACTTCGGCCACAGAGCCCTGTTCAGCAGCGGTTACCAAATCGAGCACTTGCGAATCGAAGGCGTCAGTGAATCGCAGAACCACCAGATGCAGCTCCCTAGCTGCATGCAGCATGGCCGTATCCTCCAAACTCTCGCCGTGCAGGAGCAACCTCTGTCTAAACCGTGGGGCCACACCGTGCACCTGATTCAGGTGCTGCTTCAAGCCCCTCACGTCTCTGTGTTTCTCCAGCTCCTCTACAGGTATACATGTCAGCATTGCTCCGGAGAGCATGCAGACTTGCAGCATCCTGTCTGAGTTTCGAAAACGTACTTGTCAACGTTATGCTTTATCAGCTAGAGGGTACTCCAGAAGGGATGCTATAATACTACAATGCTGCTACAGTTTTTACTCTAAGAGTGCCACACGGCCTGCTGTAACAGTACTATATAAGGGTCTGGCCTTGAACCCACAAGTCAGGATGACCTAGCAGGAGCTTCAAGCTTGCCCTCGTGCTTCCTTATATGAAGTAGGTCAGTCCAGCGATGCCTGCCCCTCCGACACTAGGCTCAGTCTACCTGCAAGTGGTACTGCGACTGCCACTATCGCCACTACTACGATCAGCCGCTGTCAACACGACCACCACCATCGTAAGCACAACCCCGCCCTCCACCAATACCAACAACGAACAGCGAAGGAGGGGTGCAACATGTAGTGCTGCTTTGCAGACTGCATAGCATGCATAAGTCGGTCAGGGCCAAGCTGGCAGGCAGGAATGTGGAGAGCAGCCAAAATAACGAAAGCGTGCCCGAGAGCCGTCGACGAGATTAGTCACTCTATTTGTGGGAAGTCTCCACAAGTAGAAAGGGCGGGGGCCTCCAGCAGAGAGACCCATTGCTCTGAAAATGTAATCCTACTCGTCGGGTATCATGGAGAACTAAAGGTTAAACTTTTTGGTTCTATAGGGATTATATAGGGACTATACTACCCAAAAAAGGTTAAAGCCACGTAGTAGATAGAGATAACCGTGAATTCAAAACTGGAGTCACGGCATGTGATGGCTCCGGAAGCAGCAAACCCAAAAATCGATCAGCGACTTGGCTGTAAACCCCACACCCAATAAAAAAGGGTGCGGGGAGCTTCTCAAGGGCAAAGACCAAACCTGCATGTCCCGAAAGATCCCAAACCCTATCACGAAACATCCTCTCCCTACACAAAGAAATGTAGCTCGATGTCCTAGCACCATGTACTAGCTGCTATGAGCCTGATCTGATAGCCTTTCTAACTCCCTTTATATCAAAGTTTTTTCAAACAAACGTGAGGCCTTCGAACCACACGAGCCGGTCTCGCACCAGCTGTCCTCAAGTCTGGCGGTCTGCAAAGCTTCGTTTGAGGCCTTAAGTATTGGGTTGTAGTTGTTTGTGTCTGCTCCGTGGGCTTCGGCTCAGGAATAGTTAGAGGCTTCGAAAGAAGACTAATTCTACAAACGTTGTGGGGTCCACAGCTTGCGTCTTGGGTGAGTTAGCCTCTGCTGCCTAGACAATGCCTAAACCCGAAAGAAAGCTCATAGGGCTTTGGGCTGTAGGGGTTGTGATCAATCTTTGGCTTAGGTTTGACTGCGGTGCTTTCACAACTATGGAGATTCCAGTGGCTTCCGTCGCATTGCACATTGGAAAGGTGATGCGATGCTCCCTGAAACCCGCAATGAACCGAGGCTGAAGTCACAGAGTAATCTAATCGAGTTTCCAAAGCCTTCATCCGTAAACCCTGCCTAAACCCCCAAACATAGGTGGCACAATGGCCCAACACCAGAATAGCGCTACTATTCTACATACTTTTGGGGTCCATGTAAACACAATCTCAGAAACTCGAATATCCCTTATTCCTGAACGAATATACCTTACATCATATGTGGGATCCTGCAATCATGTAATGTATGTGCCTTAAAAAATGAAGGGATATTGGAGTCTCTGCGATCCGAAAGGGTCCAAAGCTTTGCCGGCCTCAAGGTTCAGGCTGCCTGGGGTTTAAGGCCTTCTAGGGCTTAGTGTGTTTGATACCATCATCCGCTCATACCCAGAATAATGGTTCAATAATCAACCTACTACTTTACTACTACTACTACTACTACTACTACTACTACTACTACTACTACTACTACTACTACTACTACTACTACTACTACTACTACTACTACTACTACTACTACTACTACTACTACTACTACTACTACCTACTACTACTACTACTACTACTACTACTACTACTACTACTACTACCACCACGACTACGACTACGACTACGACTACGACTACGACTACGACTACCACTACGACTACTACTACTACTACTACTACGACTACGACTACTATCACTACTACTACTACTACTACTACTACTACTACTACTACTACTACTACTACTACTACTACTAGCACTACTATAACCACTACTCATAACAATACTATATGATTATGAAACGTGTCCAGAACCCTTAAGCGGCACCGCCTTGCAGAGACTTTGTCGACCAACCTAAAACCTACTCTCGTAAATGCTTCAAAGAGTTGGAACCCCTGAGGAACCCTTGAAGGAGCCCTCCAACAACCCAAAGTCCAACGGACAATTTAGGAACCCTTACCTTAAGGACGAAATGAACCCTAAAAGGTTTAAGGTTCATATGCCATATAGGGATTCATAGTATATGGGTATAGGGCCCCTACTTTTTGGTCCTTCAGGTAAGGAAGCTCCACGAACCCCCCCAAAAATTGGAACCCTTCGACGTAGTGGCCTCCCGCACGCACTCCGCACACCCGTCCGTCATCTCGAAGCAACTTAGAAACAAGATTGGTCTACGACTCTGTAGAGATTTGTTTAGAGTTCTACGAAGGGTTCTGGTAGGGTTTATGTGAGGGTTTGACGGTTTCGATGTTGGGGTAGGGGCTCCTTTTTGAGCATCTAGCCTCCTGTACAAAACCATACTGGCCTGGATACTATATGAAGTTCAAGGTGCGTAGCTGTTGTTTCACCTATATACTCCTGTAAATTCCGTTGCTTATCTGTTGTAGCATCCCTGTAGGTAATGTAGCTCTGGCACACAGAAAGCCCAACGCTTTAAATCTGGGCATCTATACAAATAAATCATACTGACACGAAGCTCTTCATTATTTCAGGTGCATTCCATGATTCATCATGCGTTTTGGGTATTGGCCAAACTTTAGTAGCCGTAAGTCACTAAACCCTAACACCTTAAATCCTTTTTGCATAAAACCTAAAAAGCCTATTAATAAACCCTTTTTGCATCAGGACTTGTGCAATCGCCTGAATTCTGACTTCCACAATGCAAAGAATTTGAAACTGCACAAGCAAACCCCTAATCCCTACGATGTTTAGGGTTTAGGATGCTGCTTCGGCTGAAACACAAAGACCAAGCCCCCAGAAGCCCCACACAGCGGAACGTCCCTCCATATGCCCCAGCACATTTGTGGCTGTACCACTACATGGGACCTACTGCAATGGCTAAGGCCCTGAAAGCAAAAGGGTCCTAGATGGGACCTACTTCAATCATGAAGGCCCTGAAAAGAAAGGGGTTCAGGGTATTCGAAGTTTCAAGATTGCAGGTGTTAGGGTGTAGGGCACGCAGGGGTTGCACAGAAGCACTTGGGCCCTAAACTTCCCTAAACAAAGGCCCCAAGCTGAGTACCCTGTGGGTCCTTCGCAAAGAGGGACCCTAACTACCAGCCTCCGGCAGTGGCTAAGGAGTTACTGGCTGCGGCTCTCATTACGGCTGTTAAACCCTAAATCCCCGAATTGGAAGCCCCCCCAAGCAGAAACCTTGTCACAGATGCAGAGCCATGGCCAAGGCAACAGCCCCAGCCCCAAACAACAACACCAAATCACCAAACTAACATTCGCAAAGAGCCAAGCTACGTCTCTCATGCCATTTCCTGGGTTATGGCGGCTATGATTATGAAGTAGGTAACCGGGCTCGGATTGCTGAGACCTGAACCCAAGTCTATCAGTGTGGAGACTAGGCTACACTCGTCAACACAGCCATACTACATCCGCACATCGAAGTTGAAGGCTTTGGATGCTGGACGTAGGGTCGGAGTTGCCTAACAAACATGTCGCTGAGGCTTAAGCCGAAGTTCAGATTCTGAAACCGGGGGGGTGGGCGGGGGTGGGGAGGAGCGAGGTGCGGCTACGAAGATAGCGACCAGAGGATCTTGAGAGCCATATAGATGCCTTAGCCATTATAACAGGGTTTTGGCATCTATCCGTATACTGATAACCATGACAAACCTCAAACAATTTGTTAATCATTCAGGCCCCCGTGGTCTCAAAGTTCTCAACACCAGACAGCAGCGTGCTCACCCCATCCTAGTCCTCCGGGTTCGGCTAGGAGCCTACCTACAACCTCCATTGCAGCCGTTTGAGTATAGAACCCAACTATAGATCCTTTATAGAGCCCTTTAAAGAACCCCTTAAAAGGAACCGTATTCTAATTATCAAGGCAAACTTGATGCTTCGGATCCCGCCTGAACACCGTAAACCCTCATCCCAGGGCCCGGACACGAGGTGCGTGGCCAGGTTGCAGAGCGCAAGTGTGGCCGTCATTAACGTGCACACCTGGAGCATAGATTTGGGCCATGGGGGTTTAGGGTTTGGGGCTTCGCGCCAGACCGAGTCCAACGAGAGAAACGCGCCACAGAGCGCCCAAGAATACGGTTCAGCCAGTGGAGCTACCAAGACTTACGACGCACTTTCAAAAAAACACCCTATAATCCTATAAATGCCGTCATCATCAGAATAAGGTTCATGTTAAAAGGCTCCTTGCGATTGTTCCGGTTCTATAAGGTTTCTAAGATGGTTGGCCTAAACTGGCCTGAAAAGTTAGAACAACGTGTTGGGGTCAACGATCGTAGAGTTGCAGAACTACTGCTTCTGCCTTATCCGACGATGATAATGGCAAAAACTGACCCGAACACCGTCTCTTCAAAAAACAATCTGGTGCAGACTGCAGACCTGCACGAAGAGGTCGTGGAGGGTGTTGTAGGGGACGTTCTCAATCGCATTGGGCCTGCCATAAAAGTCACCGTGTCGCGGTTTTCAGACGGCAGGCAGGTTACGATCAGTCTTCAGTTCCTTCTGTGTCGCGACGTTAAGACTCAATGTCGCAAATCGCTCTTCAGCACGGGCATTTGGTTGTATGCCGGCAAGCTGGGCTCTCAAGGTCTTCATGAGATACCAGCAAACTTGAAACGAACTCCCTTTTTGCCACTGGACTCAAGTCTAGCCAGGCTACGACCCACAATCGTCTTGACTCCCTAAACCCTAAACCCTCTCGCATCATAGCGAGTCCATCATATAGGGGCCTTCATAATTTGAATACGGTTCCTTTTAAAGGGTTCTTTAAATAGCTCTATAAAGGATCTATAGTTGGGTTCTATAAAATGAGGCCCTTCATAGTTAGAGTAGGGCTCCTTGGAAGGGCTCTATAAGGGTTACTATAAGGGATCTATACGGGTACTACAATATGGGAGCCTTAATAAATAATTGGAATAGGGTTTTGGGCCATTTTACTATAATTATAACAAGGAAGTATAGGCCCCATATTACCGTCGGGACTGACCTACACCCGCCAGGGTTAAAGCCGCGCCAAAGCCAAGGCACTAAGCCCCGGAAACATATTAACAAACGCAACCCAACGCTCTGAACCCAATGTTCCGTACAAAGGCCCCCAATTTGAGGATTTGGGGTCCAAGCGAAAGGCTCTACGACCACTGGTTAAGGGCCTAGGGGTTTTCAAAGAAACAGGGCCACATTGTAGGATTTAGCATCCGCGAAGCAGCACTGAAGCCAAAGTCGTCAACCTTTGAAACCGAGCTCCTGCAGCATGTGGGTGTTTCCGAAAATAGGCGACCCTACTATAGTACCCAAATAGTAAGATCCTTATTATAAGGACACCCAAATGTGGTACCCCTAATTTTCGGAAGCTCCCATGTGCCTCTGTACAGAGAAGGCCACCATCGAAAGAAGGACCTTTCGTCGTCGTGGCTTCCCGAGACCATCCCATTTTTGGTCTATTGTTGATGCTATTGGACGGCGTTAAAATCTGTACATGTACGCTTGGGCGTGCAGTTGTATATACATACATATATACATGTATGCATGTACGTACACGCGTGGCGGAACTAGGCTCGTAGAGAGGTGACGAGAGAGCCTGTGCCAAGATTCGGAGGGGCCCCGAACGGGATCCACCCAGAATGTGGGCTGACCGTTCAGGGCTGTGCCGTCGTTTAAATGTAGTAGGTTTCAGAAAGAACCAAGGAAACCGGAAACTCCTCACGGATACAGACTTTACAAATCCGGAGCCATGAACAAGAAGCAAAGACCCTGGCAATCTGAACAATCCCCCCAAAATGAACCAGCCGGCACAGTCAAAGCTGAGGTGAGAGCCGTCACATTGATGGAGAGCCGGCCGGCAAGCATGTCAACGGAAAGCGGGCAGAAGAGAGAGGTAGACCTCAGCAGTGTGCGCCCGATAGGACAGCTCCTACTCTTCTGCCGAAAGGTGCTGCTGCTGTCACCAATATTGTAGAAATAGACCATGCGTGCGGGTGTGACTCCTCAGCCCGTCTACATTGCGACGAAGATTGAGACTTAAGCCCGAAAAATTCACATGCTGCACTGGACGCGAACGCTAAACCCCAAACCAAAATCCTTTAAAGCAGCAACATCAGCAATGTCCGTTTCCGTCTGCATGACCTTCCGCCCTACCTCCTCGAATGGCCACTGGCCCTCTGTGAAGCGCTGACCAAGCCAAGACTCACCCCAGAAGACCCCCTGAACTCATAATCAGTATAGGAGTTGTTCTTAAGTGTAGTTCAGTTTGGGTGCAAGGTTCCGGCTTAGCCATCCCTAGAGCTTCAGGGTTTAGGATTTAGGGTTCAGGGTTTAGGATTCGGAGTCTGGGATTTGGGGTTTCGGGGTGGGGGGGTGGTTGTCAAAAATATGGTCCCTTCTTGGGGCCCTAAAAGAGTACGGCACCGAAAATTTAGGGTACCCAAAAAGGGACCCTAATTTTGACAACTACCCGGGTGGCTATCGTAGTCGCGCACTCGCAGCCGAGAACTTCCTCTGCAACCTTCGTTCGGTGACCGTGCGTTGCTTCGCAAGGCGTCACCGGCCGGCTACCCCGCGCCGAGGACTCCAGCTCTTTCTTACGGGGCTTATGGTTCAGGGTTCAGGGGCTGATGAGTAGCCTAGCCAAGAACGGTAACCATTTTCATATGCTAGGCTTATATGATAAAGCCCAAAGTGCTAAAGGTTAAAAGGTTAAGAGACTCCAATACCCCTTAATTAAGGCATATTCCTTAAATTATCGTAGGATCCTTAATATGGATTTAAGGTATATTCCCTATTTAAGGAACATTGGAGTCTCTGGGATGCTACTAGTTACAAGGAGCTTGCGGTTCGGGAGGGTGGGGGTCTAGGGAGATAGGCGGGACTCAGTATGGGTTCAGGGTTTACCTTAACCCCGAAGAACCTCGATTTTTAAGGACTTATATAAAGAAATCATAACACGGAACCCTAAAAAGGTAGGTTCTTCGGGGTTTTGGTAGGGTTTATTTAGGTCCCTACATTAGATTTACGCAGCAACTGAGGGCTGCTCCTTGCTGAAGGGAGTCTAGAGTCTCTGAGACACGACTGATACCGACTGATAACCCAGAGACTCCAATATCCCTTAATGAAGGAATATACCTTAAATCATATAAGGGATCCTACCATATCTTAAGGAATATACCTTAATTAAGGGATACTGGAGTCTCTGAGAACATCTGTTCGTGCACCGAGTTCACTTCCGGCGGCTCATTCTCCTCTCTCGGCAACTTCTCCAGTGTGCAACTGGGATGACTTCCGGACCTCGAAGCTGCGCTGAACTTCGGGGGAAGACTTAGCAATGAGGATCAATCCAAGAGACACCTATACTCTGAGTGTCTTGGCGTGGCATTCAAAAGACATAGTGCTTGGTAGCCGAGAACTCTTGGGGGTTTCAGGTCCATATCAGTCAAACTCCGGCAGGAGGGGTTGGATTCCCTTCCCGTGTTGTGGATTGAGCCCATGCCACATGTAGGCGATTGATGCATGGATCCGGGGCTTCTGGGGATTGGAGTCTCCGTGTCGTGGGGGCAGCCCCGCAGTATGGATCTCACTTCCCGAATTGCTGGTAACTGCCACTCCATACTTTCTTTCGGAGTTGTCCGCATGCAGGGCTGCAACATACAAGCCCGAAACATGTTAGCCCATCTTCTAAGCAGGAGACCAATCATGTTGCAGGCCAAAAACTAGAAACGTGATCATGAGATTGTCTCGGCTACCACGAAGGCCACTACTGATTAAGGCGCTTACCAGTCTGTGGTAACTGGGACAAGATTTATTGCCGAAGGGCGCCATACGAGGGTGTCTGGGGGGGCTGTTGGTGGCTTAGGGTAAGTCGTGAGGCTATCAAGCTCTACATCCGGTAAGCTACACATGCCGCGAATTTTTTACGAGAAAACCAAAATTGTGCGAGAAAACCTTGACATAGTGCTATCATCGGACTTTGCTTCCGAGGCACGGTCACATTGTCACACCTGCTTGCACATCCATCCCTTGACTGGTTGCGAAAGGCCTTTCCGTACCAGCGCCCGCCTGGGGTCATGTAGTAGTTTTTTGCTTGAGGCATTCGGCTTACTGTCGGGGAAATAAGCTTCGGCGTGTCCGATAACATTGCTAATGAGCTGATTTTGCACCAGGGCGAAATGCATGCGCAGATACCAAGGCTGCATGGCTCAGTTCACGGCGCATGCAAACATTTTTATCATGCAATGCATGTAGAGGCAAGTAGTGTGTCTACAGGCAAAATGTGTCCGTGTCACTGAAAAATCAACTTGCAGGAGAGACATCAAGAGATGTAAAGTGGTATCAGGACTCCCAACATATGCACGTAACACCCAACTTCACTTCATGTACAAGGTCTGAAAGGTGTAGGCTTCCGGAACTCTTTGTTGGCAGGTTTTTGTGTGTCGGGTTCCTGTGCCGAGCTCCCAGGGAGACACCCCCACTCGCTCTCCTAAATCCCTTCGGAGCACTGGGTATAAGCTCACCTAGCCAAGACCGTGATGGTGTCAGCCGCACTGCTGTTAAGCCTAAGTCTCGAAAAGTCTCAAATGCCCTACGAGCTTAGAAGACCCCGTAAGCTCCAAACCGCCCTAAGCCCCAACACCAACAATCCTCGGCCCCTCGAACTCTAGAGCCCGGGAAGCACAACGACTGAGGGGATGGCAGTCCCTTGAACTCGGCGAAGAGCATGCTTGCCAGAACAACGAGAAGTGCAAGCATTACCTTAGAGAGAACTACGGCTGATGGACAAAATCCTGCATCACCCATAATAAGGACTATACCATACTTCCCATAGTTTAGGGTCCTTAAGGTAATGCAGGATTTATATCATCAACCGTATGGATGCCATCGACTGCCTGGTTTATAAGGTTTTGTAGGGTTTTCTTAGGGCGCGCACATAAGGGTAAGGGTAAAGGGCTTGCAAGGGATTCGAAACAGTGCTCTAACTGCTTCTTTAGGGCTTGCAAAAGGAAAAGGGAGGGATTTTGGGGTTTGAGTTACAAACTTAGGTTGAAGGGCTGAGGGTTGGGCATTCGGGGTGGGACAACATCAAAATTTAAAGAAGTAGGCCGAGTCTGAATGAGGCAATTACTTGACGTGCCGGCAGAGGTTTTGCAGTACTGATACGCCACTTTGACAGGCTGGGCGTAGTTTCCCAACATGGTTCAGATTTAGACACATACTGCATCCTGCCGGGCACAATACATGCCATGCCTTAGGAAAGCCATTATGCAGTGCTTCTTGACTTCACCATGCTATTACAATTCTGATGAGGTTTCAGGCTCCTGGTTTCCTTGCTAGCCAAACCAAATGAAAACCACCGCCTTAGAAGCTTGGAAAGTCTGTCAACAAGTAGCAATATTTACCCGGAAATAAATCCAATTCCAATTTATCAGTAAGGCCCCCATGGAGCATGACCACACCGAGATGCAACAAAGATCAGCGGCCCCCACATGACGATAGCTGACCTGCACCACCCTAAAACACAGACCTCCCAGACTCCCAAAATCAAAACCCTAAACACCGTAGGCTCTAAACCCTATAAGCTACAATGCAGCATCATTCCAAGAATCCGAAGGCCCTCTGCGCGTGCAAGGTTCTTCAACAGCTGCGCAATTTTAAGTATGGGCTTGGACTGGGTGCGTGAATCTTGGATCCGGGGCACATTCAATTCAACACGTTTTATCCGTTTTCATACGCTCCATCTTGCTGCGCGGCAAGATCTTCGTGCTTGAATATTTGCAGCAAGAAAGTTACGATCCACAGGCAAGCCCCCCCCCGGCCCGATCCCAACGGCCCACGCCTTCCTGAAGCTGAACTTTCGTGCAGTGCGATTTCGGAAAATGGTGAGGGTGCGTGGGGACAGGCTGGCACGGGTGTGATCTGAAAGCTTGAAATAGCCACACGATCCTTACATGACATAGCAGGGCGATTGGGTCGGAAAGCCTTAGTAACTTAAAGACTGAATCCATGGATGATATATATATATATACACATATTTATAGGACCTCAGGTTGACGGCTAGATTGGGATTCAGGGTCGATCGTTTTTGGGAGCTTGGGGGTTTGGTTGTGGGTCTATTGGGTGGTTGTCAAAATTATGGTCCCTTTTTGGGTCCCTCATATAGTACGGCACCGAATATTTAGGGCACCCCAAAAAGGGACCATAATTTTGAAAATCACCCTTATATAGACTGCGCTCTAGGGCTCAGGGACTCGTGCCTCGAGGCGCAAGAAGCTGCAGCCAAGGTCAAGCGATCATGGCTTCAACAGGAACCCAGAGCCTCCAATACCCCTTAATTAAAGAATATACCTTAAATCATATTAAGGATCCTACTATAATTTAAGGTATATTCCTTAATTAAGGGATAGTGGAGTCTCTGGGAACTGCCGGTTGACGGTTCAGTCCTATGCTTTTCTACGGTTGGGATCAGTAGGGACTAGGCTTCGGTAAAGTAAGGTTTAGCGTTTTTTGTGCTGCTTGTTGGTATTCTCAGCGGTTACCTGGTAACAACATGTCGATGGTGTAATACCATGCCAAAAAACCATACGTAGTTTTCCTCATGGAAATACTGCCGCCCTCTCCTCAGAGGATTTGCATCGCAGTGGGCTTTCAGGGACTAGTGGTTGTGGCAGGTTGCTGGCTCAGATTCGCTATCACTTCTTGTAGGAACCTCATCCCTGCTCAGCAGTTCCCCCACTCCCATACACATGTATGCATACTAGTGTAGCTCAAACCCTAGAAACAGTGCTTGCGCTCATGAGTCATCAGCTCGTATCAAAACCAAAAGGTTCTGCGGGACGGCGAAATAGACCAGTGGCCGGCAAAGCCAAAACCCTAAAGCCTAGAGACCAAAAGCCCTAACCCCTAAACCTAAACCATCTATACACATCATAGCTTGCGAGGCATTACCAATTATGCAGGCCCCTATAGTAGCTGCTGCTTACGGGTTTGGAGGAGTAATAGAGGGTGCAGAGTTTGGAGTTTTGTTTGAGCATCTGCCGGGTCTGCAGCTCAATCACGAAACTCGACTGAAACTTGCTGCCTTCGCGGCTGTCAAAGCCACTCTCCGCTCAGACACGACCAGCGCATAAACGAAACGACCTTGATACCCCAAACCCCACACAATGATGGTGTGACTCACCACCCCCGCTGCCACCGCAGCAAGAAACTTCCTCAAACCTTGGGACGCACCCAAAGGGCAACTGAAGTCCCACCTGCACAAAGCCTCCACTGCCTCATCACGCTATGGACCCCAAATACCCTACCTTTTCTCGGCGGCTTATATAAGGGAAGATTGAACGCAAGGTTTTATAGGGTGCAGGTAGCACTTAGGACCTAGGATTTCGCATCTCTGACCCCGAACTTAAGCAGTTAAGCACCCGACACTCAACTTGTAACGGACCTCGTCGAAAGGCGTCTTAGGGCGCGACCCACTCAGCACTGCCATGGAAAGGATGAAAAATGTGAAGACGTGCCTGCTGCAGGTCTTCGGTTTTGCGTTAAGACTATTGCTATAGGGGCCACAGAAATTAGAACAGGGTCTCGAGTGCATGAGTTATACTATACGTTTGAGAACCCTACCAGAAGTGAAAACCAGTACTTCTTCTTCAGGCGCCCATTATTGCTCGAGTTCGGTGTCCAGGTTCTGGCAAAACACTCGCAGAGCGTTGCCAGCCCCGCCCCTGCGTATCTTCCGGTGGCTGGTATTTTGGTTTGGGGTTTACGGTTCTATTTCTCTCTGGATGCTTCTCTGCCAGACTGTCTCCACCGTCAATTGCCTCTCCAACTCTTTTCCGGAAAAATTAGTTTCACCCCGTAACAGCATAGGCCCCAAGTTGTGAGATACCTCATCCTCAAGCAGTCGTTGAGGTACCAAAGATTCCAAAATCCAGTGGCCGTGCAGGAAAACTAAATCCTAAGGTAAAAGCCAGAAAGTTGGAATATGGTTATCCTAAACCCTTTATGGTAAATTATAGGGTATCATACCCTGAAACCATATTCCAACTTTCTGGCTTTTACTTTAAACCTCAAGCCTCACATCTAGGGCTGCGGAGGTCTCTGTTTTGGCATTCTAAGCATGTGGACTTTCGATCGCAGACGGATCGTCAACGCAGGGAGCCGAAACTCAGCCCTGAAACCTGCCTCAAGGTTTAGGGTTTGGGCTTCAGGGACTCTCTATCTGTAGCTGTAAATCGTTTTCTCTCTCTTTTCTCTCTCTCTCTCTCTCTCTCTCTCTCTCTCTCTCTCTCTCTCTCTCTCTCTCGCTGTACATATGTACTTATGCATATATGTACATCTAATGGCCAACATTTACAAGCATATATATATATATATATGTATATGTATATGTGTGTATCTGTGTGTGTGTGTGTGTGTGTGTGTGTGTATGTGTGCATGCACATTTGCACGACCAGTTCGGACAACAAAGCTTCTGGGGGAACAGCTCAACGACATTATTGAATAATTGGGGACTTACTAATTAGTAAGAATAGGGTTTTGGGGCCCATCATACTATAACTATATCAAGGAACCCCCAAAATAATGTATATGGGTAATTAGTAAGGCCCCTAAAGTGACTATAATGGAATCCGCAGCTGACTTGGGGCTGGTCACGGCATCGAGGTCACGTTAGGGGGCCTCCGATTTGTTTGCAGTCCCAGCTTACTAGGGCCACTTTCGTGCCATTTGAAGCTGCATTTTCGCACTGTTGTCATGCGCTCGATTTGTCACAATCCCGCATGCCGGTCTGACGCCGTGCGCTGGGTCACGGCTGGGCCCTCTCTGGAATCGCAGCCCAAGCTTCTCCGATTCGCCTCCCTAAACCCTAAACCCTAACTTCAAACCCTGGATTTGATGTTGCAGATTTCATGGGCTTCTGGGCCGAGCACACTTACACAGTTGCCACGGTGTTCTAAACCACGGGCACGATCGTATACATGCAAGTTTGGATGGATTAGGGTTTAGGGTTTAGGGTCTACCTGAGAACTGCATTTTTGTCCGTTTCCTACCATCTGAGATCTCTGGCCCAGAATCGACTAAGCTGCTGGCCATGGTAGGATTCATTCATTGAGGTCGTTTATCGCTTTAGGTTAAATATAGGGGCCGTAATAATTAGAATAGGGTTTTCGGGCCCAACACCCTAACATTATAATAGGAACCACCAAAACCCTATTCAGAATAACAAGGCACCTACAGTATCCTTTAAAGACCGAGTCCCTTTGGTGTCGGGTTTCGATGGTTTCGTTATTGTGTCCTGGCTGAGGTCTACAGAGGGTGCAAGGTGTTCTACTATTTGCTTAAGAACCCCCCAAAATTCAAAAATATATACCTTATAGGGATAATATACGGATTATCATTTTTTTGGGGGGGGTTCTTAAGCAAATAGTAGTGTTAGAGCCCCACCTGCACAAGTCATCCAGTCCCAAACGTGCGCAACCACAAATACAGCATGCTTCATTAAAGTTGGAGGGGGGGGAGCTGAGGGGTTCGACTGTGGGGATTGTCCGAAGCTGTAGGACCCTCGAATCAGCCAGACTACCATAAATTGAGGAGTCAGCCTTTGCTTACACCTTTTGGAGATCGCGGAAGATGGGAAACACCTCTGTGCGAAAAGCCTTCAGAACGACCGAAAGTACCTGCTACAGCAGGATTTGAATGAAGCGAGATTTTCGTACAGCTCTGGGGAGTGTGGGCTTTTCCATTAGACTTGGGAGTTGTAAGCCGGCTCGCTGTGGGCTGCGCCCCGGAAAACTGGGCCGAAGATTGTCGGCTGAGGGCTGACCGAGCTCAGCAATTGTTGCTTTCTTGGGGGTGCTCCTGGGGTCTACAGATGCAACGATTTTCGGGCCGCTTATAGTTTCCTGTGATATGGTGTAGTCGGTATAGTACAGTATATAATATTAGCATCATGTAGCAGCATAGCAGGTTTTAGTATGCTGCCAGGTTTAAGCCCTACGCGCTGAAGCCAGAGTGTGGGGTGTTAGGTAGCTTAGGGAGGTCGGTGGGAGCGGGCCATAATCCGCTTAACAAGGGGCTTCCGGAAGATCCCTGATGCTCCTAATAGCGCCGTAATTTAGGGTTCAGGGTATAAGCTCAGGGTTTATAGGGTCTACCTTAACCCTGAATAACCTACCGTTTTAGGGTTCCTTATTCTGATTTCTTTATACAGGTTCTTCGGGGTTAAGGTATAGATGGGGCCTAGGCGGTTCGGTTTGTTTTGAGGCCTTCGGAATGCCATGCTGTGCAAGATCGAAAAAACCGTGGCTTAGGGCACTGGAGCTTAAGCTTTCGACTTCTGGGTCTTGAGTTTGGCTGTAATATTGCCACCTTGATAATTATAGAATAGATGATTAGTATGGGCTTTTTGGGGCAGTTATGTTTTAAACAGGCTAAGGAGCCCCACAATTGTAAGGTAATTATTTAGACGCCTAGAGAAGCCCCCAAAAGAGTATAGGTAACTATTTAGGCCCCTATCGTACCTTCGGGGTCCGGCTTGTTCACTTCTTCTCCTCGTCGAGGAAGGGATCCTTCACGGAGGATTTGTGCACAATCCACCACTTGCCTGGGCTCTTGTTAAGGGACTTCATTTAAGCTACTATAGTAGGGGAACCTTAAATTATTTACTCTCTCTCTCTCTGTCTGCCGTGCCATCATCATGAAGAGTCTCGCAATACAAGGGCACGCAACATCGCTGGCTAGAATATCAGGAGGCATAGCGAGAGCGCTGAACCTCCGTCATTCTTCAGGCCCATTTACTATAGATCCCTATTATGGCAACTTAAACTAAATTTTACAAGATCCCAGTTGCCCTGGAGCTTCGCGACGGTTAGGAGGTCGGTCCACAAGCACGGAGGGTGTGCCACGGTAAGGACAACCATGGCGATGGGCGTCGAGAGGCTACCAAAATCCTGGGTTCTTGTTAAGGAGGTTAGTTTGAGTTACCATAGTAGGGATCTATCGTTGAGGGTTCCTTTAAGGGTTCTATAAGGTTTCCTTACTATGGTAACTCCAAAACTCTCCTTGACAAGTTACCATAACAGTAGGGACCTAGAGTAAATAACATGGTTTCCTTATTATGAAAACTTTAAACAAACTCCTGAACTAGAGCCCAGAATCTATGGACAAGAGGGCATCGCGGCTGCCAACGCGAGGGTCGTCCCGAAGGTGGGCATAGTCCTTGTGCATTGGGGTTGTGTACCGGGTCTCCACCATGTTGCAGAATTGCCGCGAGTCGATAATCCTTACTGCCCCAATAAGCCAAAGAAATGGAAGGATAAACTTTCCGGTTCCTACTAAACTATAAGAACCCAAAAGTTTAAAGGCTAGGTATTGCGGATCTAAGAATCACGACCGAACCAGAGCCATCCACGAAAGTCAGCCGGCAAGTCTCATGGAAGTACCTTGACGTGGTCCGGCCCTTTACTGGGATCTTAGATTCTTGCCAAGGGTTATTCATTTTTAAGTTGGCCTAAGAAGGAAACCATAGTATCTACTCTGGATCCCTATTTTCTGGTATCTTAAACTAACTTCCTTAACAAGAACGGAGGTCAGGGTGCAGAACTGTAGGGGCCGACAGAGCGGGAATTTTGTTTGGAGAGATGCGCCGTCTCAACTTCGTATAGACTTGGTAAATAGACAGTAGCTCGAAATGTTGAGGCTCTTGTAACAAACATCGCAGACCAAAGGAAAAACCATCCACGACACGTCCAAAATCTTCACTGTTCCCCAGGCTTTCGAAACAAGTCTTGGACTACAGTAGAAGCCCAAAAGTTGGAAACCCAATAGCCTCCATCCCTAAAGTCATGTATAGGGAATCCCAGCACTATGTGGCCTCAATCCGGTTTCCAACTTTATGGGGCTACTGTAAACATCTTCATCCTGGAATACCGGCCGCAACCCTCAAACCCGATAATCCAAAGCGCGGAGTTAGTTTCCACAAGCCCAATCCTGTTCCCAGTACTCTAAACACCGTAAACCTTACCTTTTGCAGCAGGCCTCGTTGTCCAGCAGCCCGGTTACAGCAAAGAGCCCCTCTGTCCCCCGCTTCTTCAAAGCAAGGAGAGGAGTCGAGCTAATTAAGCCCCAACCCACCCCCAAACCCTAAACCCTAATTAAACCCTAAACCCCTAAACCCCTAAACACAAAGATCCTAAACCCTAAACCCAACAACGCCCAGACAAAGAGGCTCAGCCATGGTCTTCCCGTCGCAGGCTCGATTGGCCTTGCAGTAGCCGTCCCAAACACAAGCGCTGATCCCTTCGAAGTCCTTCCTTGGCATCGGGCTTGGATAGGATTTAGGAGTTATAGGGCTTATAGGGTTAGGATTTAGGATTTAGGGCCGAGGGTTTGGGCTTTAAAGACTACAGATTTAGGGCGTAGGGTTTGGGGTTTCAGAGTGGTGGCTTCGAGGTCCAAGTCTTTTGACACTTGACTCTTCCACCGAAGAAGCACCGACAAAAACACATTTATTTCGCAT